CACACACACACACACACACACACACACACACACACACACACACACACACACACACACACACACACACACACACACACACACACACACACACACACACCAGCGCTCCTTCAGACAGTGGGAGGTTTCCAGGGCTCTGAGCTCAGTTTCTCATCCTCAGGTGCAGCCTGGCGATTTGGTTCTCCTAATAAGCTCTCCTCTGCCTGAACCACAGAGCTCTCCTTTCTCCAACCTTTGTGGTACTAATCATAGTTTTTTTAAACTTACTAATCTAAGAACTCCAACATTCTTGCCACATCTGAATGTTGTTCATGCCAGTCAAAATGTGATTTTTGTCTTTTAGAAAGTTTGGAAGTTTAGGGCATTTAGTGGGTTCTGGTAAACTGAAAGGTGGACATGAGGCCCTGTGTAAAAGGAACTAAAGTGAGGCAGGACCTGGTGGTGAAGGAAAGAGGGAAAGAAGCATTCTATGGAACACGCTTACTCCTTAGGCCTAAGTAACGTTGACACTCCTGCAGTTCCATCAGCCTTTGTGGTTGTAGCTTCTGTGCTGTTGTCAACACAGGGAGACTAGCAATGTCTTAGGACAATTGTCAAAAGATGTCACAGTGCAGGTGATCATCCTAATTCCATGCATCATTTTATAAGATAGGGGAAAAGAGGCACAGAAACATGATTTGTGAACTTACAACAAAATCATGGGAAAGGCTGGCTGTTGCCTCTCAGTTTCTCTTTTTTACTAGCATTGAAACTGGCCAAACTAGATGTGAGTATAAATAAACTCTAGAGTCTTAGTTCTGGCTGGAGTAACAAAATACCATCTGGTAGGGAGCTTTAGAAGAGTTGTTTCTCACGGTTCTGGAAGCTGAAGTCTGCAAGCAGGAAGCCAGCAGGCTGGGTGCGGGTGAAGCCTCTTCTCATGGTGCCTTCTGAGCAGAACAAGAACCTGAGCTCTCTGGGGTCCCTTTTATAAGAGCACTAATCTCCTTCTTGAGGGCCCCACCCTCATGACCTTATCAGTTCCTAAAGGCTCCACCTTTTAAGTGTTGGGGGGAAGGGGAGGGGTACTCCAGGAGGAAACATTGTCATTCAGTCTACAACGCCTGGTGAAAGGAAGTAAGGAAGTCCAAACACCACAGCTCCTCCCCTGAGCAGTGAGCGGAGGAAAGAAGGAGCAGGGAGACAGGATGCAGGAAAGGGAGTTGAGGAAGAGTTGCTAGGGTACCAGTCCCAGCCTCCTCACTTGCCATCTCCTCCCTGCAAAACATTCCTGTGAGTGAACACTCATTAAACGGTCTTGCAGTTATGTACAACACACATATACTGGGATCGCTGACACTGGACATGGACATCATGACAGAACATAGAACTACCCTGTGGCCCAGCAATTGCACTCCTGGGCATCTAATAGAACACAAACAAGGTTTGTGTTTAAAGTAAATCCACCAACACAAACCATGCTCATTACAGCACTATTCACCATAACCAAGATATGGAATCAGCCCAGATGCCCTTCAATGGATAAATGGATCAAGAAAATGTGGTATATATATACACAATGGAATTTTGCTCACCCATTAGGAAAAATTTTATTCTATTCATAAAGAAATGGAAAGACTTGGGAAAAAATATATTAAGTGAAGTAAACCAGACCCAGAGAAACAAAAGTTGCATGGTTTCCCTCATTTGTGGTACCTAGAATGTGCCTATAAATGTACAAGTAAACACACTCGGGTAGTATGGAAGTGGTTCCACATTAAAAAACTGAAGACTGTATGGAGAGCACAAATAACATATTTTAGAAAGACTAAGTCAGAGCCCATCGAAAAAAGAAAAAGAAAGAAAAGAAAAAAGAAAGCCCAGGAAATGGGTACCTGCAAGAGGGTGGGTGGGGCCAAGGAGAGAGGGGTAGATGAACGGAAGGGGGAAGTGGAGGTGGGGGTATTCAGTAGAGAATTCATTATATATACCAATGGAAGGGAAAGGATGGGTCAAAGGTAGGTGAGATTGTTGAAGCAGGTGACACTAATCAAGATGCATTGTATTCACAAACTGCTTTGTTAAATAGCATCTCTGAGCACCAGTGGCTCACACCTAGAATCCTAGCTACTCAAGAGGCTGAGATCTGAGGATCACCTTTTGAAGCCAGCTTGGGCAGGAAAGTCTGTGAGGCTCTTATCTCCAATAAACTACTCAGAATAAGTTGGAAGTCTTGCTGTGGCTCTACCACTTGAGCACAAAGAGGCTCAGGGACAGTGCCCAGGCCCTGAGTTCAAGCCCCAGGACCAGAAAAAAAAATTTTTTTAAAAAATGACATCTCTTTTGTACAAGTATTTAAACAGAATTTAAAAAATGTAAAGAAGTATAGAGGCGTGTGAGGGAAGAAGAGCCACTCATATCAGCCTTGAAGACAGCAGAGTAAATATCACACATGACTTTGGCTTGCCAGCACAAGAACAAAAGTGTCCCTATTAAAAGAGGGAGCAGACAGACAACAGAGTCATAGATTGTTTGATACTAATTCCCAAGTCACTCCCCAGCCCAGGCCTTATATACTGAACACAAATCCTACTGTAGCTGGTGTGTTCTGGGGTCCCCCTCCCCCCAGCCTGGCCCTGGTGGAGTCCTGGGGTAAGCACAATTGAGCTTAATCATGGCAGGGACCAAGTAGGGATGCACACGGTGACTACTATTTCTTTCTTTGCCTCACAGTTCACACCACAAAATGGAAGAGTAAAATGTATAGCAATTTATCAACCCATTACACCCTGCTAAATATGCAGGATGCAACACAAAATTCTTCTACCTTATGTCACAGGAGAAAGAAGACTTCATGGCCTCTCTTGTTCTCCGTGTATGTCTTTTCTCCTTGTGCTTCGGAGTCATGATTTCCTTGAGATCACAAGCAATCAACTGGAGAAAATCCTTCTTCGAAAATAAAATCTTGGGGGCTGGGAAGGTGGCTCAGTGGTAGAGCGCTTGCCTCGCATGCATGAGGCCCTGGGTTCGATTCCTCAGCACCACATAAGCAGAAAAAAACCAGAAGTGGCTCTGTGGCTCAAGTTGGTAGAGCGCTAGCCTTGAGCTGAAGAGCTGAGGGACAGCGCCCAGGCCCAGAGTTCAGGCCCCATGACTGCGCCCCCCCAAAAAAAGAAAATAAAATCTTGCTGGGCACCAGCAGTTCATGCCTATAATCCCAGCTACTCAGGAGGCTGAGATCTGAGAATTACAGTTCAGAGGCAGCCCAGGAAGACAAGTCTGAGAGACTCTTGTTTCCAATTACCCAGCAAAAAGCAGGAAGTAGGTGTGGTACAAGCAGCAGAGAGCATTAGCCTTCTGGGGGGAAAAAGCCAAGTGGGAGCTCCAGTCTCTGAGCTGAAGCCCCTATACACTCTCCCTCCCTTCCTCCCCCCTCCCCTCCCCCCTCTCACTCTCTTCCTCCCTATCTCTCTCTCTCTTTCTCTCATACACATACACAATAAAATCTTTAAATAATATTTTAAAAATACAGTAAACTATTAAAACTCTCAAATTCTGACAAATAAATCTTTCTTTGTTGCTTTGGTTTTGTTAACTGCAAAGTAAATCAGGTCCAGCTGTTGCTGGGCTGACAGCTGTTGCTGGGCTGACCACTCTTCCTCGGCTTGCTTTCATTGTGGGATGCTCTGGTTGGAAATTTAAAGAACCTGTTGCAGAATTTACAGCACTCGGAAGCAACTCAAATAGCAGAGCCCCTGGTTCAAAATTTCAAGATGACAATAGTAAAATGAATCCCAGAGCAGGGTCCAAAAGCCTAGGGCCTGGTTCAATGGCCCAGGTCACATACCCATGATAAATCCAGCCATTCAACAAATGGTGATTCCTGTCATTTGTGGTGTTCAACTCAATAGAGTCATGGAGCTATTTCCTTGTGCTTACTCAGCCTTTTCAGTACAGGAGCAGAAGTAAAAGTAAGTAATGATCTCAGTTTCAATGTGATCTGCCAGTATCTCTAAACGAAGATTCAATTAATTATGCATCGGCCAAAACAAGTTTGTAGAAGACAAAAGCCTAAATGCACTTTGGACCCCAATAATCACTGGGTATCTTCAGGAAGGGGGACCAGGCCTCTAGAGGGCCTTCCAGTTCTAAAGCTGTGGTGGTGCACATGAGCTTAGCAAAGGGAACGTTTTAAGACAAACTAAACACACCTCTCATTCCCTCCTGCCTGGCGAGAGTCAGACATCTCCTAGAACAGCGAGCGTGTGAGTGCAGGCGTGCACCTATCAGCGACAAACGTGTCCCTGAGGCTTAGTGTAGCAGGACACAGCCAGACCACCAGACCCTTGATGCCGGCAAAGGGCTGACGCCTGGCAGAGTCTTCCTCAGGTCTCCAGACTGCACACAGAAAAAGCCCACAGCCCGAAGCTCCATGCAGGCCCATGTGTGCTGCTGCACAGCAGGAGATTGCGCGCCAAGTTTCTTCCGTTAATCTGCACAGAAATTCCAGAGGGGAGTCAATATTTTAAAGTGGCAAATGTCGTTTGCAAGAAGTTAAAGCAAAAAGAAAATCCTCCAAGCCAGGCGCTGGTGGCTCACACCTGTCATCCTCGCTACTCAGGAGACTGAGAGCCGAAGACTGTAGTTCAAAGCCAGCAGGCACAGGAAAAGTCCGGAAGACTCTTATCTCCAATGGATCAGCAAAAAGCCCCAAGTGGAGATGGGCCCCAAGTGGTAGAGCGCTCGCCTTGAGCGGAGAAAGCTCGGGGCAGCGCCCAGGCCCCGAGTTCAAGCCCCACGACCCCTTCCCACCATGAACCACGGTTCTCCAGGCACCACGGCGGGCGGAGCCGCGTGACAGCCGCTGGCAGGCTGGGCTCCGGTCCTCCCCGCTCTGAAGGTGCCGGCGCGGAGGAGGAGGAGGAGGAGGAGGAGGAGGAGGTGGAGGAGGAGGTGGCACCGGGCAGCTCGCCCGGGCTCCGGGCAGAGAGGGAGAGGGAGGAAGCGCGGGCCGCGGGAGCGGGATGGAGCCCGGGAGCCCGCGGCCGCCCAGGCCGCCCCGCAGCCCGGGGCTGGGCGCGGAGCCGCGGCCCTGGGCGCAGGTGCTGTTCACCGGCCTCTACGCGCTGGTGCTGGCGCTGGGCGCGGCGGGCAACGCGCTGTCCGCGCGCGTGGTGCTGAAGGCGGGCGCGGGGCGCGCGGGGCGCCAGCGCCTGCACGTGCTCAGCCTGGCGCTGGCGGCGCTGCTGCTGCTGCTGGTCGGCGTGCCCGTGGAGCTCTGCCGCGTCGTGTGGGCCCACGACCCCTGGGCCTTGGGCGACCTGGGCTGCCGCGGCTACTACCTGGCGCGCGAGCTGGGCGCCGGCGCCACGGTGCTCGGCCTGGCGGGCCTGAGCGCCGAGCGCTGCCTGGCCGTGTGCGCGCCCCTGCGCGCCCGCCGCCTGCTCACGCCGCGCCGCTCCCGCCGCCTGCTGGCGCTGGTCTGGGCCGCCTCGCTCGGCCTCGCCCTGCCCATGGCGGCCTTCGTGGGGCAGAGGCTCGAGCCGCGGGCCCACGGCGGGGAGCCCGAGCCCGCCTCGCGCGTCTGCACCGTGCTGGTGAGCCGCGCCGCGCTCCGGGTGTACGTCCAGGTAAAGGAGAGGGCTGGTGGGGAGGAAACGGCCCGGCCTCCCCTCCCAAGGGTCCCGGGGAGGGAAAGGCGGCCTCCACTCCAACATTTGTGACCTCCAGGAAACGGCTCGTTACTCTTCTTAGGAAGACTAATAGAGACAGACAGACAGACAAGATGGATGGATGGATGGATGGATGGATGGATGGATGGATGGATGGATGGATGGATGGATGGATGGATGGATGGATGGATGGATGGATTGGTTGGGTGGGTGGGTAGGTGGTTGTTCTGCTCCTGAGTCTTGAACTCAGGGCCTGGGCACTGTCCCCGAGCTTTTGTGCTCAAGGCTAACGCAGTCCCACTTGAGCCACAGCTCTGCTTGTGGCTTTTTGCTGGTTAATGGGTGATAAGAGTCACAAGGACTTTCCAGAGCGGACTTCGAACCGGGATCCTTAGATCTCAGCCTCCTGAGTAGTTAGGATAACAGGCGTGAGCCACTGGGACCGGCTTACAAAGATGTTTAGAAAGGAGTTAAGCATGGAGGAAGCGTGGAGAGGAGCCCAGCTCTGAATTCAGAATGAACTCGGACTCTGTGTTCTTCCCCTCTCTTCGGGACTGGCGCTCAGATGTTCCTGGGTTTGTGTACCAATTGGCTGGCGGGCCTGTGAGAAAGCAGGCTACTCGGTCCCACCCGGCTGTAGCATCAGCAGCCCCCTCCCCCTGCCCGGTGAGGCCACTCCTAGCAGGCGACTCAAGAGCAGCCCAAGGAGGGAGGAGGGGGAGGAGGGAGGGGGGAGGGGGAGGAATATGCCCTGGCTCCCCTTCCTAGATCCCTCCTCCAACCTCACCTCGGCACAGGTGTGTGGCAACAGCCTGTCCGGCATCCTGCTACTTTCCCAGACTGGATCTCACATGGCTCACACCCTGCCTTGCTTTTCACAGGCCGTGAGTTCACATTTCCAGCACGTTTGGTGGAGCCTGGCCATCCTGGCTCAATGCAAGTGGGGAACTCCCCCCTCGGGAGCCCCAATGCCTGATGGGAAGTTTTTTTTTAAAGTTTGAACCTTTGTTTATAATTAATTTATTCTCAAAAGAACTGGGTATTTAAACCTTCAGACCCCATTTCTGACACTAAGGAACGCAGCCATGGTGGAGGTGGGGAGAGGCGGGAGGGTTTGAGTCAGGGCTCCGAACTTTGCAAGGAATTACACAACTAAGACAAAGGAAAAAGAAGGGTTTAGGGCAAGGGTGTTGGGGCAGGCCTGGGCTCTCTGGTCACTGTCAGGGGCTCCCTGGCTTCCAGGAGACCATCCACTTCCCCTCCCTGACTCAGGAAAAGGTGTCTGCTCACTCAGGTTTGTCTTCACAGCAAGAACTTGGTACAGCAACCCTTTGGAAAGTCATGTGTTCATGGGATGGTGCCCAGGGCACAGAAAAGCCTGTCCCACAAACATCCTGCTTTCCTCCACTTCTCCCCGCTCTCCCCCTGAGAGTTTATCCCTAGCTTTTCTTCCCAGCCAAGTACAGTGCCTTGCTCACAGGAGCACCGAACCAGGATGTATGGCTGTGCTGAACCAGGATGGCTGCCTCTGAACCTCCCTCTCTGCCTTCCCTCCTGCCGCTTCCTCTTCCTACTCTGCTCCCATCAGCCTCAGCTCCCTGTCTCATCATCGCGTTCCCTCCTTCTCCTCTCCCTGTGTCACTCCTGAAAACCTCAAACTCCATTTTGTAAGAAAAGAAAAAGAAGGGCTGGGAAGGTGGCTCAGTGGTAGAGTGCTTGCCTTGCATGCATGAGGCTCTGGGTTCCATTCCTCAGCACCACATAAGTAGAAAAAGCCAGAAGTGACTTGAGCTATCGCTATAGCTCAAGCGATAGAGCACTCGCCTTGAGCTGAAGAGCTGAGGGACAGCGCCCAGGCCCAGAGTTCAAGACCTGTGACTGACAAAAAAAGAATAAAGAAAAAGAACAGACAGACTCTACCACTCTACCGACCAACAGGTTTTATTCAGTAGGAAAGCTTGTGATGGGTAACCAAATATCCTTCAGCCTGGCTGGAGGGGAAATGGCATGCCTCCCTTACAACTAGGGTGCCTTTAAATATGAGGCAGAAGTGAAGTCAGGAAGGGCAAGTGGAAGCGAAGCAGCTGCAATGGAGGCAAGGTGGGAGAGCAAGCTTCCCTTGAGTTGGAAGGGTATCAAGGCCTCAACTGCATCTGTATCCTGCCAGGGGTGTCAGCCTCAGATCTGGCCTTGGTCAAAACTGCAGGGCACAGTTGTTCAGGGGGAAGGGGAGGGGAGATGACTCAGCGGGGTGGACAGCAAGGACAGTTCTAAGCTATGGCTGTCAGAGGGGAAAGGTGAGTGCTTTCAGTTTAACTTCTTCCATCATATTCACTTTCCCCAGAGTTACTTTATAACCAAAGCTGTACCTGTCCTCTGTGTGTGTGTGTGTGCGCGCGCACACACACGCGCACTTGCATGCCAGTCCTTGGGCTTGAACTAAAGGCCTGGGCACCACCTTTTAGCTTTTGTGCACAAGGCTAGTGCTCTACCACTTGATTCACAACTCCACTTCTGACTTTTTACTGGTTAATTGGAAATAAGAGTTCCACAGACCTTTCTGCCCACACTGGCTTCAAACCACAATTTTCAGATCTCAGTCTCCTGAGTAGCTAGCATTACAGGTGTGAGCCACCATCACCTGGTGAATAGGAAATATCTTAACTATGGTAAAGTTAATGTCCTGAGAAAGAAGGGTCCAATTTTCTGATCTTGGCTTTGCTCAGGTTTGTTTGTTTTTTCACTTGTATTTGAAACCTTTGGTAGGTTTGCATCTGGCAGTTATAATATTCTGATGGTGCTGAGCTCCAGAAACACCTATTGGAAGAAAGAATTTTCTGAAAGCTGCTGGTACCAGGACAGTAGGGTGTATTACTACAAAACTACCAACTTCAAGTGCAGTGTTTACTGTCATTTTTGTTGCTGTACAAAGCTAGACAGAACATCCAGCTTCATGGGTTTTAATGGGATTCTGCATAGATGTAATGGAGACCTAAACATCCAATATCAGGGAGGATTTTAGAGGAAATTCACATGTGACCTGTAGCCTGAACAAGTACATGGAATGAGAGAGAGAGAGAGAGAGAGAGAGCACTCCAGTCCTGGGGCTTGAACTCATGGCTTGGTGTGTCCCTAAGCTTTTCTTTCTCAATGCTAGCATTCTGCCACTTGAGCCACAGCTTCATTGCTGGCTTCATGATAGTTATCTGGAGATAAGATTTTCATACACTTTCCTGTCCAGACTGGCTTCAAACCATGATCCTCAGATCTCAGCCTCCTGAGTAGCTAGGATTACAGGCATGAGCCATTGGCACCCAGCAAAATCACATGTTTTGCAATCCTTTCGTATGTTGTGTTAGTATTGAGGCTTGAACTCATGGCCTCATGCTCTTGCTTAACTTCTTGGCTCAAGGTTGGAGGTCTACCACACCTCCACTAGTTAATTGGACATGAGAGTTAGTTGCTGGTTAGTTGAAGGAGATTTCACTGCCTAGGCTAGCTTCAAACTGGGGTCTCAGATCTCAACCTCCTTACTAACTGAGATTACAGGTGTGAGCCACCAGCACATGACCACATTTTAGAATTTTTAAACTGAACATTTTAAAACATAGGACATTCTTTAATAAAGTTGTTTTGCCTAAATTAAAAAATATCAAAAGCTGGAGTGTCCCTCAGAGGTATAGAATTACTTAGTATATAGGAAGGCTTGGGTTCAATTTCTGGAAACACACAAACACACACACACACACCAGAAAGCCAAGGCCTGTGATGTCTAGTAACAAATCCTGCCTGCCCCTCCAGCCTCTACATCATTCTCCACCACAGAGAAGTGGCATATCTGCCATCCTGGCTTTGTTTTCAGATGAGAGTCTTCTTAGCTTTTTGCCTAAGCTGTTCTCAAACCAAGATCCTCCTGTCTCTACTTCCTGAGTAGCAGGGATTATAGCCATGTGCCACTATGTGTGACCTAGGAAATATATTCTTGTAGCCTCCTGAGACCTAACAAAAAATCCACCAAAAAAAAAATAAAAGGAATTTTCAGGTCAGAAATTTAGTCTTCATGTTGGCCTACTATGGCTGGGTATAAAATTCTAAGATAGTTGTTTTTCCCACAAAACCGTGTAGCATTACTCATTATTTCATACCTTCAGCCATTGGTTTAAGAAGGCAATGTTATTCTAGTTCCATTTAGAAAGCATCAAATTGTTTCTTGAAGATTGTCAGGCTGATGAATGTTGAGCCTTGGTGTGGATTTGTCTAGCCACTGTTCCAGGCACTCAGGCAGCCTTTCTTTGATCTAGCAGCCCTGATCTTTTAGAAAAATTTTCTTTAATGTGGGTGTTCCCACGTATCATTCCCTCCCCTTTGTCTTTTCTGTTTATTTCCATTCTGAAACCTTTATGATTTAATGATGATGTGCTTACTAACCAATCCCAAATATGCTTCACTTGTCTTATCCTCTCCTTTCCAAGATCCTCCACAGCCTTATCTTCTGCCACTTCTGTCTCTAAATTCTGGGCCTGGGGAGCAGCCTAATGACCAGACCATGACCCTTGGACTTGCCTCCACAGGTGAGCGTGCTGGTATCTTTCGTGCTCCCTCTGGCACTAACTGCTTTCCTGAATGGGGTCACCGTAAGCCACCTGATGGCCCTCTACGCTCAGGTGCCCTCACCTTCAGCCCCCGGCAACACCATCCCCAGCCGCCTGGAGCTTCTGAGTGAGGAGGGTCTTCTGGGCTTCCTCACGTGGAGGAGGACCCTGGGGGGCCAGGCCGGCCTGGTGAGACACAAGGATGCCAGCCAGATCCACCGCCTCCAGCACAGCATCCGGGGTCTCAGTTAAGTCCTCTGTCACAACCACTGCCTCCCCTGCCCCTAGCCAGGCACTGTTAGCAAGTTACAACCCCTCTCTAGGCCTCCTTTTCACTATGCCCCTGGAGAGCTATCTACCCACCAACAGACTTCCTGCACAGGTGGTGAGAGAGTTAAAGCAAGAAGGGGAATTCCTTGAGTGGTGGCTCACACCTGTCATCCTATCTACCCAGGAGGCAGAGATCTGAGGATCATGCTTCAAAGCCAGACTGGGCAGGAAAGTCCATGAGACTCTTATCTCCAATTAACCACCTAAAAACCAGAAGTGGAGCTGTGGCTCCAAGTAGTAGAGTACTAGCCTTGAGCAAAAAATGCTCAGGGACAGCACCCAGGCCCTGACTTCAAGCCTCACAATCGACAAAAAAAAAAAAAAAAAAATGGCAGGGGGTGAGGGGTAGAATTCTGTTCACCAAGGCCCAATCTGCCTCAGGGAGCAGTACACACAGAGACCTGGCCCCATCTCAGGAAGCTGAAGTGTGGGGATGGAAACCAGGGGCAGCTACAGTGAAGAACTGCCACTCTGAACTGAGGACCCCAGAGGAGCTGGGTCCCTGCAGCTAGCTCCCCTCAACTCCCCCTTCCCATCCTACATCACACATCTGTTTGCTTACTTGTTTTGTAAGGAGCTGGGACAATTTAGCCTTGTAAGAGTATCTGCAAAAAGCACAGGAAGTTGGCTCTCTCCCTGCACCTGCTATGCCCCTAGCTTGTGGGAGTATTGGCTTAGAGACAGAGCTGTGCTCTCAACCATGTCAGGTCCTGAGCATGGACAGAGATGTACAATCTAAGTGCAGTGTGACTGACAGGGACACCACCAGCACAGGAAGGTGTCCAGCTTCACTGCAAGAGCCAGTGGCCTGGAGTGATAGGAGATTTGTCCTCTTTGAAGGATGGGCCAAATAGTGTTTCCAGACTTTGATGTTTGTAATGTCTCAACACAGAGTCAGACTTGGTAGATCTGGAGTGGGCCCAAGATTCTTCAGTTCTACCAAGTCACTTATGGAACATCAGCGAGTTGGATGTTGCTGCAGGAGCCACACTGGCCTAGAGAATGGAATGGCATGTTGAGGCAAGGGAGGGGGCAGCTGTTAGAGTTTGGTGGAGGGGAGACCCCCATCCCTATGGAGTAGTAGCAGTAGGGATGGGGCAGAAATGGAGAGGAGAAACACGAGGAGGATAAAAGAGGGAATAGAAAATTAAGAAGACTCTGCTTTGTGACTTGTGTGCTGGGTGGATGGTGCTGCCTTTAATCATCAGAAGAGGTGCAGCAGGAGAAGCTATCCAAAGCAGGGCAGACATTTACATCCTGCTGGATAGGAGGTTAGTCATCCCGGTGGAAGTATAGTTCCCCAAACTATGAATAGACCTCAGTAGCTGGCTGATGGTTCTGGAAATACATTGTCCAGGACCTGGTTGAAATGGACTTTCCCCTAGAAGACTGAGTAGTGAAAGGCTCAAGAACAAGCTCAGGGAAGTGGAGCGGTGGCTCAAGTGGTAGAGTGCTAGCCTTGGGCAAAAAGCTTAGGGAGGGATAGGGCCCAGGCCCAGAGTTTTAGCCCCACAACCTGCACTAACACAAGTAAATAAAAGAAGAAGCCCAGATAGGGATCTGTGAGATAACCAAGTTCCCTGCCATGACCTCCTTTGGCTCCAGGAATAAGTCCCAGGGATATGCTGTTGCCATGTGGGGCATCTCCCTTGGAGAGGAAGGAAGGAATATGTCTGCTCTGTCATCATGCCCTTCCTCTCCCATTGTCTCTCAGGAGCCATCGTGGCCGTGTATGTTATCTGCTGGATGCCGTACCATGCCCGCAGGCTCATGTACTGCTATGTCTCTGATGATGGATGGAGTGAGTAAGTGTGCTGAGGAGCCCTGGTCACAGGTAGGGACCCATTGGGATGGGCCTGGGGTCTCCACTGCTTCCCAGAACTGTTCCTGGTTGCTAGGTCCTCTGGAGCTCTGGCCTGCTGTCCAGCTAGTCCTGTGCATTCTGCACTCTCAGAATCTCCCCGAGAAGGTGGGGAACAGGGCATGATCAGAAAGTGCCCTACATGGTAAGGCCATATGAATGAGAACCTTCTGGAAAGTCAGTCAAGCAGGGGTACAATGTCCTGATGTCCAGAAGGAGAAAAGCCTCCAGGCTAGGGAATGAGGCAAGGACCATGGTATTAGGAGAGAAAAAGAAAGTCACAAGAAATAGCTCTGTGAGCAAATAAAAAGTCCCCTAAACAGAGACCAAAACATACACCCACTTTTCTGAAATAGAGGAGAGAAAATCCACTCTCTACAGTTTGGAAACCAATGGGCCTGGGATTATAAGAGGAAGCCAAGCATGCAACCAAGGAGAGCCCCACGTGGCCTCTGAGGACATCATCTCAGAAGCTAGCTGGTACCTCTTCCACACCCATGCATTCTCCTGTGCATGCACATTCCAAGCCCTTACCACCACAGAGCAACTCTCAACAAGGTGCAGGGCTTCTCAGGAAGACTTCCCTGTGTACATGTGTGTGTGTGTGCAAGAGAGAGAGAGAGAGAGAGAGACTGGGTTTGAACTCAAGGTCTGGACTCACAAGGCAAGCACCTCACCATTGATCCACAACCCCAGCCCTTTTGCTTTGGCTTGTTTTTCAGATAGGGTCTCACTTTTGCCCAGTCCAGCCTTAGATGATGATTCTCCTCCCTCCACTTCCCCAGGATAGCCAGATTCCCAGCATGAACCACAGGCCCAGCCCCTAAGACTTTGACCTTCTCTTTGACCCAGCAGCATGTCAGAGGCATGGATGGAAGTCCTGATTGTCCGTTCATTGTCCTGGCACCACACCAAGGGTGGCAAAGCACAGGCGAGCACAGCAGGGGGTGGAGGAGCGTGTGCTCAGTTCGCGCCCCCCCCCCCCACTTCCTTCCCTGCAGAAGGAGAGGCACTCTTCAGCAGGAGGGGCTGGCACTGGAAGGAGGCCTCTGTCCCCTAACCAGGCCTCTGGGTTTCTCTTCCAGCGCACTCTACGAGTTCTATCACTACTTCTACATGGTGACCAACGCCCTCTTCTATGTGAGCCCAGCGGTGACCCCCCTCCTGTACAACGCCATGTCCCCTTCCTTCAGGAAGCTCTTCCTGGAAGACCTCAGGTCCCTGTGTGGCAAACACCCCACCATGACGCCATTAGCCCCACAAGCCCAGAGCCTCACCCTGATGGATGCAGCGTCAGGTGGTGGGCAGACCCCCAAGGCGCTGATGGGGATGAAATACAAGAATAAGCAAGCCAGCAGGAGGACTGGCTATCCCATAGCTGATGGCTCAGCCAAGCCGCGCAGCCAGCAGGACCACAGCAAGGCAGGGCCGCACTTAACAGCCAGCACCTGCAGGCGCGCCACATAACTCCCTGAGGCCTCAGTTTCTCGTCTGTATAATGAGCTAAATAATAGAACCCAGTTCTCAGTATAGCTTAAGGTCAAAGTGATTCACACTGTGCCTGGAGCAGAGCCAGTATTCAATAAATCCTTAGCCGGTGCTGCTTTGCTGCTTTGCTGCGGTTGTTGTTTTGGTGTTATTACTGCTGCCGTTTCCCTGCGTCTCTGGAAGCCTTCCTCACTCTTCTGGAGTTTTCTGTTCACAGGATTTAGATTTTAAGAATTAAATGACAGCCCAAATATGGGGGAGGGGGGAATGTTTAGTGCGATAGCTAGCACCCCCAAGAGCTTTCTGTAGAGTAGCTGTCAAAATTAGAGAAATGCGGCGATTGCTAGGCCCCCAGGATATGAGGAAATGGGGAAGGAGGGAGGGAGAGAGGGAGGGAGGACTGGTTGGAAACCATGATCTGAAGGATTCATGCAGTGATGGAACTGTACTATATCTAAAACCGACAATGTCAAACCCCAAAGAGTGCACAGAATCTCCTCTTTTTTTTTCTTGTGCCAGTACTGGGGCTTGAACTCAGGGCATGAGCACTGTCCCTTAGCCTTGTTGTTCAAGGTTGGCACACTTGAACCACAGCTCTCCTTCTGGCCTTTGGTGGCTGACTGGAGATAGAAGTCTTACGGATTTTTCTGCCCAGGCCGAGTGCCGGTACTCAGAAGGCTGAGATCTAAGGATCACAGTCCAAAGCCAGCCCAGGTAGGAAAATCCGTGAGACTCATCTCCAATAAACCACTAGAAAACCAGAAGTGGTGCTGTGGCTCAAGTGGTGGAGTGCTCACCTTGAGCTGAAGAGTGCAGGGACAGCGCCCAGGCCCAGAGTTCAAGACTCCTGACCAAGAGAAAAAAAAAAAAAAATAAGCCTTACAGGCGTTAGCAGAAACTCCTTAAAAAAAAAAACAAACCTGCAAGTGAATCTGGAATCATTTCAAATTTTTAAAAAAGATGAATGAAAAAAAATCTCATGCTATTAGATTTTGGTGTATGTGTTCTGAAAAAAATTAGGTTCTGGACGGGCACACAGAGGGTCTGGGTACTGTCTGTGAACTTCTTTTTTTTTTTTTTGGTCAGTTGTGGGGCTTGAACGCTGGGCTTGGGTGCTGTCCCTCAGCTCTTCAGCTCAAGGTGAGCGCTCTACTGCTTTAGCCACAGCGCCACTTCTGGTTTCCTAGTTGTTTATTGGAGATAAGAGTCTCACAGACTTTCCTGCCCAGGCTGGCTTTGAACTGTGAACCTCAGATCTCAGCCTCCTGAGTAGCTAGGATTACAGGCATGAGCCACTGGTGCCCGGCTGTCTGTGAGCTTCTTTAGATTAGGTCTAGCACTCTACCACAGCCCCGCCCCACTCGTGTGTGTGTGTGTGTGTGTGTGTGTGTGTGTGTGTGTGTGTGTGTGTGTGTGTGGTTTACTGGAGATAAAAGTCTCATGGACTTTCCTGCCTGGACGGCTTTGAACTGCAATCAGATCTCAGCCTCCTGAGTAGCTAGTATTACCAGCCTAGATATCATTATTTTAAAGGGCAATCATAGGCTCCTTAGTGCTGAGTATAATTCTGTCTCAGCTGTCTATGTAGTTGTGTGGTAGTTGGCCTGACTGCTTGTTTGGATAAGACCAAAAGCAGTGGAAGTGTCCACTGACTGCACCAGCTCTGTCTCAGGGCCCTGACGTCATCAGTGTGCGTTTCCACTCTAGGGAGCTCTGGCCAGACTCTGAAAGACAGAGCAAGTGCTGCTCACCTGGGTCAGGTTCCTGTGGCTGCTTCTACTAAGCCACATGCACTGCACTGCTTAAGACAACACCAGTTACTCTCACAATTCCAGAGGCTCCGAATCTGACTCTGAGGGTGATGGCTCCTGTAGGGGCTCAAAGATCCTTCCTCTTCCAACTTGTCTCCTGGGTAAGCCGTGCCTTTCCCTCACCCCAGTCTCTGCTCCATTGTGCCATGGTGGAGTGCATTTGTGTTTCTCCTCTTTGTTTTTATGAGTTTCCTTCATTGCAGTGTCTTATCCTAGCTAACAGCCTTCATTTCAGGATGACTTCATCTAGTAACAACTCTATTTCCAAATAAAGTCACATTCTGAGGTGCAGGAGTAGGGAATAATCTATCTTCTGGGGGTTCAGCTCAGCCCTTGAACTCTCTCTTCAGAGTAAGCCGGGTTGCTTTTCCTGGGAGACACCACTTTATGGGGTAAGAACTAGCATTCGAGAGGCCCAAGGTCTCAGTTAAGAAAATGGGTGTCCTCCAGTTTCAGAAAGAAAGGAAGAAACTGGGGCGTTGTACTCGGTGAATGACAAATGCAGTCACACAATTCTAGCTTCTGCGCTGTGCGCCAAAGACTTTAAAAGTCTGCACCAAACTTCCCAACTGTTTTGTTCATTAAAATGCTAATCCCCTTGGAGCTGAGAAGTTGGCCAAGCCAGTAGACTGAGAAAGAAAACCAAGGAGCACCCTTGGTTTGCAATCCTCCCACAAATAAAAGCTGTCTGTAGACTGAAGCCAGAGCTAGCAAGCACGGAGCAAATTTCTTTATTAACAGATCTTTCTAAATGCCAGTGTTGGGTTGTCCAGACTCCTCCAATGCTATGTAGACTATGGGGTGTGTACTCAGAGCCAGCACCTCCAAAAAGCAACCTGATAACTGAGCTCCTTTAAAGTGCCTTCCCTTTCCAGGTGGCTCACACCCATGATCCTAGCTACTCAGGAGGCTGAGATCTGAGGATCGCAGTTTGAAGCCAGCCCAGGCAGAAAAGTGTGTGAGACTCTTATCTCCAATTAACTACCCAAAAAGCCAGAGATGGGGCTGTGGCTCAAGTGGCAGAGCACTAACCTTGAGCACAAAAGCTCAGGAACAATGCTCAAGCCCTGAGTTCAAACTCCAGAATCAGCACACACACACACACACACACACACACACACACACACACACACACACACACGGAAAAGCTCTTAGCTGGCCTTCAGTGGAAATAAACTGCTCACAATAGGAAGAAGCTGTAATGTTTGTGGCAAGGTGATTATACCTGCAGGCGTGACTAGCTGGTACAGAGTTGCTAAGCTGTGTGATCTTAGACAAGTTACTTAATCTCTCTGAGCCCTGGTTTCTTCTTCAGGAGGTTGAACCCGGTGATAGCTGCTTCTGAGTGTTCCTGTGTTCATGAAATTAAATAAGAGCTATTTAGTCACCTAGGAAGTGACTGGCAACATCACTGGAGCTCAGAAGCGTTTGCTACACTCTAATGTGTGCTTGGTGACTGACCCAATCTCTGGGTCTACTGCTTTCCAGCTCCCTGCCCCTCCCCTGACACAGCCTGCCTTGAGAATTCCAGAGCCTGTTGAAGAACAAATGTTGCTTGTTTGCAGTATTTCCATCTTCCATCATGACCTTCCCCTGAAAATGCTGGAAGGGTTCCGGGTTGTTCTTAGGGAACTACCTCTGCTGACCAGAGAAGCATCTGTGAGCCAGGATGGTAAGGAAACAGCTCTACAGCCAGCGTGGACGGGACCACAGGAAGGACTGCCCGAGCCGACCACAGGAGGGACTGCCCGAGCCTCCCAGAGCTGCCCCACCCACTGGGAGCCCCGGAGCTTTGCTGTTGGCTTTGGGCCACTGTTCTTGGGTTTTGAGGACTTTCTGGTTTCTCACATTTGAACATGAAACCATGGGGATATGAGGTACAGACTTGGGAGACGTGAGGGTCTCGACAATGGCGTGTTCTGGCTGTGTTTGGGCTGCCAGAGGTGCATGAACAGGGTTTCTGTTCAAAACCATAGAGACTACATGAGAGGGCCAGCCTTCATCAGGGTTGAGAAGAAATAAGCATGAAGCTAGAAGCTTCCTTCCCCAGAAAGGAGTCGGGTTCTACAGCACCAAGCAATAGCACAGTTAAAATTCTACCTTAGCCAGGAACCAGTGACTCACTCCGGTAATCTTAGCTACTCAGGAGGCGGAGATGTGAGGATCACAGCTTGAAGCCAGCCCAGGCAGGAAAGTCCATGAGACTCTTAGCTCCAATTAACCACCAGAAAACCAGAGGTGGAGCTGGGGTTCAAGTGGTAGAGCACCAACCTTAAGTGAAAAAACTAAGGGACAGTGCCCAGCTCCTTAGTTCAAGCCCCAGTCCTCCCCTCCCTCCCTCCTTCCCACATAACATATAGACAAAATCAAAAGAAACATGCCGTTTTCTCCTCCAGCTGAGTGCTTGCAGAATTACATTTGCTTTCTAATTGATGCTGAGGGCCGGCTCCATGACTATGTGTCATGCTCACCTTCTGGAAGCTACCATGTTTCCACAGTGAATCTGGCAAGCCAATCTCAACAAGGCACCTAATATATTTGCTTTGTGGGTACCACCCAGCTCACAGGCTGGATTGCCAGGTAGAACTTGCTCCCTGTGCACCTGAGCCTCAAACACCCCTGGCAGCCTGAGTGTTCCATCACCAGAAGGGTCCCAAAAAGATGGACCCCGCAAGGGTAGGTTTTGGCAGGCCTGACTGCATGATGGACACTACACATATTGGAACATTCTGGCAGTTTCCCTAGTTCTACCATGTGAGTAGCTGAGGACAACTGGTCAACCCCAGAAGGTAAACTCATGAACACTGTAGCTGTGAGGGGCTGGAATGGAGGCATCATCTTTGGGTTTTGCCCCTGGAATTTATTTATTTTATTTTTTGTTGGTCGTGGGGCTTGAACTCTGGGCTTGGGTAGCCCCTGGAATTTATGAGAGGAGTAATACTCATCTGTGATGGCATCTCTATTTTGTGGCATTTCATTATTGGGACATCTCCCAGGGCCATCAAGTGGCATAAGGCTAGAGGACATAGCTCACAGTGATTATTGGCCAAGAGAGGTTAAGCTGTGCTGAAGTAACAAGCCATCTCTGAAATCACAAGCTTCTCAAGGGCATGAGGCAGTGATACCTCCAAACACCATTGTTGGTGATAGGAGAGAAGAATCCAGACGGAATTTTCCCTACAAGGGAACCTCGTTGGGAAAGGTGCTCAGTTCAAGTTCAGACAACCTGGGACCCAGACCACAGGTGCAGACTGGCTTCCTGACACCGCCTAAACCGGGTCTCCTTCCCACTCCTTTACCTAAAAGTCCTCTGTGGTTTGAGGCAACATTGAATGTGTATTCTATTTTGCCTGAGAAAATACTTAATTGTCTTGCAGTCTAAATGTTATGAGGGAAAGCCCATTGGTAGGAGAATCTAGGATGATGCCTTGAACACATTGGGTCTAAAAGGCAGGGAACAGCAGCTGGGTGCCACTAGTGGCTCACGCCTGTAATCCCAGCTGCTCAGGAGGTTGAGATACGAGGACTGAAGTTCGAAACCAGCCCAGGCAGGAAAGTCCATGAGATTTCTTATCTCCAATTATCCACCAAACAAAGCCAGAATTGGAGCTGTGGCTCGAGTGGTAGAGCGCTAACCTTGAGCAAAAAAAAGCTCAAGAATAGATCCCAGGCCCTGAGTTCAAGGCCCCCCACCACACACACACAAAGTTAAGGAACATCAAAAAAAATTTCCACCTATTCACCTACCTCAGATGACATGGGAAGATTCATGCTTCTGAGAGTATCCAGTCTGCAGTCACTCAGAAAGCCCCAATTCTACCAAGCATCTAGCTGAGAAAATAACAAATGAAGTCAAGGAAGATAAGTTGGATCTTAGGCTTAAAGAATAAAGATTTCTTTGGAGTTTTAACTCCACTTTGCTTTTCATTGTGCTTCTTTTATATTTTAATGTCCTTGAATTTTAACTGAGAGACTGATTTTGTCCCTTGAATTTAGGCTATGAGAGGATTAGTACTCAGGTGTGGTGGCATCTCTATTTTGTGGGCATCTCAAGATTGGAACATCTCCCAGAGCCACCAGGTGGCATCATGCAAGTCAAGATAGGGTAGGCTGTGCTGAAGTAACAAGTGAGCCTTGCAATAGTTTAAAATTGTCCACTGGTTCTTCTCAGAGAACTTCATTCACAGGGGAAGGGGGGCTCTGTTCCAGGCTCTGGCACCTCCCATCTCCCTGCCCAGTCTTTAAAACATTACCTTTAAGTAACTGAATTCAACATGTCAGTTTATGAGTCTAGTGCATCCTGATCAATGTCACCCCGGCAACCACCCCCACATCTCTCCCAACACCACGCATTCCCTTAATGTTCCTAGCTCCGTTTTCATATACGTACATTGAATATTATGACTGCATTCTCCCACATTTCCCTCTCCATTTGCCTACCCCTCCCCTGGACCTCGCCCCTGATACCCAAGTTCCAGCTTCCTGAGATAGATCTTGTTAGACTGTAAGTTCGTTGTTCAAAGGACTTTCACCATTGGAACCCTCCCCTGCATATTCCAGAGTTTTGATGCCTTTGTGCATAGGTATTTATATATGCCTATGACCCTGTATATGTTTACACACATGTGTATATATTAGACTTAACTTCTCCATATGTGAGGAAACATTATCTTTTGTATCTTTGGGCCTGATTTGCTTCACTTAACGTTTTTCCCAGGTCCATCCGCTTTCTCTGCAAATGACGTAGTATCATTTTTCCTAACAGATGAATAAAATTCCTATGTATATAATATGAATATATATGTGTGTATATATATATATATATATATATATATATATATATCATTCTCTTGATCTACTCATCCAGTGAAGAATGTCTAGGCTGTTTCTGCACAACTACATTTTTACTGCACAACACACCATAGCCAAGTTATGGGAATATCCCACAGCCTCTCTTCTAAGTACACAGCCCTCAAACTGCCCTGCTGTTTCCCCTGTCCGTCATCCTAACAAAGCCTCCAGGCCCCACTTACCTCAGCAGGAAGCCCACAGTGCTCCAGACCGTCCTTCCTGGGTAGCAGGCAGTTCTGGTTGGGGCTCCCGTCCCCTCCGTCTTTGTCTTCTGAAGGAAACACTCTGTCTTCCTTTTCTCTTTCAGAAATTCCTCCATGTATTAATATAGACCACCGCTATAGTTGGAGGCTTCTTTAAGCAGGGAGTCCCCCAAGATTAGTGCCCACATGAATTCCTCCCAAAGTACCACAGCAAACACCCCCAAACAAACAAGAAGTGCATAATGGGCTTTATTGATAAGACTGGAACAGGCAACAGGATTACTCTGGGGATTTTCCCTCCCAAGTTTAAATTAACTAACAAAAATGGAGGAATGACACAGGAGCTGATATTTACAAAAGGACAATTTTAACTAAAGAAGGTCAGTTTTTAATCCAAAATAGGAATGGCATAAACAAAGTTATCCTTATATAAACCTTGATCTAAATATTTTATATTCGTAGACTTTTAAACGGAAGGGAAGATTGACAAATTCTTTGGCATCATCTTGTAAAACAGTTTCTTCTTGGATTATTATCAATCACAGTGCTTAGAAATGTCTCAGACGGACATAGAACACATTCTGATGAGTGTATTTTTTTAGTGTCTCTAAACGTTTTCCTTTTGCCCTGGGCCACTTCAAAAGCAGTGTAGGGTGGGGACCTGGACCGTGGAGTCCAGAAGCCAGGAGTCTGAAGTGTGCTTCTAGTTCTTTCCAGCAGTATGACCTTGGTGAGCTACACTCTTTAGCATCCCAACCCTTGCATCTTTGAAATGGGAGCTGTCAGATGGCCACACAAGGCTGTGCAAAGGATTCAAGATAAATCGTGTACCAGCATCTGGCCCATAGGTGGCGCTCTAATATGATGCTTTAAACAGCATCCTGGCCTAGTTGATTATGAATAGGAATTCATGGCACATACCAGCTCGCTTCTCTCGGGACAGGTGAGCCTCTTCCCAAAGGAAACAAGCACGAATAAGAGAAAACTAGTTAAGAAACTGAAAAAGAAACTGAGCTTCAATAAATTATAATCATAAGTCTAGTTCTTAACTATCTTATGTATCACTTTGGTTGCTTTTAATTGTTTTTAATCAAGTAAACAATTTAATCGTCTTTCCTTTGTAAGGCAAATTTCAGAACCAACTCAACCATTTTAATTTCCTCCGTAAAGCCCTTTTAGTTTTCAAGAAAGCTACTTTGCAATTTGGCCCTTTCTAAGAGGTAGGGTATTTGCCCTCCATTATTTTAATAGAATCTTATTTTCTTTGAAGTAAAACAACTCATTTTACCTCAGTGAGTTTGATGCCTTTGGGCTAGCTTCTTACAGGAGCAAACTTGTAGACAATTAAATAATTCTTATGAAAATGAACCCCTTTTTGCTTCTTGTCCCTAATCTCTATGGTGAAATTGTTCCTTTGGAATATTGCTTTGTAGAAGGCTGTAGGGAAATCTACTTACTGAAATCACATCTACTGCCTGAATACTGGCACCTCAATGAGATATCTCAAGATTCTTTAGATCAAAAAGTCAAGTGTGTCGTGGAAGCCTAGGAACGGCAGGACCACAGGGGAAAACTTCATTCTTCACAAATGCTAAACAGCCTAGGGCATTTGGTTTGGCCCAGAATGGAGTTCTGGGCTTTCAGTTCTGTCCAGTGGGGACCCATCCTCACGCTGTCTGTCACCCATGCCTGGGCCTGCATGTCACGTGTGCCCTGAGCGGCTGCAGAGCGACGGCCTGGGTCTATTCCAGTTCCAGTACCCCGAGGTCCAAGACTTCCTTTAGCCTAGCAGTAGGAGGGATCTGAGCACCCCACTCCGCTAGGAGCTCCTCTAGGAGCTCTGCCGGCCTCTCTCTCTCTCTTTCTCTTACTCCTGAATCTCAGATGTGCCGTCCAGTGAGAAAAAAGAGCGGGCGGTCCTCCTTTGCGTTGGCTGTCTGGAACTCATCCCGCAGCCGGAACTGCCACTCATCTTCCAGCTCCAGGCGGACGACGGTCTGACGAAGTGAGTTCCGGTCCTGACAGATCACGCACAGGGTGGCACCTGCAATGGCGACGGCAGAGGGGTGAGTTTTTCCCAAAGGACACCTGCTGCAAGGTCCCATGGGCGATGGCAAACAGGAGGACATGGGAGGCTGTGCAGACAGGAAGAGCCGAGGGCTGATGGCTCTCATTCCTCCGAGTGATTATCCATCCCAGCAAGACGGACAGTGGGACCAGGGCCTGTCGGGTCAGCCTTGGGGAGAGGACAACATGGAGGTCAAAGAAAAGCTGAAGAGCAGGGCCGGCCACCGGTGGTTCGCGCCTGTAATCCTAGCTACTCAGAAGGCTGAGATCTGAGGACGGCAGTTCAAAGCCAGCCTGAGAAGAAAAGTCCCCAAGACTCTATCTCCCATTAGCTTCCAATTAACTTGATCTGTGGCTCAGGTGGTAGAGCACTAGCCTTGAACAAAAAAAGCTTAGGGACAGGGCCCAGACCCTGAGTTCAGACCTTAGTGCTAGCACGCACACATGTGCACACACATGCACGGACACATGCGCACACACACACACACACACACTCACATTAAAGAGCAGCACAGAGGAGGCAAATAGAAGGAGAGCGACATGTCTGACTGCAAATCAAGCAGTATGGACACCCGCTCTGGGCTGACACACCTGGTCCATCCCCATCTTCTCTGCTGCCTTAGGCCTGGGCTGATTCCTACCTTCCCCCACGTGCCCAGCTAGGAGAATTCCTCCCCCCACCCTGCAACGGGCACACAGCACACCCATCATTCAGAGTTCGGTGTTCATATTCCCACAAGGCTCTCTCCCTCCCTCCCTGCGTGTCCAGTCTTCGCTTTGGGGGCTGTTTCCTGAGGGCAGAGGTAGTGGGATGAACTTCACACTACCCCCCCCCCCACCCCAGGCCTTGTGCTGCCCTGCTGGCTCCTCGAGCACCTGCTAGAGTGGAAGGCCAGCCCTGCACACGGAGGCCCACTGAGGACCCGGATGTGACTCATAGAATGAGTATCTGTGCGTCTCATCCACTCCAGTAGGAAAGGAGAGGGGCTAGAGAGAGCACACCACAGTGGCCCTGAATGCTGACAGAAAGCTCTGGAAGGGGAAAACGACACAGGTGAGACTATCTGCCAGTCACCCCAAAGAAAGGGGATGTGTGTTTGTCTCTGCTCAACAAGTACAAGGGGAAGAACCCCAGGAAGCAAATCACAGCTTTCTGGTACTCTCCCCTTCCTGAGCCTCAGTTTACCCAGACAGGGATCAAGCCAGAGGTCCTGCCATCAAAGATGTCAGCTCATCAAGTCAAGAAGCAGGACCAGAGTGTTACCTTTAAGAAAATGAAACTTTTTCAAGAAGCTGGCTCCCACAAAGGAGTCGCAGAGGTAGAGCAGGAGCCCGCTGAACTTCAGCTCTGAGCAGCTGGCATTGAGAGAGTGCGGCCTGGAGCTCACATAGCAAACGGAAATCTGAAAAAGAACGGACCCAAGACTAGCGCCACTTCCATGCAGCGCTCGGCGACCAGGGGCTCACACCCAACAAACCTCTTGGCCAAGGTCAAGATCGGTAGAAGGTGAGGGTGAGGGTTGGGGAGGCGGGGGAAGAATGGAGATATAACACTGTCCTGCTATTTCCAAACTCATATCTAGGAGGTAGATCCAGACTTGTTACATTCATGAATTGATCTGAGATTCAGAAATGTCATGCTGTCAGAGTTGAGTGGGATTGAAAGCATCTTCTATTTAGGGATGGAATCCAGTTCGCTCAGCCTCGTTCTTGCTCGTTACCAGGCAGGGCTAGACAGCTGAGACGCGGGGTTCAATGCGGGTGGCCCTCAGAACCCATGGGTTCCCTCCCCATCCACGGACCCAGCGAAGCACCAATCAAAAATATCTGGGAAAACTCAGGCTCATGCCTACATAATCCCAGCTAAATGCTCTGGAGGCTGAGATCTGAGGATCACGGTTCAAAGCCAGCCAGGGCAGACAAATCTGAAAGGTTCTTATCTCCAATTAACTAGACAAAAGCCAAATGTGAGGGCATGGTTCAAGTGGTAGAGATCCAGGTGTGAGAGAAAAAGTCAAGCAAGATGACAAGGTCCCAAGTTCAAGCTCCAGTTCTGGCACAAATATGCATGGATGTATACATGCATTTTTGGTATGCATGCATGCATGTATGTATGTATGTATGTGTGTATGTATAAATATATGTGTGTACATATAGACATAGAGAGAAAAAGCTGTGAAAAGTTGTATGTTACTGGACATGTGCAGGCTATTTCCCTATGCAATATAGTATTTGCATGGGCTTTGGGCGAAATAATGTAGCGATGGTTTAAAGTGCCCGGACGTGGCTCAGTGACCTGCCAGTGTTGTAGCAGTGTCTGGTGTGCACAGGGTACTGGGTCTGTCTGGTCAGTCCCCGTGGGCTCCATCTGGGATGCCAACCCACCTCTGTTCCCAGGGGTCCCTCCACCCCATGGGTCCCGTGGCGGGCGCTACCTGTGATCCCAGGTTGAGGTAACAGTCCACGGACAGCACGGGGTGGCTGCGGTTCTTCAGGGACAGTGGGAAGAAGCGGGGACTGTGATACTGGAGGAATTTCTCGAGCAGGAGCTGGGCTGGGGCCGCCAGGAACGTGTGTTTGCTGTCCGGGGCACAGATGTACTGGGCCGGCACAATGGCCACGGAGCTGTCAGACACCTGCCAGGGAGAGCGGGGTGTGGGCGTCAACCGAGCTGCTCAGCCATGCCATGAATTAAGAACACAAGCCTCAAGTCAGGTGCCAGGGGCTCATGCCCGTAATCCTTGCTACTCAGAAGGCTGAGATCCGAGAATCACTGCCCCAAGCAGGCCCAGACAGAAACATCCAAGCCACTCAGATTCCCAATTAACCAACAAAAAGCTGGAAGTGAAAGCATGGCTCAAGATGTAGAGTACTAGCCTTGAATACTAGCTAAGCAAAGGTACAACAAGGCCCTGAGTTCAAATCCCAGTACTGGCACAAAAATACGCACACCTCAAGGATAAGATTGCCATGAAGAAAAATTAGGCTTTGTGGAAATGAGGTCTGGAAAGTGACCGATGCGAGGGGCGGGGGTTGTAGCTATGGGGTCTCCCATGCAGAAAACTGAACGAATGCTCCGTAGGAAACCAAAGAAACCACAGAGACGCCTCCCCAGCACGCTCCTGGGGGTAGCCACCCTCACCCCAACCTCTGGACCTGCGCTACATCATGTCCTCCTCCCCGCCCTCCCTCCAGCCCTCAGAGCCCCCCAGCCCTCGCCATCACCCACACGTCTCCCATACAGACTGTTCAGTAAGTAAAATGGAACAGATCCTCTGTCAGAAACACCACCACGGTTCTTTGTTGCTTCTACCGAAAAGTCTAGATCTTTCCCATGCTGGCAGCAGAAACACGTCTGGCTCTTCCCTCTCACCCGGCCTGGCTTTCCAGGCTTCCCGCTCGGGGATCCGCCCCGGGGTTGCCCTGTGGCCTTTGCACATGGACCTCTCCTACCCCAAGCTTCTCACCACGGACTTGAACCTAACCTCTGCCTCAGCTGCAGGCTGCGCACATACGGGTGACACATACATAAGTGGCAGCAATGAAGTGATCTCACTCCCATGAAAGACCACAAAATAGTTCACGCTTTCCTCCACAGAACCAATGTGGAACGTAACCTAATAGAAAATAACATTATGTTCAAGATTGAAATGAAGATTCAGAAATGACACTGAGGAACAACAAAAAAAAATTAACAGTTTTAAAGGTATATCAATCAGAAGGGGTGACATTGTCCAAGAAGAAATGTACTGGTTACCTAACTTACGTAACTGTAACACCTCTGTACATCACCCTTCTAATAATAATAACACCAGCTGGGTGCTGGTGGCTCATTCCTGTAATCCAACCTGGGCAGGAAAGTCCATGAGACTCTTATCTCGAATGAATGAGCAGAGAACCAGAAGCAGCACTGTGGCTCAAAATGGTAGAGTGCTAGCCTTGAGCAAAAGAGTTCAGGGACAGCGCCCACATCACCCCCCCCCAAAAAAAAAGGAAGAAGAACAAATATGATAAAGATCCCAATTCTTCTCAATTGGAACTATAATTCCAACACAATTTCAGCTGACGAAGCCCCAGTGGTGTTGCCTTAGCTCAATGGCTCCTAAGTTCTCCTGTGAGGCCTCCTAGTTTTAGGGGCTGCTATGCCGTATAAGAAATGAGGGTGGGCTGTGGGGGGGGGGGGGTGTGGAGCTAATGTCTGAATCTAGGCCTGGCCCAGCTCAGCAAAGAGCCGGCAGAGACCAAGAAGGGCAGAGACAAGGCAAAGAAGCTGGTATTGGAGCTAAGATTCAAGGCTGGCTGCAGGTGATAAACAAGGACCTTCAGGCAGAGATAACAAAACTCTGGGACTCTCTCCATGTCACCTTAAACTGCCTGCACCTGCCGAGTCAGAGCCGTCTCCATGTGGTCTCTCGCGGACAGCTCCCGCACTAAGCAGCCTGTAGGGCCAGGCTAATGGCTCCTGGCCAGGCACCATCCCAGGGGCCCCTGCCATTCCTGACCCAGCGGCGTGGCCAAGGCCCACCGCAAAGGCTGTTGGTGAAGGCCGTGCATCGAGTAGCAACCTAGAACATCCCGGTTAAAGTCCGTGAGGAGAGTATCTTTGCTAACCCCTCCCAGGGGTCCCCAGAGAGACCAGGAGGCGCCCGCCATGGCTCGCTCCTCAGCTCTCACGTCCCACGGCCCAGCTGTGTCCTGGCCTCGTGCCGGCCGCGCACCGTGCTCACCTTGGACGTGATATGGAAGGACCTGTGTCCACCCACGGCGATCTGCTTCTTCATCACGCTGAAGCGGTTGAAGCGGCAGAGCAGGAGGCCGGCGCTGTGCAACCTCAGGTTGAAGTCCACGTCGTCACATGTGAACCTGACCGAGCAGAGGAGCCCATCGGACCGGCCCAGAGCCCCGGCCCACCGCCACTCCCTCGAGGCCTGCAGCGAGGCCGGGTCATGGGGGCGGGCGGGCTTTGCTCCCATCTCCAGGCCTTATTCTAGGGGACTACTCGGGAGGCTGAGCGAAGGGAAGGGGGGAACCAGCACAGCCCCAGGGTAAGCGTGGGTGCTTGTTCTAGCTGAGGGACAGGCTAGAGAGAAGGCGCCTGGCTATGCTGAAAGCTGCCAAGTGGCAGGAGGCAGGCCGCAGGCAGGTGGCCAGCCCACACCCCTGAGCGGACCGGCGTGGGCACATGCCACTGCCTGGCCTATGAACACACTCAACCGACGTATTTCCACAGCTAGACACCAGAAGCTACTCATGGAAATTATTTCATTGTTTTTTCCAATGGGGATGCTCTTTTTGAAACAAAGGGGACATATTTGTACCCAGGCACCAGTAACTCACACCTGTGATCCTAGCTACTCAGGAAGCTGAGATCCGAGGATCTCAGTTTGAAGCCAGCCCAGGCAGACAAATCCATGGGACTCTTAGCTCCAATTAACCACCAAAAGGCTAGAAGTGGAGCTGCAGCTCAAGTGGAAGAGCACCAGCAGCCTTGAGTTGAAAAAGCTAAGGGGCAGCTCCCAGGCCCTGAGTTCAAGCTCTAGGATCAGAAAACAGACACAAAAACGAAGTGAGGTATTTGAAGAGGGAGCCCCAAACACGCAATACACAGCACAAGTGAGCTGATGAATGAAGCAGAATAACTTTATGGAAATAGGCAACCTTATACAGCACTGGATATGGGTGAGGACTGGAAGCCAGGCCAACGCTGTGGGCAGAGCCTCTGTTGGGCTGTCCTACAGGTGGAGGTGCGGGGACATCTGTGGGGTCTGCCCAAGGCCCTCCCCGCGCCCACCCCATGCTCAGGGCCCCAGGGAGCGGCCGCCCTGCTCCCCTCGCCTCGCCCAGCTGGAGCCCAGGGCACCCCTCCTCACACCCACGCTGGGCTCCTCACACGGGGCCTGGTGCTCACCGGTTCTGGTTGTACTGCACATTCTGTGTGAGATCCACATTGAGGATGATGAAGTCGTGCACGTGGCAGTGGGAGAAAGGCTCTCGCACCTGGCTCTGCCTCGTCTTGCTGGCCCATTTCCGCAGGCCGATCAGGGCGTAGTGCGTGATGTTCGGGGAGGCCTCGATGTGCTGCATGATGTGCTTCAGAGAGACGCTCCTCTCCGACCATGAGAAGTCCCTGCGGGAGGCGTCCGTGATGCCCCAGGCTGACGGGCCTCTGGGCGGCAGGGTGGCTTCGCGCTTGCAGGGTTGGCGCAGACCGCGGCCACCACCGGCCTCCAGGGGCAGGCGCCACGCCACGCATTTCACCTTTGTGGTCATTTCCTTCTGTGGCACAGGCTCTCACCCATGTCCTTAACTTAGGTCGTAAATCAGTTAAGCCTCACAAGAAAGGGTAGCCTGGGTATCAACACCCTCAAAGGTGATGAAATCAGCCCCCAAAATGATCTAGTTGCTGATGTGAAGTCACATCACAGGCCTAACAAAGCCAGGAGCTGGCGTCACGTTAGCAGGAGAGCCCGATGGAGCCAAGAGGGGCATCTCTGGAATTCTCATGTCTGCTCCTTCATATGGGTTTGATTAAACAGGCGTGCTCAGTTTGCGAGAACTTCTGTCTATCTATCCTAAGTATGAACCTTTCCTTCTTCTGAGGGGACTGGGGTTTGAACTCGGGGCTTTGTGTTGCTAGGCAGGCGCTCTACCCTGTAAGTCACACCTTCAGACGTTAATGCTCTAGCAATTTTTTGTTTGTTTGGTTTTTGTCAGTCGTAGGGCCTGAACTCTGGGCCTGGGCGCTGCCCCTCAGCTCTTTAACTCAAGGCTAGCGCTCTACCACTTGAACCACAGCGCCATTTCTGGCTTTTTCTGTTTATGTGGTGCTGAGGGCCTCATGCATGTGAGGCAAGCAATCTACCACTGAGCCACCTTCCCAGCCCTATGCTCTAACAACTTTTAAGACAGGGTCTCATTGTTAGCCTGGCCTGCCATGGAATGACAGGTATGTACTGCCTCCGCCAGCCTTTCTCTGTTAAGGTGGTAAGTGGAGAATGCTTGCCATTGCTGGCCTTGAACCTCAATCCTCTTGATGTCAGCCTCCCATGTGGCTGGGACAACAAGCATGAGCCACCACTGCCTGGCTTCTTTTCATTGTGTGTGTGTGTGTGTGTGTGTGTGTGTGTGTGTGTGTGTGTGCATGTGTGTGTACTATAAACATGCACTTACTGTACATGCATATACTTACTATATACACATATATTTACTGAATGTTATTTACCATATGCATATGTACCTATTCAAGACATATACAAACATATGCATGTGTGTGTACACACAGTAACTCTACAGTGCCTATGTATTCTGTGCCTTGGTAATGGATTGGAAGGATGTGAAGAAAGCTGGGCTGGGTTTGGAACATGGGTCCTGCCACAGGCAGGTGGTGGGGTCTTCCTCAAAGGTGACACAGGCCCCTGGCTGAGGGCTCTGTGCGTGGATGGAGGCTGTACCCCTGGGCCCCTCCCTGCCCCGCTCCCCGGGGCAGCCCACGTCCCCCCATCCCCCACGTCCCCCTCCCCTGCCCTGCTCCCCGGGGCAGCCCGCATCCCCCCATCCCCCACGGCCCCCCATCCCCCGCGCCCCCCTCCCCTGCCCAGCTCCCCGGGGCAGCCCGCATTCCCCCATCCCCCACAACCCCCACATACCCCTCCCCTGCCCAGCTCCCCGGGGCAGCCCGCGTCCCCCCCATCCCCCACAACCCCCCAGTCCCCGTGCCCCCCTCACTGACCCCGCTCCCCGGGGCAGCCCGCATCCCCCCATCCCCCACGGCCCCCCATCCCCCGCGCCCCCCTCACCGGCCCCGCTCCCCCACGCAGTCCACATCCACGGCGTTCCACATGACACAGGAGTCGTCGGAAATCACGATGAACGGCCAGATGTCCTGGGGCTTGATTCCAAGCTCCTCCTGCCGGCTCCGCTCCAGCTCCAGGTTATGGTAGGACAGCTCCTTGATCAGGAAGTGGGCAGCCCCTGGAACGAACGGACATGTCCGACGCGGGTCTGCCCTGTACTCTCACGCCAGGAAGGACCTCATCCCACACCAGGCCAGCGCCATGTCCTTCCTCCACTGCCCGCCGATGAGGAAAACGCCCCTCGCCAGCCTGCTCACGTGGTAGAGTACCTGCCTAGCAAGTGTGGGGTCCTGAGTTCAAACCCCAGTGCCGTGAAATGGCCAGCCAGTGGGGGTGGGGGAAACACCTACCAACGCCAGCACTGTTGAAGATGCTCGGGAGCACCAGCATGATGTGGTTGGGCCAGTACTTCTTATAAATGGCCATTTCATACTCCTTGACCACCAGCACGTGCAAATGGCTGGCTCCGTCCATCGCGTGGTACAGATTAAAGAGCCCGTGCTCGTGGCGGCCCGTGGTTGGAGTGAATGTTGGGCTTTTGATGCATTCGTGACTCTGCAGAGGAGAAGCATGCGGTGAGCGTGTGCAAACTCTCCCCCTCCATCCTCGGAGGATGGGGTCTCACTTCCACACCCCTCAAACCCCAGGGAGATGTGCGACTCCACTGTACCAATAAAATGCAGCAAAAATGATCCGGTGCCAGTTCCGTCGCCCGTGAGGGAGCCTGGGCTAGCCTGGCACGAGAGGCTCAGCAGAGATGCCAGGCCCACCCCAGCCAGCTGCCGGCCCCCTCAGCCGGCTCAGACGCAAGAGTGAACACAACTCAGCCCCGAGGACACGGCCAGTGACCCTCACCCAGGCTGCAGATCCCCGGAAGAAGCAGCCAAATACTGCTGGGTTCAAAAACTAGCCCCTATCCACAAACCAAACCCATTGCCCTCTCCTGTGAGACTTCCAGGTTATAAGTCTGTTTTCTGGCTGCGTTAGGGCTTCTCCCTCTGAATCTCTCAAAGCGCCCGCTGTGCAGGTGTGTACGCAGCCGATGCTCATGGCTGATGACTGAGAGGCGGTCATGGGTAAGTGTGTCCTCTTCTGACAAATCCACCGACATGGCTGGGACAGCCTTATCCCCAAGGGCCCTTGGGAGCTTGGCACAAGATGGCCAGTGCTCACAGGTATCTGGCATTAGGGAGGAGGAGGGGCAGTGTCCTCCATGGGGCCTGTTTGTTCCTTGGGGCTGGGTGAAAAGCTGGCAGTGGACTTTGGGCTGTCACACTGGACCTGCCGGCCCAGGAGCCCAGCGAAGAGCATCTGCAGAGGAGGAATGGCATCCGGGGTCAGGGGTCAATAAGGACAGTCTCTTCATGAGATAAAGGATCTGCTAAGCCATGCCCTGAAGTCCTTATGGGTGAGTGGTAGATGCCAGGGATTTGCCTCCAGAGATACAGGAAGAAGAGTGAAGAGAGAAAACACACGTAGCTGTGAGTGACTGTGGAAGTTGGGTGATGGGCTCCTATTCTCTCTACCTCAGCCTGTGCGGAAGGATCTACCATGAAATTACAGCAACGAGGAATGACGGGAGGCTGAGATCTGAGGATCATGGTTCGAAGCCAGCCCAGGCAGGAAAGCCTGTGACATTACCTTCAACTAATCACCAAAAAAAAAGCTGAAGCAGAGGTAGAACTCAAGCGGTACAGCACTGTCCTTCAGCAAAAAAGCTAAGCGAGAGCGTAAGGCCCTGAGTTCAAGTCCCAGTACTACCACACACACACATAAAAAGAAAAAAGAAGAGGGATGAACATCTTATTAACTCTGGACACCTTCAGTAACAGTGCCAGAGCTTCTCAAGAATTACTCCCCAACTGTACAGATGAGGAACCTGGCTTGGATATGAAGTGGCAAGTTCCCCTGAATCTAGTGCGCGGCAGCGCACGCCGAGCCTCGTGTTGTTTCTGGACTTGTCAGGGGGCCATGCAGCTGGGACCCCAACTCAGGGATCCCCTGCAGCTGCTCCCAGGCGCCCCGCAGAGCCCAGGCCGTACCTTGTCGGTGACGAGGGGCAGGCGCATGCTCTCCAGCTGGCCTCCGGGTTGGCTGAAGACAAAATGATGCTCCTTGGACTTGGGGATGATGAAGTGGAGCTGGATTTCCTCTCCTAGCATGGAGTAAGAGAAGGCAAAGGCGTGCAGGGTGGACTCATAGAGCTGGGGTGTGAGGGAAAGGACAGAGCTTGCCATCAGAGTCCGGCTTATTCCCCAGAACCCAGGGCCTTCCTGGCCACGACCATCCCTGCCCCGCAGCACAAGAAACCCAGAGGGCGGCTCAAGTATAACTGACGCTCAGGTCCAGCACCCGGCAAGTGCGCCCAGGCCACGCCCATCCCCATCTGGAACCCAGATCAGGCTCCACCCCATCCTGTCACAACACCCGGCCTCACGCCCCAGGACTGTAGAGTTGACATAGGGCCTCATTCTGGGTTGTCAAATAAAGCATTCATGCCCGAGAGTTCATTTTTTTTTAAAGTTAGCTGTGTGTTTTTCCATTGTTGGCACACTGAAACCAGCTCTTAATAAGACAATAATAGCCAGGCACTGGTGGCTCACGCCTGTAATCCTAGCTACTCAGGAGGCTGAGATCTGAAGATCATGGTTCAAAGCCAGCCCAGGCAGGAAAGTCCGTGAGACTCCTATCTCCAATAAACTACTCAGAAAACCGGAAGTGGTGCTGTGGCTCAAGTGGTAGAGCGCTAGCCTTGAGCTGAAGAGCTGAGGGGCGGCACCCAGGCCCAGAGTTCAAGCCCCACAACCGACAATAATAATAATAATAATAGCCAGGCACCAGTGGTTCACATCTATAATCCTAGCTACTCAGGAGACTGAGATCTGAGGAGCATAGTTCAAAGCCAGCTAGGGCCAGGGCAGAAAAGTCAATGAGACTCTTATCTCCAATTAACCACCAAATAAAAATATAAAAAGCCTGCAGTAGAGTTGTGACTCAAGTGGTAAAGCGTTAGCCTTGAACAAAAAAGCTCAGGGACAGGCTCTGCATTCAAGCCCCAGGACTGAACCCCTGACAACAACAACAACAACAATAATAATAACCACACAAACTAGCACATTTGTGGCAGGCACTAATGGTCCTAAGGTTGATCATTCAGCCTCCTCTTCCCAGCCACGCCCGTGTCTGAGCTCTTCCCACCCCGCGCCCTGTGTCTGCGCTCTGCTGCTCTGGCATGCCTCCCTGCCTGGCTTTGCCCTCAGCTCAGGCAGCCTGTTGCGGGTCCCACACTGACCCTCAGCTCTCAATGGCAGGCCTGGTGGGGGTACTTGGCATCCCCAAGGCTCAGAGGAAGGCGGGCGCCTGGCACGTAGTACCTCTGAGCCTGCCAGGGTGCTACTGTTCCTTTGGGAACAGTTTGGCTCTAGGGCTGCAGGTGGTGAGAAGGATGCAAGTGAGGATGGGAAGGCTTGGGGGGTGCAGAATAGAGAAGAAGTGGGGGGCACAGGTGCTGGAAACAACAGTCAGGGGCTGTCAGGGGCCTGGTCATCGCTTGCTGGACTGGCTCTCTGTCTGTGTCCCCCAGAGCCATGTGTCACGTGACCACAGGCCAGGTGTGGCCCAGACAGCACCCGCCCCACCCCGCCCCGCCACCCCCACCTGCTCGCTGGCCTTCCACTTAAGCAGCCCAACAGTGGGCTTTTAAGCCCACTTTGTTTTAAGCAAAACAAAAAAATCACGGTTGAAACTTACTGATCAGTGACTAAACCTGAGTTTCAGAATCAAGAAAATATTTTCACACGTATATTTTTTCTTTGAAGGAAAAACTTCACCTCCAAGCTGAGAAAAAAATGATAAAAGGGTTTCTGGTTTCTCTTTGGTCAATGGGGTTAATGCATAATTTGATCCTTAAAAAAATAAAAATATTCAAGCCAGGTGCCAGTGACTTCCGCTTATAATCCTAGCTACTCAGGAGGTTGAGATCTGAGGATCATGGTTCAAAGCCAGCCTGGACAGGAAAGTCCGTGAAACTCTTATCTCCAATGAACCACCAGAAAACCGGAAGTGGCGCTGTGGCTCAAGTGGTAGAGCACTAGCCTTGAGCTGAAGAGCTCAGGGACAGCGCCCAGGCCCAGAGTTCAAGCCCCATGACGGACAAAAAAAAAATTGCTCAAGTGATCACGGGTGTCTCACACTGTAACTTTAGCTATTTAAGAGGCTGAGATCTGAGGGTAATGGTTCAAAGCCAGCCCAGGCAGCAAAGTTCCTAAGACTCTTATCTTCAATTAGCCATTTGACAAAAATAGCTGGAAGTGGAACTGTGGCTCAAGTGGTAGAACACTACTCTTAAGCTAAAAAAGCAGCTGCTCAAGGATTGTGCCCAGGTCCCAAGTTTAAGCCTAAAGTCCAGCACCAATAATAATAATAATAACATTCAAGATAAACCAGGTTCTGGTGGTTACTCATGCCTGTAATTCTAGCTACTTAAGAGGTTGAGATCTGAAGATCACTAAAGTCAGCCCTGAAAGAAAAGTCCTATGAGATTCTTTTTGGCTTTTTTTTTTTTTTATCTGCGCATGCGCAGAACTCACTGGGTATCAGCCTCTTCCGGTGTGGGAAGGGACTTCCGGGATGGCCCAGTGGCTCCCCGTCGTTGGGGAAGCCGAGGCTGGAGCTCCCTATGAGATTCTTATCTCCAATTAACCAGTAAAAAAAAAGTCAAAAGTGGACCTGTGGTTCAAATGGTAGAACACCAGCTGTGAACAGCAAAAAAAAAAAAGTAAGAGTATAAGGCCCTGAGTTCAAACCTTAGTATCCCAAATAAAAACTATTCATATGCAGTTCTAATTTCCTCTACAGTAAAAGTGACAGTCTTCAAGTTGATTAGCTCCTTAGAGCTCTATCTGAAAAACCCCCATGTCTCTCTAGTCCCTGAGGCCTCTGCGGCCTGGTCTCCACCGTCTTCCCAGCTACCTTCCCCCAACCCCAGCCCCTACACGTCTTTGCTCCAGCAATGCCCGACCACGCCCTCTTCTGCATGTACTGGTCCCTCCCCTTGCCCCGGCCAGGTCCAATCTCTCTAAGCCCTCTCTCTCATCCCCACCAGAACAGTGAAGGCTGCACATGGTTTATCTGAGCTGCGTGGCGGCAGCAGGATTTCAGGTCTGGGAATATCGAGTGGGTGACAGGTTTGGGATTTTTCTGAATGGGGATGCTCCACCTGTGTCTTCACTCATTGAATGAGGATCTCAGCAGATTTAGGTGAGGATGAAGTAAGAACCTGACAGGGCGGCTTCCTAGCCTGGATGGAGTACCCAGGTGTGATTACACCTGCTAACCAGCCAGAGCCGGAGCCATCTGGGGCCCTGGGCTGGGAGCCGGGTCCATATATGCATATCCAGGTCAAATATTGTCTCTCCTGGGAAGGGGTGGGAAGGGCTGGTGCATGGGAAGTATGCAAGTGCACTGCCTGGCATCTACTAGGTCCCCAATAATGACAGTATGTCCCCTTATCTCCATCATTCCGCTCTCCTGAAATCTGGCTCAGGTGTACAGCTTCCTTGTAGGCTGTGAGCCCCAAGGACAGGGACAGGGACAGAGTTCCGTGTTCCAGGACTTGGTTTGCACTAAGCCCTCAGGAAGTGTCCGTGGCACCAGAACTAACGTCTGGAATTGCCAGGACAAAAGACAACCATGACCCCCTCCGCCACCCAGAGAACCTGGGAGAGTCACTGCTCTTGTGGTATGAATAGCACGTTCACCAGTGAGCATCAGAACCGGGGATGAACCATGGGCCAGGGAGCCAGGGGTCCCCAGACTCCAAGCCCCCATGCCGGAATGAAAGCAGGCCCCACGGCCTACCTGGTAGCGGGGATGGAAGCCCATGTACTGGTGGCACTGCTCGCAGTGGTGGTAGGTGTTATACGCCGCGTACTTGGACAACCTCATCCGGGCCGTCTGACGCCGCACATAAAGGTCCTCGGGCTTCCGGGACATCCCTCTGTCTGCACAAGATTGCCCAGTGTCAATGAGCAGCAGGAGTCCACACGAAGATGTCACCCATGCCTACTCAAACCCCGGGTGACCTAGCTGCTCAGGAGGCTGAGCGCCGAGGATCAAGGTTCAAAGCCAGCTGGGGCAAGAAAGTCCATAAGACTCTTACCTCCAATTAACTACCAAAAAAGTGGTAGAATGCCAGCCTTGAGTGAAAATGCTAAGGGACAGTGCTCAGGCCCTGAGTTCAAACCTCAATACTGGTGTGTGTGTGCGTGTGCCCATGTGCAAGCACACCCCTCCACCCCCACCATAAAAGCAACAGGAATCCAGGCAAACATTTCCCAAATAGAGTGAAGTGCAAAAGATAAGAACCATGAGGGTCCGTGAGGACTCTCCTTCCTGACTGACTCAGCTGCTCAAAGGAGACACAGTGTCTCTGGGGGAAACTGAGGAAGACACAGCTCATACCATGTCTCATGAAATGTTTCATAAACACATTTAAGGATCCATTATACAGCCAGCAGAATTGATTGCGACTAAATATGTGAATCTCATAATGCTGGGGAGCTGCCTCAGAAATTTTTTTTCAAATGATGTGGCGATAATAATATAAGTTATTTTGGGGGGTGATGGTAGAGGGGTTTGGTGCCAGTCCTGGATTTTGAACTCAGGGCCTGGGCGCTGTCCCTGAGCTTCTTTGCTCAAGGCTAGTGCTCTACCACTTGAGTCATAGCTCCACCTCTGGCTTTTTGGTGGTTAATAAAGAATCCCACGGATCTGTCTGACCTCAGCCTCCCGAGTGAGTACAATTACAGGCATGAGCCACTGGCTCCCAGCTTCCATCTTAGTTCTGAGCCGGCCATGGTGGAGCACTGGTTACCACCAGCCTTCATCACTACCAAGGTGCAGCACAGCACAGCAGAATTCCATCTGTGTGTGAAAGGCTATGCCCAGGTACTCGGCAAGCAGGGCTGACCTTCGCTCTTCACACTCTGATGGTGGGAACAAATCAGACTGGCGTCCTCATACTTCGGGTCATGGATGACATAGTCGAAAGGTATCTTCCGGAAGAGCTCCAGGTCCGGCCAGGGGTCCGTGAGCTGGAGGTAGCACCAGTCCGATTCCTCCTGGAGGTCTGCAAGATTGGCACACACAGATACAAGTGAGACAAAATAGGAGGTGAGAATGAGTGTTTTTAAACTGTGGCCGAGGATGATGCATGGCGTGTAGCTCTTAGTCATCTGTGGGTTCCCAGGAAAACCCATCCTATCAGGAGCTTCTGGCCCAGCTGAACTTCGGCATGGACCTAAGAAGGCAAGCATGTGCATGAAGTGCTGTGTCCAGAGGCCCTGAGCTGCGCCCTATAAGGCGCCCTCTGCCCTTCATGTTAACCTTCGCCCGTCCCAGAGGCCTGCCAGACCGCAGACCTGCGCCTCTGCATTGGCTGCCTCTTCTGATACCACCAAATGTGGCCCAAACCACATGTTTACCATCTCCCACCAAGACAGGTACAACCTGTGCTGTGCTGCTCACCAGAGCTTGCTAGCTAAAAAAGGAAAACAGGCCCACCTGCCCAATTCCAACGGTGATGTACAGACAGGATGAACCGTATTACACGCGTCACGTATTCACCCAAGCGCGCATACAAGGGGAGGATTCCAAAGGTGTAACTCCTTTGAACAACTAACTTACGGTCTAACCAAATCAATACCTGGAAGCTAGAGCTTCGAGGGGGGGGGCACAGGAAGCAGGCGGAGAGGGGACGGTGGGAGAATGCAGTCATGATAGTCAATGTATATATGCAAATGAAATAGGAAGCTGAAAGGATGGGCGGGGTTGGAAGAAACAGGAGAATGGTGAAAGGAGTGACATTGATCAAGACGTGTTGCGTTCTCCTTTGTACAACTACTTAAAGACACGAAGCAAATTAATGTGTATTAGTGTGTTACTAATATATTGGTGCATTATATTATTTAATATTGGTATATTGATACATCAATGTTTATATGTATATATATACAAGTAAGTCACATACATTACACACTTCCTATTATGGGCAGTATACAAGTTCAAAAGAAGGAAGCGGAGGAAGGACTTTTATATATTGGGTGGCTGCTCAGAAATCAGGAATCATTATCAATTTGCAAGAGAAAACTGGGTCAACTGAGAATTTAATAGGCTTTGATGTCTGGTGAAGTGGTTTCAAACTCTGTCTTTTATATTTGGCAGATCTTAAGAAAGCAGAATGACAGAAGTGCGACAATCCTGCTCATCTTCGTCGGAAATACTGCCCAAATACAGTGGGGGAAAGCCACGGAAGCTCTGAGCTCAGCTGAGGACCCTCCCCCTCCCCCCCCCAAGCAGGAGCACTGGCTCTGAGCTCAGCTGAGGACCCTCCCCCTCCCCCCCAGAGCAGGAGCACTGGCTCTGAGCTCAGCTGAGGACCCTCCCCCTCCCCCCCCCTCCAAGCAGGAGCACGGGCTCTGAGCTCAGCTGAGGACCCTCCCCCTCTCCCCCCCCCCAAGCAGGAGCACAGGCTCTGAGCTCAGCTGAGGACCCTCCCCCTCTCCCCCCCCAAGCAGAAGCATGGGCTCTGAGCTCAGCTGAGGACCCTCCCCTTCCCCCCCAAGCAGGAGCACAGGCTCTGAGCTCAGCTGAGGACCCTCCCCCTCCCCTCCCCCCCCCCAAGCAGGAGCACAGGCTCTGAGCTCAGCTGAGGACCCTCCCCCTCCCCCCCAAGCAGGAGCACAGGCTCTGAGCTCAGCTGAGGACCCGCCCCCTCTCCCCCCCCCCAAGCAGGAGCACAGGCTCTGAGCTCAGCTGAGGACCCTCCCTCTCCCCCTCCCCCCCCCAAGCAGGAGCACAGGCTCTGAGCTCAGCTGAGGACCCTCCCCCTCCTCCCCCCCCCAAGCAGGAGCACAGGCTCTGAGCTCAGCTGAGGACCCTCCCCCTCCCCCCCCCCAAGCAGGAGCACTGGCTCTGAGCTCAGCTGAGGACCCTCCCCCCCCCCCCCAAGCAGGAGCACAGGCTCTGAGCTCAGCTGAGGACCCTCCCCTCCCCCCCCTTCAAGCAGGAGCACAGGCTCTGAGCTCAGCTGAGGACCCTCCCCTTCCCCCCCAAGCAGGAGCACAGGCTCTGAGCTCAGCTGAGGACCCTCCCCCTCCCCTCCCCCCCCCCAAGCAGGAGCACAGGCTCTGAGCTCAGCTGAGGACCCTCCCCCTCCCCCCCAAGCAGGAGCACAGGCTCTGAGCTCAGCTGAGGACCCGCCCCCTCTCCCCCCCCAAGCAGGAGCACAGGCTCTGAGCTCAGCTGAGGACCCTCCCTCTCCCCCTCCCCCCCCCAAGCAGGAGCACAGGCTCTGAGCTCAGCTGAGGACCCTCCCCCTCCTCCCCCCCCAAGCAGGAGCACAGGCTCTGAGCTCAGCTGAGGACCCTCCCCCTCCCCCCCCAAGCAGGAGCACTGGCTCTGAGCTCAGCTGAGGACCCTCCCCCTCCCCCCCCCAAGCAGGAGCACGGGCTCTGAGCTCAGCTGAGGACCCTCCCCTCCCCCCCCTTCAAGCAGGAGCACAGGCTCTGAGCTCAGCTGAGGACCCTCCCCCTCCCCTCCCCCCCCCCCAAGCAGGAGCACAGGCTCTGAGCTCAGCTGAGGACCCTCCCCCTCCCCTCCCCCCCCCAAGCAGGAGCACAGGCTCTGAGCTCAGCTGAGGACCCTCCCCCTCTCCCCCCCCAAGCAGGAGCACTGGCTCTGAGCTCAGCTGAGGACCCTCCCCCTCCCCCTCTCCCCCCCCCCAAAGCAGGAGCACAGGCTCTGAGCTCAGCTGAGGACCCTCCCCCTCCCCCCCCCCCAAGCAGGAGCACAGGCTCTGAGCTCAGCTGAGGACCTGCCCCCTCCCCCCCCCCAAGCAGGAGCACAGGCTCTGAGCTCAGCTGAGGACCCTCCCCCTCTCCCCCTCCCCCCCAAGCAGGAGCACAGGCTCTGAGCTCAGCTGAGGACCCTCCCCCTCCCCCTACCCCCCAAGCAGGAGCACAGGCTCTGAGCTCAGCTGAGGACCCTCCCCCTCCCCCCCCAAGCAGGAGCACAGGCTCTGAGCTCAGCTGAGGACCCTCCCCCTCTCCCCCTCCCCCCCAAGCAGGAGCACAGGCTCTGAGCTCAGCTGAGGACCCTCCCCCTCCCCCTACCCCCCAAGCAGGAGCACAGGCTCTGAGCTCAGCTGAGGACCCTCCCCCTCCCCCCCAAGCAGGAGCACAGGCTCTGAGCTCAGCTGAGGACCCGCCCCCTCTCCCCCCCCCCCAAGCAGGAGCACAGGCTCTGAGCTCAGGACCCTCCCCCTCTCCCCCCCCCCAAGCAGGAGCACAGGCTCTGAGCTCAGCTGAGGACCCTCCCCCTCCCCCCCCCTTCAAGCAGGAGCACAGGCTCTGAGCTCAGCTGAGGACCCTCCCCCCTCCCCCCCCCCAAGCAGGAGCACAGGCTCTGAGCTCAGCTGAGGACCCTCCCCCTCTCCCCCCTCCCCCCCAAGCAGGAGCACAGGCTCTGAGCTCAGCTGAGGACCCTCCCTCTCCCCCCTCCCCCCCCCAAGCAGGAGCACAGGCTCTGAGCTCAGCTGAGGACTCTCCCCCTCCTCCCCCCCCAAGCAGGAGCACAGGCTCTGAGCTCAGCTGAGGACCCTCCCCCTCCCCCCCCAAGCAGGAGCACTGGCTCTGAGCTCAGCTGAGGACCCTCCCCCTCCCCCCCCCAAGCAGGAGCACAGGCTCTGAGCTCAGCTGAGGACCCGCCCCCTCTCCCCCCCCCAAGCAGGAGCACAGGCTCTGAGCTCAGCTGAGGACCCTCCCCTCCCCCCCCTTCAAGCAGGAGCACAGGCTCTGAGCTCAGCTGAGGACCCTCCCCCCCCTCCAAGCAGGAGCACTGGCTCTGAGCTCAGCTGAGGACCCTCCCCCTCCCCTCCCCCCCCAGCAGGAGCACAGGCTCTGAGCTCAGCTGAGGACCCTCCCCCTCCCCTCCCCCCCCCAAGCAGGAGCACAGGCTCTGAGCTCAGCTGAGGACCCTCCCCCTCTCCCCCCCCAAGCAGGAGCACTGGCTCTGAGCTCAGCTGAGGACCCTCCCCCTCCCCCTCTCCCCCCCCCCCAAAGCAGGAGCACAGGCTCTGAGCTCAGCTGAGGACCCGCCCCCTCTCCCCCCAAGCAGGAGCACAGGCTCTGAGCTCAGCTGAGGACCCTCCCCCTCTCCCCCCCCAAGCAGGAGCACAGGCTCTGAGCTCAGCTGAGGACCCTCCCCCTCTCCCCCCCAAGCAGGAGCACAGGCTCTGAGCTCAGCTGAGGACCCTCCCCCTCCCCCCCCTTCAAGCAGGAGCACTGGCTCTGAGCTCAGCTGAGGACCCTCCCCCTCCCCTCCCCCCCCCAAGCAGGAGCACAGGCTCTGAGCTCAGCTGAGGACCCTCCCCCTCCCCCCCCTTCAAGCAGGAGCACAGGCTCTGAGCTCAGCTGAGGACCCTCCCCCTCCCCCCCCAAGCAGGAGCACAGGCTCTGAGCTCAGCTGAGGACCCTCCCCCTCTCCCCCCAAGCAGGAGCACAGGCTCTGAGCTCAGCTGAGGACCCTCCCCCTCCCCCCCCTTCAAGCAGGAGCACTGGCTCTGAGCTCAGCTGAGGACCCTCCCCCTCCCCTCCCCCCCCCAGCAGGAGCACAGGCTCTGAGCTCAGCTGAGGACCCTCCCCCTCCCCTCCCCCCCCCAAGCAGGAGCACAGGCTCTGAGCTCAGCTGAGGACCCTCCCCCTCTCCCCCCCCAAGCAGGAGCACTGGCTCTGAGCTCAGCTGAGGACCCTCCCCCTCCCCCTCTCCCCCCCCCCCAAAGCAGGAGCACAGGCTCTGAGCTCAGCTGAGGACCCGCCCCCTCTCCCCCCAAGCAGGAGCACAGGCTCTGAGCTCAGCTGAGGACCCTCCCCCTCTCCCCCCCCAAGCAGGAGCACAGGCTCTGAGCTCAGCTGAGGACCCTCCCCCTCCCCCCCCTTCAAGCAGGAGCACTGGCTCTGAGCTCAGCTGAGGACCCTCCCCCTCCCCTCCCCCCCCCAAGCAGGAGCACAGGCTCTGAGCTCAGCTGAGGACCCTCCCCCTCCCCCCCCTTCAAGCAGGAGCACAGGCTCTGAGCTCAGCTGAGGACCCTCCCCCTCCCCCCCCAAGCAGGAGCACAGGCTCTGAGCTCAGCTGAGGACCCTCCCCCTCCCCCCCCCAAGCAGGAGCACGGGCTCTGAGCTCAGCTGAGGACCCTCCCCCCCCTCCAAGCAGGAGCACAGGCTCTGAGCTCAGCTGAGGACCCTCCCCCTCCCCCCCCAAGCAGGAGCACAGGCTCTGAGCTCAGCTGAGGACCCTCCCCCTCCCCTCCCCCCCCCCCCAAGCAGGAGCACAGGCTCTGAGCTCAGCTGAGGACCCTCCCCCTCCCCTCCCCAAGCAGGAGCATGGGCTCTGAGCTCAGCTGAGGACCCTCCCCCTCCCCTCCCCCCACTCCAAGCAGGAGCACAGGCTCAGGGCTAGACAGCAGAAGGCCCCAAGCCATTGCAAGTGCTCATGGCCAGGTGGCAATAGCTCGCACTCAAGAAGGGTCTTCCCGCGTGGGTGGCAGTCATCGGCCAGACCAAGGCCACAGCCCCCAGGCAGTGGGGATGCGGTTCACTGAGGCTTAGAGCCAGGCCTGCCTCAGGCACCCAGGTCTGTTCAGGAAATGGGATTTGCTCGCATGTCACACACTTTGGATTGCCCCCTCTAAAATGGCCCCCTGGGCTCAGCTGCCTGGGCTCCTCTCCCCCGATGGAGAATCTGCATGCCCAGCCCCGAGCCTGTCACTCATCAGGTGAACGGGACAAGTCACGCTTAACAACATGGTATAGAAGATCAACCATGGAAGTTTCTGTGACACACGGTGTGTGTTTGACAGGTGGCAGGGACTCAGTCATCACTGCCTACTCTGCCATTAGACACGTACCCCTCTGAGTTCTTTCTCTGTGAGAGACGCAATTCAAGTCACCGAGGCCACTGATGGAGGTGACCAGCCAAGCCCAAGCCTCACGGAGCAGGCCACTCACCGATATTGATCTCTTCTTCGTCGTAAACATCCACTTCAGTCAGCCGAATGAGCATCCGGGACAAAATGCTGAGAAACTGCAGGTAGGCACCTGTCTTCCCAATCTGTGAAGACACTGGGATTGGAGCCTACGGGCCTGCCCCTGGACCCGATCGCCCAGGAAACTCACGTTAAGAGAAAAAGAGCCTCGTGGATACACCACGAGGGCCCCCAGCCTGAAGCAATGGGGCCACTGGACACACGGACACCAGGAGTGGCGGAAATGCCTGCCCTTCGATCACCCCAGCGTGTCTCTCCGCATTGCAACAGGCACATTTATTAAGGAGACTTTATCAGAAGCAGAAAAAAAGCTTGTGTGCTCCCTTACTTACTGACTTTGCTTACTGACTGATCGGCAGTATTGGCGTTCTGAATTCAGGACTTCACCTGCCTGGCAGGTACTTTACTGCTTGAGCCATGCCTCTAGCCCTTTTTGCTTTAGTTATTTTTGAGACAGAGTCTCCCTTTTTGCCTGAGCTGGCCTAGACTGTGATCTTCCCACTTAGGCTTCCTATGTAGCTCGGGTGAAGGTGTTTGCTACCACACCCAACTGTTTCTGTACAGATGGGATCTCATGAACATTTTTTCTGTCCAGCCTAGATTGGAACAGCAATCCTCTCGATCTCAATCTGCCCCATATCTGGAATGACAGGCACACTCCATTATACTCCCTATCTCAGCCTCCCAAGTAGCTATTAGTGCTCAGCAAAGGCTTACTCTTTTAAAAGGAACTGACCAGCAGCACGCCAGTGGCTCACACCTGTAATCCTAGTTACTCAGGAGTCTGAAATCTGAGGATTGCATTTTGAAGCCGGCCCAGATAAGAAAATCTGGGAAACACTTATTTCCAATTAATTGCCCCAAAAAAGCCAGAAGTGGAAGCTATGGCTCCAAAATAACCAGCAAAAAGCCAAGCCAGAGGCATGGCTCAAGTAGTAGAGTACCAGCTGAGGCAAACAAAGCACAAGGCCCTGAGTTTAAACCCCAGCACACCCCACAGAAAATAAGAAATTGATTAAAAAGCAGAATAGTACAAACCCAGACCCTTTTCAAGGTAGATCTAGTAGTCAGCCTCTCCAATATTTTTTAAGGCATGTTCACACGTATAGTGATGTTTTTCCTAACTGATATTACATCACATATACATGCATGTCTTATTCTGCACATTGATTCCGATTTCAGTACCTTGGAGACATTTCAATGGCAACATAAAGAGATCTCTCTTAAAATTTCTGTGGCTGAATCCAGATTTATTTAACTGAGACGTGGCTAGAGGAATCTGTTTTCATGAGCTGTGCATGCTTTGTGGGTTTGTACTAGAGGGCGGATTTCTGGGGAAGGGGCAAGCTGATTCCAGGGGGCCGTGGGTCAAAGCGAGAGACGAGGGCAGGATTACAGGACGGACATTCGCATCCAGCCATCTGCATGTGGAACAGGCCTCTCGGGGCCTTCCATCTGTCCTACACTTCTCTCTTGGGTGCAAGGTGACCTTAGAACAGAACATGGGTGCTGGTGGCTGACGCCTATACTCCTAACTACTCAGGAGGCTGAGATCTGAGGATCGCAGTTCAAAGCCAGCCCGGGCAGAAAAGTCCCCATGAGACTCTTCTCTCCAATGAATAGCTCAAACACCAGATGTGGTGCTGTGGCTCAACATGCTGGAGCTCTGGACTTGAGCAAAAGGGCTCAGGGACAGCACCCAGGCCCTGAGTTCAAGCCCCATGACTGACAAAAATAATAATATCAAATAAATGAACTCCATCCCCTGAGCTGGCCCAGCTTCTGCTGGGTCCGAATCACCCCCTCTCCTCCACACCTGTCTTCTCTGGCCACTGTGAGCGGGGAGGGAGGCTGCAGAGGGAGGACTGCAGCCCGAGGCTCCTCATCCCCACCCCAAATCTTCCGGCACACACAGGGGTGAGGAGGCTGCCCACGGGGGCCGAGGGCCGAGGGCGACCACACCACCAGGGAAGGGCGACTCTCCCTCAGAAGGGGTACAGTATCTCCCCAGCGTTAAAAGAAGAAAACAGCTCAGACAACGCAGTAACCTCGCGGGGAGAGTGGCCATTCACCACTCCAGGCCATTCGGGAAGATTGCAGGGAGTGAACGAACAGATACCGTCAGCCCAGCGCTCTCCCACTGGCCACAAGCACAGGGCCGATCCCCGAGTCCTGGAGCACACTGAGCCACACACCCACCTGCGGGGGCCCGCTGAGCAGCAGCCTGCGGGGATGGAAGCCGTCCGGGCGGCCCTCAGCCCGGCTGCCGTAGTCCATGTGGCTGGGCCTGGGCACGGTCCACTGGCGGTAGTAGAGGGACTGCTCGGTGGAGGTCATGGTCTTGCTCAGCAGGGGGCGGAAGGAGCTGGTCCACATGACGGACGGGGCGGGCAGGAGGGAGGCGGCCTTGGGCAGCCCGCTGCTGTCGGTGGCCAGCACCATGTCGTACACCAGCTTGGGCAGGAAGACCACAGGAGGCTGGCGGCTGGCCTTGGTCATGGCGCAGGGCGGGGCCTGGGGCAGGAGGGGCCCAGCCATGGGCGGCAGCGGTGGGCCAGTGGGAGATGAGCTTGAGGACGGGGTGACCGCCACCTGCAGGCTCCGCTGGCTGGGGGGCGGCGGCGGCCCGGGGCTGTGCCCGCTCACTGCTGCTGCTGGGGCCCCCTGACTCACTCGGGGCCCCTGCCTCTCGCCAAGCATCCTACTGTCCTCCACAGGGCCGCACGGTGTGGGGGACGCAGCCTGCTCCCCCAGAGGGGGCCCAGGGTGAGCCAGGGGCTCACTGCCACCGAGCACGGAGCCTGGGGAAGAGACATGCCTGCTCAGTGATATCCAAGGACATCCAGGGACATCCAAGGTCATCCAAGGACATCCAGTGACATCCAAGGGCATTCCAGGACCTCCAGGGACATCCAGTGACAATGCACCATACCCGCCAACACCCCCTTCCTGCTCAGGGGCTGGCTGAGGCCTCTGGCTTTGGTAGCTGAACCCTCCTGGGAATCCGAGCTGGCTTCAGTGACAGCATGCCAGGCGAGCAGAGGCACGGCCCCGTGTGCAGGGGACCCCAGCCTACCAGGCCCATGGAGAAGAGAGGAAGCCACCGGCCCTGCAGGGCCACACTCACAGCCTGTTGGTGTCTCAGCTACTCGGAGCACTGCCTGCACCTGCACCTGCACCTGCACCTGCACCTGCACCTGCACCTGCACGGAGCACTGCCTGCACCTGCACCTGCACCTGCACCTGCACCTGCACCTGCACCTGCACCTGCACCTGCACACCACACCCTCAGCCTCCCTGCCCACACCTGCGCCCTGAGCCGTGGGGCCCCAAATGCTCCTGCCACCTGCGGAAGGGGCCCCTCCCCAGGTGGCAGAAGACACAGAGGACCGCTTACTTCAGTATAGAGAGGGTTTCAAAAGTGCTTGTCGTTTATGATCTGCCTGGTTATTATTTTTATTCCCAACTGGTTTGCTCTCGTAGAAGACCTGCCTTTGACTCGAGTGGGCGTAGTCATTGCTACACACACGCACAGTGCAACAGGTGGAAGTTGGTGAAGATTTGCAGAGCCCTTGGTGAGGCTCTGTCCCTCCCCTTAGTCCTCCACAGAGCCTGGCACCGCACGGTGAACAGAGGCTGCTGGAAGAGCACTGTGAAAACAGGAGCGCTTCATGCCTGGACCAGCTAGAAAGCAGGTGTCCTTCACTTAGGAAAAGCCTTGTGAGTTATATTTTGTTTCTGGAATCTAGTACATCTGCAAACTTGATGTCTTTGCATCTGCTGGGCTTGAGGAAATTGTTCTCAAGACTTCTCTGGCTTCCAGGAGAGTAGAAGTTTGGTTCTGAATCTCCCAGAAACTACTCTCCTTTAGAAGTGGTAAGACAGAGGTGAGGAGAGAATTTATAATTTAGCCTGGGCTGGGGGGCATAGCTCAATACAGGTTTTTCTCTAGCTCAATTCCCAGTGCCACCAAAGGAAAAAGCACTATGGCCTATAATACAAATTGTAGGCAGCCGTACAGGGATTTTCCTGTCTACCAGGCTCAGACTATGCTAAAAATTACACTGAAGCTGGGCATGGTTGTACATGCCTGCAACCTCAGCCCTTACGAGCTGATGCAGGAGGATCTGGAGTTCAAGGCCAGCCCAGCCTAGACAGCAACTCCGAGGCCAGCCTGATGTGTATAAGACATGTCTCCAAAAAAAAGAAAAAGAAAAAGAAATTGAGCTGAAAGAGCAAAACAAAATTCTTCTCAGTTAATCCAATTCCTATACATGAAAAGTCCCCTAACCAACATTAGGAATAAAATACCCGAAGGCCTTTCGTGCACATTTTACACATTAGTCACCATACCCTGCATGTGAATGTCACCTGAGCTTTGTACAGGCTGGTGACACTATTTCTCAGTGATGAGAGGTGACAACCCCTCCTCCATCCGACCCGAAGTCAAGCGGATGGGCTTTTATTCTTTTGAATCACTCTAGGAGGTGAGGCTGGTGCGACTCTGATTGACTTCTTCAGATCCAGGGATTTAAATGTAACCCGACGGCTGGAATTTCACTGTTGAAATTCTATGCGCATCGATACTTGCTAACTCATCTGTAAGTTGTAATAAAAGCGTCTGCGATCGCTACGAGAGGAGGGGCGTGTGGCTGAGAGCAGGCTGCGTGCGGGCAGCCCCAAAGCCGCAATCCAAGGCTTCTGATAGGGAAAGGGGCGGAGCCTGTGCAGGAGGACTGGCCCGCCATTTCCCATAGGATGGGCAATGAGGCCCAGGAGCCCTCAGGGCGGAGCACAGCCCTCCCCATTCCCCCCTCCTCTGTCCTCCCTCCTCCCTGCTTGCTGCTTCTCCTACGACATCTCCCGTGTCACCTTCGCTGTGAGCCCCATCTCCGCTGCGTCCTCCATGGGCAGGGACTGCCCGAGACAAAAGCCATGTACACAGGCCGGTCCTGCAGTCAGCGCGGCTGGACCCTGGACTCTGACCGCCTTCAAGATCCCAGAGCCCAACTCCCTCACATGCTCCTCAAGAGCCCATTCTTTAAGGCTGTCCCTTCCCAGTCCTGGCTGGAAGCGCAGGATCTGCAAAGGCCCTGTGCATCCCCCCTGCCCCACCCTGAAATCTGGAGCAGCCTGTCCTGCTAACCTTCCCAGGCCAAGACTCACCAGATGCTCTGGAGGAGAGGGAGGAGGAGGCCGAGTCGTGGGACCGGGACCGCTCCCTCCGCGCGGGGCTCCTCTTCTCCGAGGGAGAGCCTGCTTCAAAAACACACTGAGAATGCACCCGAGTCCCTGCGGTTCTTTCTCCCAGCAGCCAGCATGATCATGCCTCCCTACCTGCCCTAGCTTCAGGCCCCCCTCCCCCTGCAGCCCGCTCCCCACCACACTGACCTCAAGTGGAGCTGAGAGGAGCAAAGAGTGGAACTGGCCTGGTGAGGCCAGGACAAAGCAGGAGGCGTGGTCACACCACAGGCAAAGGGAATGTAAGCATTCAGTATTTTTTTGGGGGGGGTCCAGTCGTGGGGCCTGAATTCTGGGCCTGGGCGCTGTCCCTCAGCTCTTCAGCTCAAGGCTAGCACTCTACCACTTGAGCCACAGCGCCACTTCCGGCTTTTTTTCTTATGTGGTGCTGAGGAATCGAACCCAGGGCCTCGAGCATGCAAGGCAAGTGTTCTACCACTGAGCCATCTTCCCAGCCCTGAGCGTTCAGTATTTAGATCTATACCACGTTCCAAAACAGCGCCTGCAAGCCTAACTATTCCAGAGGCAGAGGTCCGGAGGATTACAGCTCGAGGCCAGCTCAGGCAAAATGTCCATGAGACCCCATTTCAACCAACGGAGAAAGCTGGGCACCATGGTGTGTGCTTGCCATTCTAGCTACACAGGAATCGGCAAGTCCAAGACAGCCTGGGTATAAAGGCAAGACCCGTGTTTGAAAAATGATGAAGGAGAAAGGGATTGGGGATGGGGCTTAAGGGGTAGAGCACCTGCTTAACAAGTGCAAGGCCCTGAGTTCGAACCCCAGTTCCACCAGAAGAAAAAACAGAGCAAGTAGTGTATAAATATAACAAATGGGGCCAAGCCACGAAACTCTCAGTTTATAGAGGATTAAGGGGTAGGTGGGGGGCACAGAAAGGGAGGGGGGAAAGGTGAACAAGTGTAATCACGCTATTCAATATACACTATACGGAAAATTAACTTAGTCCCTGTGGGCAGGGACCTTAAGAGGGGCAGAGTGAAGGAAAGGGTGACATTGTCCAAAAGGAAATTAACTCATTTTCTGACTTATTTAACAGTAGCCTCTCTGTACAAAACCTTAATAAAGGGGCTGGGAGGGTGGCTTAGCAGTAGAGTGCTTGCCTAGCATGCATGCAGCCCTGGGTTCGATTCCTCAGTATGACACACACAGAAAAAGTTGGAAGTGGCGCTGTGGCTCAAGTGGTAGAGCGCTAGCCTTGAGCAAAAGAAGCTTGGGGACAGTGCCCAGACCCTGAGTTCAAACCTCAGGACTGACAAAAAAAAAAAAAAAAACCTTAATAATAAAAATACAATTATATTAAAAAAATAAAGCCATGCAGACTTTTAAGAGTCTGCAAATGAACCCGACCCATTTGCCACAATCTCACTGCTGAGTTGATTCACAAAAAGAGAATAACCAGGTGAACCTTATTCCACTAATCATGTGAATAAAGCATGAACCTGAATCTTCAGAAAGCACACCTTTTTGTGTGCTGGAACTGAGGCATGAACTAAATCTCATGGATTTTCCTGCCCTGGCTGGCTTTGAACTGTGATCCTCAGATTCCCAATCTCCTGTGTAGCTAGGATTACAGGTGCGACCTGCCACTGGTGCTCAGCAGAAAGTAGAATGTTCTTCCTATGTTTTAGGAAATCTAGAGCCTGGAAGAACCTTCAGGGATTTCTATCTTCCCACACCACCAAAAAAAAAAAGTGGAGAGATTGAAAAAAAAATCAGAATTCCCTACGCACTCGTGCCTCTTGGAGACAGCGTTCTACGCAGGCGCAGGACCCCAGACCCTGTGGACCTGCGGCAAGAGCCCCGTACCTCTGGGCCACCCTCACCTTCTGCTCCCGGCTCCTCATCCTCATTGTCTGTGCTGCTCAGCTTCTCCCCGTCACTCTCCAGGGCCTCGTTCCTGGCCCCCTTCTCCAGCGGCATCTCACTGCTCACGAAGTAAGCGGCCAGGCCCAGCTCCTGCTCCAAGGCCGTCCTCACCAGGCAGGAGGAGTTGATCAGACGCAGGTCGCAGTACCGCAGGGACCTGGGAGGGTGCAGAGGGTGTTTGCACGGGCCTTCCTCTGGGGGGCGCTGTCCCCACAATCCTGTGGGACCACAGCCACTGCCACACACATATACATGGGACACAGGCCTCCTGCACTTGGGACCACAGGTCCCCGCACGTGGGAGCCTTCTGTGCCTGCTCATAACACGGCCAGGCGCACAGTCTGGCTCCTGGCACCTGCCATGCGTTCTTCCCTGTGGGGTCTGAATTCTAAGGATCACGGAGTTGAAATGGGACCGCAAGCTCCTTTCCAGAGCGAGAAGCTTTGCCCAAGCTCCTTTCCAGAGCGAGAAGCTTTGCCGTGCTGTGCAGCTGCTCTGAGGCTCTGATTATTTTTTCTTTGAGATGGAATGAATCTCAGCAAGCAGCAGGGTGCCGTAAGGTCGGTGACAGCGGAGGCAGGCAGCCGTTGCTGAGCCGGTGGGCCTCTGTGACTCGAATTTCAGCAGCACGGCTATCAGGGCAGTCACTCTCTGAGGCAACTGCCCCCACCACGGGTGCAGTGGTCCCCCACGGCCCCTGAGAGGACTGAGAAATCATCCAGACTGTCTTGCCACCTGCTGGAGGACCCCGTGGTAAGCACCAACTGTGGGTGGAGCACCAAGGGCGCCACCTGGAGCTGGGCAGTGGTAGTGCATCCCAGGTTCCAGGCTAAGGAGAGGCAAGCTGCTCACTGCTGCCAGGGCCCTGCTCCAGGGCCCCTGCCCGGGGCTCACCTGGGCAGGGACTCCCCGTGCGGATCTATCCCACTAAAGATGAGAATACACGGCAGGCCTTCCAACTCCAGGTAGGTCTGAGGCCTCCACTCCGCATCCTCGATTTTCTGCCACATCTGCAGACAGGACACAGAGAGAAAGCTGGAAGCTTCTACACCCCAAGGAGCGCCGCACTGTCCTCCTCCAGAAGGCTCTGGAAAGTCCTTGGCAAAAAGGAAGCGTGTACGTGTTCCCCCGTATGGGGAAGTTAGATCTAAAATATAACTGGACAGGACAGACGTTCACACAGAGTAAAGGAGAATGAATGCCCTGAGGGGAGGAGCCAAGAGGTTCTTCTGCACACCCAAAACAGTGTTCAGTGAAACAAATTCCAGGAAACGGAAACATGGGTTTTGGTGGTGGTGGTGGTGCTGCTTGGTTTGTTTTTTTTGTCGTTTTCTTTTGGGGAGTGGCAAAAAGGGAGGCGTGGAAGGGGAGGAAGGGGGAACAAATGAGGCATGGTATTCGGTATGTAATGTAATATAATTCGGTTTGTAATGGAATTTATGGGCAGGGATGAGAGGGGAAAATTGGAGGAAAATAAAGGAAGGGGCAACACTGTCCAAACAAAGAATTGCACTCATTGCCTGACTCAGGAAATGGTAACCCTTCTGTACACCTTAATAATAACAATAAACTTATTTATTTTTTAAAGGAAACGCATTACACTGTGAACAAGCGCGTGTTTTTGTGGCGAGTGTGAGTCCAGGCCCTCATACTCCCCAGCATCGGGGGCCAGCTGCGGACCCGCCGGTCCTCCGGGAGAAACAGATCCTCATTTGTTTCTGCCCCTCCAGCTACATCCTCCCTCCGTTTCCCACAGGTTCACTCTGTCCATCTTCCTGCCCTGAGCCTTTGTATCCTTTGTCGAGCAGTGATAATCAACAAATGGAGCTGGCACTGCCAGGAACTTGGGGTACAGAACTTGGGGGGGGGACCAGGTGTGCGGGAAGGTGGCTTTCTGAAGGGACCCATATGTACCTCCAGAAATATAAAACACCTGCAATCCATACAACTATTGGGGGCACACCAAGGGTGCCACGAGGGCCGGGGGTGAAAACAGGGACACAAGAGAGGACATGGGGGCAGGGGAACTGGATCCTGGGGTCACCCTGGGCCCCTGGAAAGACCAGCTGCCTCCCTCCAGAGCGCCCTCTGGAGGCTGCCTGGCAGCCCGGGGGCCTCGGCGTGGGCGCCCACCTTGAGCTGCTTCACGAAGTGCTTGCCCACGGTGATGCCGGAGCTGGGGCTGCCCAGGATGATCTCGAAGTGCTCCTCCAGGGCCAGCCGCGCCCGCACGTGGGCCAGCCGCTCGTAGGCCACGGCCGCCAGCGGCGAGCAGGGCACCCGCAGCAGCACCATGAACCCGTGGCCGCACGGGCACTGCTTCGGGGAGTTGAGGAGGTTCTGCGTGATCTCCAGCGTCTCCACCGACGTGTGGTTCTTCATCTGGGGGAGGCCGCTCACCGCCATCATGGCCGCCGCATAGTGCTGGACGAGAACAAAGGTCCTGATCACCGCACTGTGCAGGCGGGGAAACCTGCAGGGAACACAGAGACACCCGGCCGTGACCCCAGGCCCAGGCCGGCCGCTGCCAGCACAGCCTTCCCAGACGCCTTGGCCTTCACAGACAAGGAGCGCAGCCCAAAGCCCACAGAAGCCCAGGTGGAGATGCCCTCGTTCCTTCCAGCCAGGAGACAAAGCCTCCGCCTGTTGTTGCCGCCCTTAGCATTTTGTAGCTGCCCAGTGTGTGTTTCTGCCCCTTCTCATCTTTCAAACATGACAAGTATCATTGGTCAAAGTGACTTGAGCACACAAGAAACCAGAATCCCCTTCATGGGGAGACTGAGTCACACCCTTCCTGGAAGCCACAGTGGGTGGCCCGCACCCCCGCTCTCCTGCTCCAAGCCCTGAGCACGCGGCGTAACTCCAAAGTGACATCCGTACCTTTTTCCCAGGGCGGTCACCATGGCCTCGAAGGAGCTGTCATATCTGAGCAAGGGGAGGCTGTGTCCCGACAGGGTGGACTCGATGAACTCCGACAGCCCGAAGTACTTCTTACTCTCCTGATACAAGTCCACACCCTGAAACACACCAGAGCATCTGTCACGCACAGGAAGTCCAGCTCAGGTGCCAGGACTGCAGGTGACCTGGATGGGCATTGTCATCTGACCCTGAAGTCCCCTGGGCGGCCTTCTACCACCTTCATTCTGCATACCCAGAGTAAAGAGCCGCGGGGCTGTAAGGACAGTTCAATCCCAGCTTGCCATTCCCATGGCCAAGAGACTTCGCTGAAGAGATCCACCTTATCTTTTCTCTTCTTTTGTCCATTAAAAATGTAATCCTAGCCAGACACTGGTGCCTCACGCCTGTAATCCTAGCTACTCAGGGGCTGAGATTTGAGCATCACTGGTCAAAGCCAACCTGGGCAGGAAAGGCCATGAGACTTATCTCTAATTAACTACCAGAAAACCAGAAGTGGCGCTGTCACGCAAGTGGTAGAGCACTAGCCTTGAGCTGAAGAGCTGAGGAACAGCGCCCAGGCCCAGAGTTCAAGCCCCACAACCAACAACAATAACAACAAAAATGTAATCCTAACCTGGATCTCAGGAAGCTGAGATCTCAGGATCACGGTTCAAAACCAGCCTGGGCAGGAAAGTCGTGAGACTCTTACCTCCAATAAACCACCAGAAAACCAGAAGTAGAGCTGTGACCCAAGTGGTATAACATTATTAGCCTTCAGCAAAAGAGCCCAGGGACAGTGCCTAGGCCCTGAATTCAAGCCTCATGACTGACAATAACAACAACAACAACAAAAAGTAATTCTAGCCACTTGGGAAAGTGATATCTAAAGAATACAGTTCAGCTGGGCGCTGATGGCTCACACCTATAATCCTAGCTACTCAGGAGGCTGAGATCTGAGGATCTCGGTTCAAAGCCAGCTCAGGCAGGAAAGTACGTGAAACTCTTATCTCCAATAAACCACCAGAAAACCGGAAGTGGCGCTGTAGCTCAAGTGGTAGAGTGCTAGCCTTGAGCTGAAGAGCTGCCCAGAGTTCAAGTTCAAGCCCCATGACCGACCAAAAAAATAAAATTTTATATATATATATATATATATATATATATATAGGGCAGAACAATCTGAGAGCATCTCATCTCCAATTAACCAGTATAAAGAAGGGAGAGAGGTGTGGCTCAAGTGGTAAAGCACTAGCCAGAATGAAAAAAAACACAAGGCCTTGAGTTCAAGCCCACGACCAGCACAAAAAAAAATTCTTTTTTAAAAAACTCTTCTTTCCATAACTTTAAGCTAGTTTTAGAAATAAGCAAATAAACTAGCAATTTCAGTAGGAAAAAAATTCCTCTAACCCATCTTACACTGACATAAAATTCCAAACAAACACTGGAGCATCTCAGAGTTTAAAGCATGCTAAAGCTGGAGGACACCGTTAAAAATACCAAGATGTGAACTTGACTCAAATAGCAGAGCAGTTAATCAACAGGACCAAGCAGCTAGCACCTGGGCTACATCCCAGCTCCACATACATGGTCTTGGGCAATCAGTCCATCCCTCCTTATCCTCTTTCCCCATCTATGTGTCAAAAATCTTCCCAGCTTGGGCTGGGCAGGTGGCTCAGTGGTAGAGCGCTTGCCTTGAGGCCCTGGGTTTGATTCCTCAGCACCACATAAGCAGAAAAAAGCCAGAAGTGGTGCTGTGGCTCAAGTGGTAGAGCGCTAGCCTTGAGCTGAAGAGCTGAGGGACAGCATCCAGGCCCAGGGTTCAAGCCCCAAGACCGACAAAAAAACAAACAAAACGACATCCTCTCCCTGGAGTTCTCAGGTGTAAAGCCCTTAGCAGACGGTGTCCATCCACCACTGATGCCACCCTCACTGCTGAGTTCTGGCACTGAAGCCGCACATCCGCGTTCTTAAAAGGCCTCGGGTGCTCTCAAGAATTCCACATTACTCACTCTTTAAGCAACTAGCTATAGAATCTAACCAACCAGACTTGCTTTGGTCCTTTACTTTGAGGAGAAAATGGCAGGTAATAAACTAAAACCAAGCCAGGCACCGGTGGCTCACGCCTGTAATCCTAGCTACTCAGGAGGCTGAGATCTGAGGATCTCGGTTCAAAGCCAGCCCAGGCAGGAAAGTTCATGAGACTCTTATCTCCAATAAACCGCTAGAAAACCAGAAGTGGTGCTGTGGCTCAAGCGTTAGAGTGCTTACCTTGAGCTGAAGAGCACAAGGACAGCGCCCAAGCCCAGAGTTCAAGCCCCACGACTGACAAAATAAATAAATAAATAAAATAAAATAAAACCAAACTCCCAGGTGCATGTTCAGTCTGCTAAAGGAGATTGTGAGGCCAGCTGTCCACAGATGCAGGGTAGAAAATACAGGAACGGCTGGGTACCAGTAACTCACATTTGTAATCCTAGATACTCAGGATGTGGGAGATCTGAGGATCTCAGTTCAAAACCAGCCTCGGCACGTAAGTCTGTAAGACTCTTACCTCCCAGTTAACCACCAAAAAGGTAGAAATGGAGCTGTGGCCTAAGTGACAGGGTCCTAGCCTTGAACAAAAGAGCTGAGTGCAAGACCCTGAGTTCAAGCCCCAATACTGGCAACAAGAACAACAGAGTAAGAATTTAAACCTACCCTAATCCCAAGTCAAATCAAAGATCCACTCCTCTCCAACCACAGGACTCAAGACTTCTGATAAATGCAACTTAACTAAACCCAAAGTGCCATATTCTGCACGCACTCACGTTACTGTAGGAGACGGGCCAGTGGATCTCGTTGTAGGGGCTTATGAGCGTGTGCTGTGTCTGCAGGGCGTACGGGAAGGAAGTCACATGAAGGGTGACAATGTTGGGAGCCTCCTTCACCTCCCTGCAGTTGAGCAATCTGTCCACCAAGCCCACAGTCGGGTCACTTTGAGAATAGAGATTATGAACAGCGCTACTGAAGGGGGAAAGGAGAAGAAAGAATAAGTAGAATTATCAACAGTGTTTTCCAGTTCTACAAATGTGTAACTGGCCCCCATCTAAATCTACAATTGAAGCCTATGGCTTTGCCTGTGACTAAGAAAAGAAAAAAAAAGTGACTGAACTTTAGGGACCTGTCTGGGATCTATCTACTCAATACTTACAAGTGGAAAGCCGTGATTATAAAGGATTTCCTGCAGAGTACACAGTCTAACTACTCCTACCCTAGAGCGCTTGTGACTCTCATTTGATCCAATCTGATTATGGGCCTATCTCCTTAAAGGTGGAGAAGCAGAAGCAAAAGGAACGAGGCCTGTGGACCTCTGGTGAGCCTCTTCCTGTCTTACTGACAGGACACACACGATTGGAAACATCCTAGTTAGAGGAAACAGGAGGCACGTTGGCCCAAGATCTATAAGTCAGGCCCTGCTTAGTATCCTCTGTGGGGCAGTGGCCTTAGCACTCTATAAATCTAGAAGACTGGAGAAAAAAAAACTATCAGTGTATTAGCTTCCAGCAGCTGGAAGTCACTCTGAGAAACCTACCTCCAAACTAGCGTTTTCTATCATTTTAAGACTGTTATAATTTTCTACAACTTAAAAGACTGTTCGAATCTCTGGGTTATAAATTATGGCCAGCTCTAAGTGTCTGTGAATCCATGGGAACCAAAGCCCAGCTCTGTGACCTGGTCATCCTGTGGCTCTCATGTCCACCTGTACAACCTCAGCTTGCTTCCCCGGAGATGACCTTCCAGAACAGAGCCCGTGGCATGCTGGGCGGCCGGCGTGAAACTTGTCTAGATTGACATTCATCTTAAATCACCCCTCAAGCAGGGAAGGCAACAGCCTGGACCCCGAGACCCTGCCACTAACACCCCTGCCCCACCCAGCCCTGACTCTGAGCACAGTCAGAGTCAGCTCCAGCCCTCAGCCCCTCTATCGGGAAGTTTCTAAGGTTGCAGCAGGTGAACCCTAAGATAGTGCCTGGAAAACACTCATGACATCTGCTGACTGTGCCCAGCCCCACCCATGTGCACAAGCCTCCTGCCCTCAGCCCTGAGTGACACCCAGACTTGGAAGGCAGACCATGGACCCGCCATGGACCGGTCGATCTAACCTCACAAGATCCCAGTGGGCATGGTCGTGGATCAGGACAAAGAGCGTGTGAGGGTTCTGGAAGGAGTTTTGCACAAAGGCCTTAAATTTTGTCTGGGCCTCTGCATCCAACTTCAGAACATACTGTTCCACTCTCTGCTTGGTCATGGGCTCCTTTTCCAGGCCGAGCTCCAGCAAAACCCCTGAAAGCAGGAAGACACATCAGTGACTCTGAACCCACCCCTGTGTCATCCATCATGGACACCTGGGCACCATCCCCCCCAGGGCCAGCGCTGCGCCGGTCCAAGCTGCAGAGATGGGACAAGCAGAAGGCTCCTTGGCAGAGGCCTGCCTCCTACCTACAGGGGTGGGTGGAGGCCTAGATGTGAGCATCTAGCTAGCTGTGCATCTAGACATGTGCATCTAGATGTGGCCTGTCCAGGGGGGCTAGCCAAGCCGAGTCCCCAAGCAGCTGCTCCAGAGCAGAGTAAAACAAAGGGAAAAGAAAGGCTCTGACACAATTAAAAAAAAAAAAAAAAAAAGAACCTCGGGGAAGGTAGGGAGGGAAGGGATGGTAGGGAGAAAACAATGGAGGGGGTAACAATGCTCAATAGGAAGTGTACTCATTACCTTACTCATGTAACTGTAACCCTCTGTATAGTATCTTTACAATAAAAAATTTTTAAAAAAAAGAAAAGAAAGGCTCTGAGCCGGGCACTGGTGGCTCACGCCTGTCATCCTAGCTACTCAGGAGGCTGAGATCTGAAGATCGCAGTTCAAAGCCAGCCCAGGCAGGAAAATCCAAGAGACTCTTATCTCCAATTAACCAACAGAAAACCGGAAGTGACACTGTGGCTCAAGTGGTAGAGCGCTAGCCTTGAACTGAAGAGCTGAGGAACAGCGCCCAAGCCCAGAGTTCAAGCCCCATGACCAACAACAACAACAAAAAAGGCCTAGCAAAATCATCTCTGAATGTACACAGCAGGCCCCATAGGAGGCCAGGGAAGAGGGACACAGCAAAGGTTCCAGGCTTGGTTTTACCAGGGCTGGGGAGCCCTTATTCTGCCAAAGGTCATCAGGATATTTATAACACCACTCAACACATTCACAACACAGGCAGACAGCCACAGGCCGCCTGTGAGAAGCAGCACAGGAGAAGCACCTGTCTTGTCATTTGCCAAATGATCTCATAGAACTCTCCCACCCCACGCAGATGCTACGATCCTGGGCAAAGAGATCACGGTCTCTGAGCATCCGTTCTGCAATATGTAAAGTGGGGGCCGTAACACCTGCTCCAGCTAGCCAAGAATGGTGTACACTTTCACGTGAATTTAAGTGCGTCTGGAATCTTCTCCCCAGTGGGCCCTGACCTGAGTGCCAGACATGGAAGACTGTCTGCTGGTAGGTCACTTCTGATGGCGGGATGCAAATGAGAAAGTCCACCTTCTCGAAGGATCCTAAATCCAGATTTTGGGTGCTGGAATCCGCGATGGAGCACACATGGGAGAGAAGCTTCTGGGCCACAGCCAGCTGGAAGGGCCCCACACCGCGCGGCTCAAGATGGTAACCTGCAGGCACAGGTGGACCAGGAGGGGGAGAGAGATGAGGGAGGCAGAGGCAGCTTTGGCCCAGCCCCACCCCTCCCTGCTCCAGGGGAGGTGAGGAAGGGCAGCAGCCCCCACACAAAGCAGTGCGGATGCAAGACAGCAGAAATAAGTCCTTGAAGGGCCTTCCTCGGCTCCTCCCCACGGGGCTCACTTCTAACGCATCTCCACTGAACACTAAAGTGGAAGCCAGGGGCCAGGGGCTCATGCCTGTAATCCCAGCGACTCGGGAGGCTGTATTCTCAGGGGCATGAGTCAAAGCCAGCCCACGGAAGACAGATCTAAGAAACTCTTAGCACCAACTAACCAGCAAAAAGCTAGAAGTGGAGCTGTGGTTCAAGTGGTAGAGTACCAGCCTTGACCAACAATGCTAAGGGATAGTGCCCAGGCCCTGAGTTCAAGCCCTCTACTGACATTAACTAGTGAATTAATGAATGAATTAAGTTGAGAAATGCAAGAGGAAGCTGTGGCTGTTTTGTCTGGGGAGATGGCCCTGACCCTGGTCTTCAGAAGAGTACTGCAGGTTCCCCAGAGGGGAATGCAACCATCACGGCTTCTCAGAAATTCATGTGAATGTAAACTCCCCACAATGCTTTTAAAGGTAGGAAATTGGTACAGAAGATGCCCTCTCTTGTATATGTCAGGACGATGACTCGAGATGGCTCTCCCTCCAACTAGAGTCAAGTTCAGTTTTAGGTCTACTTCAACGCTAAGGTGAAGCTATGTCTTCTACCAGCACCTCTGCCTCTGTTTTGGCTTCCAGTCCAGTGCAATACCCATGCCTGGCTGAGACTGGGCCAAGACTTCGCCTTTTGGAGGTCCTCTGCACACCGATGCCCATTTCTCTCTTCCCACCTCTCTCAGTGCCCACCTGTGCCAATTCCCCTCCCTCCCTCCCTCTCCACGTCCACTCGTGCCCATTTCCCTACCTCCACCTCCTGTGCCCACTGTTCCGACTCCTTCCTCCCCAAGCCTGCTCAGGCCCTTTGTGCCACTCACTTGTACACACAGGGGCCCCGCTGACATCCAGGGCTGCTGCGTTAGTCACAGAAGAGACAGTGAGCGAGGAAGAAATATGGCCTTGGTTTTCCTGATGAAATTTGTCCAGCAAAAGATCAATGTCACCCTCTGCCCAAAACAGAGAGAACAAACAGGCATGGGTTTCCAACCGAGTGAAATTCAGACCCACGACTACGGGCTCATAGCGTGCAGGACCCACGCTGTGCGTGGAGCCAGCCTGGCCTCGGGTGACAGGGTGAAGAGGCTGACACGTAGACCCAGACCCAGACAGGCTCACGAGGCGAGGCGGGCCATGATGTGGCAGAAGCCGGGGCACAGTAAGAGGGTAGCAGTCAAGGACAGAGAGGAAGAAGCCCAAGTCTATCCAAGACACTGAGAGGAAAAGGCACTAAAGACAGGAAACCCTGCCTGGTGCCGGTGGTTCACACCTGTAATCCTAGCTGCTCAGGAGGCTGAGATCTGAGGGTCACAGTTCAAAGTCAACCTGATCGGAAAAGTCTATGAGACCGGCATCTCCAATTAACCACCAAAAAGTGTGAAGTGGAACTGTGGCTCAAGCGGCAGAGTGCTAGTCTTGAGCCTAGGCTCTGAGTTCAAGCTCCAGTACTGACACCCAAAAAAAGGAGGGAAGGGAAGGGAAGGAAAACCTCAAAGCCCCCCACCCCACCCCACGCCTGAGGAGCTGCGAAGCCCACGCGGAAGCAGCTGTCAGCCAGAAGCCATCAAGCAAGAGGTGGGAACCGCCCATCATCCGTGCGTAGCCTCAGCGGGTCTCGGCCACCTCCTGCTCTGCTGCCTTTTCAATGCATGCATGCAGTGTCCTGCAAACCCACCTGGGCAGAAGGTGCTGAAAAAGGCCCCCAGGGAATCCACTTGACCGGTCACCAGTTCATAATGGACCTCCCTCTGGTACTCCGCGGGGCTAAGCAGGCTCTCGGAGAGGATCCGGGCTTGGTATTTGCCTGGAAAGCAAGCAGCAGCTAGCTGTCCCTGACGCCAATCCTCCACTCTGAGGTCAAGCTCGGGGCTTCTCTGTTCGCACTCAAGCCCTGCACCAATCCTGGCAAAGAGCAGGGGTTCCTGCGTGTTCAATGAGACAGCTTCCTACTTCGTCCAGTCCCCGTAGAAACACTGGGAGGGTGTGAGCAACTGAGAAGGGGAGATCATAGAGACTCCTCTCTCCTCCCTGATGACCTGTGAACCGGAACTGGTCATCCAGCCCTCTCCGTCCATCCCCTCCTCTGCCTGAGCCGCAAATGGCCTCACAGGCCTGTTGGGAAGTGACACACATGAACCATGCCGACACACGGAAGAACTGCTCAGGCTCGGGGACAAAAGTTCATCAAAAACAATTAATTTCATATCAAAGAATGCGGGAAAACAACCACGGCACAGCCCAGGAGAAGGAGCATTTCTTTTAGAGAAATAAAACTAGTACAAGCCAGGAACCACTGGCTCACGCCCGTAGTCCTAACTACTCAGGAAGCTGAGAGCTGAGGATCCTGGTTCAAAGCCAACCTGAACAGGAAAGTCCATGAGACTCATCTCCAATTAACCACCAGAAAACCAGAAGTGGCGCTGTGGCTCAAGTGGTACCGTGCTCGCCTTAAGCTTGACAGTGCCCAGGCCCAGAGTTCAAGCCCCAGGACCAACAACAATAACAACAGCAAAAAGCAGTATAAAAATGTACCACACTCATGAACACTTAAAACAGTCCAAAAAAGCTAGGCACTGGTAGCTCACACTTGCAATTCCTAGCTAGTCAGGAAGCTGAGATCTGAGGATTATGGTTCAAAGCCAGCCTGGACAGAAAAGTCCCTGAGACTTTTATCTCCAATGAGACCACCAAGAATCTAGCAGTGGAGGTGTGATTTAATTGGAAGAACTCCAGCCCTGAGCTAACAACCCAAGTAAAAGTATAAGGCCCGAGTTCAATCCCCAGTACTAACACACACACACATGCATACACACACACATACACATACACACACACACACATGCATACACACACACACACACACACACACACACACACACACACACACACCAGTCCAAAAAAGCATGTGCACCTCCCCAGGTGTGAACCCTCATGCCAGGGACAGTTCCCAGCCCAGCCCCAATAGCTGTTCATAGCAGGTTTTCAAGGTCACTTTTTTTGGGGGGGTCCGGTCATGGGGCCTGAACTCTGGGCCTGGGCGCTGTCCCTCAGCTCTTCAGCTCAAGGCTAGCGCTCTACCATTTGAGCCACAGCACCACTTCCAGCTTTTTTCTTTTTGCTTATGTGGTACTGAGGAATTGAACCCAGGGCCTCAGGCATGCAAGGCAAGCACTCTACCACGGAGCCACCTTCCCAGCTTCTCAAGGGTTACTTTTTGTGCTAACTTAGGTTGGCTTACTGTCACACAGCATGATCAGGGACTTGTTTCTTATTTCCCTTCCATCCTTGGTGCAGAAGGCTAAGCCTGGTGCTGGGGGCTGGGTTCTGAGTCAGGTCTAGTCAGAAGTCAAGGCTGGGCCAGGTCCCTGGGGCGGGAACGGGAGCTGCTGACCCCGCCATGGAGATCAGGCATGTGACTCTACCAAAGTCCCTTATCTGGGGCCCACAGCTGCCCCCTGCCTGGCACCAAGGCCCACTGCAGGCTCGAAGCCTTCCTACAAAGCCACCTGTTCTGGTTTCCTGCTAGCCAGGAGGCAGCCAGGGCTCACCCACCGGTGACGGCGATGCAGGAGTCAATGGTGGCGTTCCGGCAGGCGCAGATGATGACCACGTAGTTGGTCTTGGCCAGCTTGCCCTCGATGAGCAGCCGGAACATCTCGGCCAGGCCCTCGGCCAGGGAGGATGCGCACTCGATGACATGCACGCTGTCATTGCAGGAGCTGGCGGCCAGGCCGGCGAGCCAGGGCAGCTGTGCCGAGGTGACCGGGGCCACCATGCCGGGGCCCGGGGCGTAGGGGGGCGGGGGCGCCTGCTGATACTGGCGGATCTCCGTCAGGTGCGACTCCCGCCAGGAGCGCAGGAAGATCTGCTCCAGGTCCTCCATGAGCGGCACCTGGTCGGCCGCTGCAATACAAGTGCACAGGGCATCGGTGTGTGTGTGCACATGGTGTGTGTGTGCGCGCGTGCACAACACCAAAGCTGTGGCCAACTAGGCTAACACAACCTACAACCAGAAGCCCCAGCATGAGCAAGGAAGCTGAGTAAGAGCACAAGACCTGAGTTCAAGTCCTAGTACAAGGCACAGCCACAACTGCACCATTCTAACAGAGACACACAATCTCTATCCCTCCCTCCCTCCCTCCCTCCCTCCCTTCTTCCTCCTCTTCCTGTTCCTCCTCCTTCTTCTCTCTCTCACTTCTTCTCTTTCTCTCTCCCTCTCTGCTCTCTCAATGGCTTGTTACTTTTTAATTTATTTTTATCATCACTAAACGGTTGTACAAAGGGATTTCAATTCAGCCTGTCAGTTTCCGAGGCCAACACATCTTGCTCAGTGTCATCCCTTCCCTCCTTCTCCCCCATCTCTCCCAGCCCCGCCACCACTTCCAACTTTTTGCTGGTTAACTGGAGGTAAGAGTCTCTTGGATCTGTCTATCCTGGGCTTCAAACTTTGATCCTCAGATCTCAGCCTCCTGAGTAGCTAGGATGACAGGCTTAAGTCACTGACGCCCAGCTCCTCTGGCTTTTCCACCCTAATCTGATGTTCCAGGAGCTGAGAGGCGCCGCCAGCTTTGTATTTAGCATGCATCTTCCAAACCAGCTGTCCAGCGCTCACCAGCGGACCCTAGCTACCTCACCGTACGGCACCCCGTCCCTGAAATGCACTTTGTAAATTACCTCCTGCACAGCTCGTGGGGCCAAAATACATCTTTGTTACATAAACGCGATTGGCAACAGCTATTTGAACGTGGTGATCACACTGGAATGGGACCGGCTTAGCTGTGTCCGCTCATCTTTTAAACTTTTCCCTTTGAGCCCACATTTCCTTCTAGAGCCAGCACCACCCCGCAGAGTTCCTCGCCAGACTTGACTTCACCCCACAAACGGCTTCCCCTGCTCTCCTCGTGCGGCCCCCTCCATCCAGGTGGCCAGTCTTCCACATGGCCACCTCCACTGTCAGCCACCAGAGTCCCTCCTCGCCACTCCAGCCACGGGGACAGGTGTGGGGGAGCCCGCCTGTCTCCCCCTAGGGCTCCGGGGCTCCCTGGCTGGGGGCTGGGGGAGGGGGCGTGGGGCTCACCCAGCTGGACGAGGTAGTAGACGGTGAGCAGCAGCTGCATCTCTTCAGAGATGGGCTGGACGGAGGCGCCGTACTGCTCATAGGCCCTGGAGACGGACTGCGAGTTCTGGTAGCATGCGTGCAGCAGCGGGCTCACCACCACGTCATTCAGGTTCCCGCAGAGGTAAGGGAAGGTCCCATGACCTGCGGAGGAAGAAACATGGGGTCTCGGCAGCCAGCTTGGACCTAATTCTCCACATTGGCGGGGGGGGGGGGGGGGAGGGCAGGTGAACTGGACTGGGAGGGTCTCTTGGGGGCCCTTTTTTGGGGGAACCTCAGATGCACCTGCTCTGCACTCCTGGGACACAGCTGGCTGCAAGCTCTCATTAGCACCGGAGCTGGGGTATTTGTTGTGGGGTTCAGTGCCCTTAGCTCACTAGGACGTGGGCTAGGGCTGCTCTCGGAGCCTCTGGCTTAGAACTGCTCTGGAGTAAGCCTGTCAATTCTCAGCTCTGCTAGAACCTTGCGCTGGAGGCCACAGCTGGCAGCAGCTGCCTATACATACTGATAAATACCATGTATCAAATGGCAGCACCCTCCTTTTATTTTTAATTTTTATTGTTATTATAAAGATGAACCCAGAGGGGTTACAGTTAAGGCAATGAGTACATTTTGATTTGGACAATGCACCCTACTTCTGGAATATGACATCCATTGTTTGTGGTTGGGCGGAGAGGGGGGAGGGTGGGATTCTAGACTATGCCAGGTGCCAGTGGCTCACGCCTGTTATCCTGGCTACTCAGGAGGCTGAGATCTGAGGATCAAAGTTCAAAGCCAGCCCGGGCAGGAAAGTCCAAGAGACTCTTTTTTTTTTTTTTTTTTTTTTGGGTCCGGTCATGGGGCCTGAACTCTGGGCCTGGGCGCTGTCCCTCAGCTCTTCAGCTCAAGGCTAGTGCTCTACCACTTGAGCCACAGCGCCACTTCCGGCTTTTTGCTTATGTGGTGCTGAGGAATCGAACCCAGGGCCTCTGGCATGCAAGGCATGCGCTCTCACTGAGCCACCTTCCCAGCCTCCAAGAGACTCTTATCTCCAATGATCCACTCCAAAAAAGTGGGAAGCGGCACTGTGGCTCAAGTGGTAGAGCGTTCGCCGGGAGCGCCAATGCACATGGGCAGAGTCTAGGCCTTGATTCAAGCCATAGAGCCAGCACAAAGACAAAAACAAACAGTGGATTGTTTCCGGCACTTTCTTGCCACAATCCCTGCCTCCACTGCCCACGCCTGCCGGTGGCTGCTCAGGGGAGACCAGATGTGTGGCCAGGCATGCGAGCGCCAGCCCCGAGCCAGCCCTGGCTGGACCCTCAACACGCTGCCCTGCCGCTCCGCTTGCCTTTAAAGATCACGGGCTTGGCCTTGCAGATTGTCAGCAGATTATCCGGGACAGACACAGGCTCGCCGGAGGCCACCACGGGCAGGGTCACGGACGCCGGCCCCCCCAGGCCGGCAGGGGCCACACAGGACATGCCAGCGCCTTCTAGAAATACGCCAAGAGCGTTAGGAAAACAGGTCACCCACAGCATCTCCCCAGCCTCTGCCGACCCACCGCAAACCTGCCACCGGCTGACCCCCATCGGACCCGTGAGCCACCAGTGACCCTAAGAAAGCCAGGTCCCCCCAAGGATGTGATCGTGTCCCTTACAAAACCCCACAGGAAGGCCAGAGGAGCTGCTCTTCCATCTTGCAAGCATCAAGAAACTTCCATTCCACAAGACCCTAGGCCTCGTGAGCCACTGAACCGGGAGCTCTGCCGTCAGTCTTTGCAGACCTGCCCCTCGCTCCTGGCCTGAGGATCTGGGCGAGGCCCCAGCCACTTACCAGACTTAGCCCTGTGCCCGCCGCCCGGAGGGCAAGTGCCATCTGGAGCAGATGGTGATTCCGGAGACCACCCTTTGTGGCGCTTCTTGGGTGGCCCTGAGTTTGACAAAACACCTAGGCAAAATTCAGACCATAATTGACAAGACACCCAGGCAAAATTCAGACCATAATTAGGCTGCTAGTAGAAATGAGCTTCAATAAAATTCCCCCCAATCTAGAAAAAACTTATTTGGCATTTTCTTTAAAAAATTGTAGTCTTGCACCAGGCACCAGCGGCTCACGCTTGTAATCCTAGTTACTCAGGAGGCTGAGATCTGAGGATCAAGGTTCAAAGCCAGCCTAGACAGGAAAGTCAATGAGACTCTTATCTCCAATAAACCACTAGAAAACCAGAAGTGGCGCTGTGGTTCAAGCAGCAGAGCGCTTGCCTTGAGTTGAAGAGTTCAGGGACAGTGCCCAGACCCAGAGTTCAAACCCCATGACTGAAAAAAAAAAAAAAATGTAGTCTTAAAATGAGTGTTTAAGTATCTAGTGAAATATCTAGGAAAAAAAGGAAACATCTTGCCAATCTTTATAAATGCTCCCCTCCAAAGATGTGCAGGTGTCTGACTTTTCTCTCTCTCAGCCTGAGGTTCATTAAGTCTTTCAAGTACAATGAAAAAGACCTACTCAGAGCAGGGAGTGGTAGCGCACACCTATAATCCCAGCTACTTTGGAGGTGGAGATAGGAAGATCATGGTCTGCAGCAAAAGCAAGAGACCCTAGCTGTAAAGTTTAAAGGGGACAAAGGTAGAATAGGGTTCCAGGGGTAGAACACTTGCCTAGTAGGTGGAATTCCCTGAGTTCAAAACCCAGAACCACCAAGAAAGGAAAAATAAAAACCCTACTTGTCAGGTGGTTGCAGCAGCAGTAAAAAGAATGTGGGGGGGCTGGACTGGTTCTCAAGATGGCGACGGGGCAGTAGGGAAACGCCACAGCTCTCTCCAACCAAAAAGAGAGTTCGAGTTCCAACCTTTAATCTCCCCAAGAGACCGACAACAACAAAAAGACGAACACTCAGAGAAAAACCAGAGGTGGAAAATAACAAAAAAAGAAAGAGAGGAAAAGAAGAATTTCAGAACAGAGAAGAGCGAAGACCCCTCCCCCAACCTTTACTGGCCGCGCGGCAGTGCGCCAAGCCGCCGGCCAGCCGGCCCAGCAGGGGCTGCCGGAGCCACAGAGACACAGGGGGCTGCTTGCAGATCACCAGGTACCGGATTGCAGAACAGCGGATCGCCAGGAACAGAGAAACCTACCAGCCGGGAGTCTCCAGGAGGATCCCACCCCACCCATCACTCTCCACCGGAGCGGAGAGGCTCCATCCCGCCAAAGCCGCCCGGCACCAGCAGCGCCACAAAGGGACCTGTCGCGATCGCAACGACCCGGCGGGGGGCCGCCCAACCCAGCCCGCAACCACCCCAACTGAACTCGGACTGCAACAACAACTGACGGACTGCAACAACAACTGACGACCTACAGGGTGAGTACCCATCAGGGGACAGGGAATCCATCAAGGGAGACCAGAGCTGGAGGGAATCCCCAGACCCTGACCTAGACTCCCTACCCCAACACCCGGACCACAGGACCCACTAAAACTGGGAACTGTTCGAGAGCCCCACCAGCCGGTGGAGCACACTCTGCTGGCCAGGCCAGAGCAAGAGCGCCCCGGGAAGGGAGCTTAAATGCTCAAGCCAGGAACAGTGCCCCTGGGTCAAGACTACCAACAGTAGAAGAAATTTGAACTGTGTCCTCCAGGCTGCATAACCAAGGTGGTATACACATTAGCACAGGCCTAACGAGCGCGCTCCAGGCTGGGGCCGGAACCAGGCCAGGGGACCGGCACCTGAACAAAGCAAAAAGGGTCAGAAGTGGGGCTGTGGCTCAAATGGTAGGGTGCCAGCCCTGAGCTGAAGAGCTGAGGGACAGCACCCAAACCTAGAGTTCAAGCCCACAGCCAGCCCAAAACAAACAAAAACACATCAGGAGCCCATAGCAGACTCCAGTATTTGGGAGAGTGCATCCAGAGCATCTGATCTTCCCAAGAGCACCCGCAGGAGCAAACACAAGCAGTCTAGGCTGCTCAACCCTTCCAAAGGCGGGAATTGCTACAGCAGAGAGCTGAGAATCCTAAGTGAATAGCAGCTGGAAATAGGCTCCCAACAGAATCCAGATCAGACACAGACTCTCTCTACCAATAGAGAATCAGCAACCAAGCAAAGACAGACACACCAAAACAAGATTGAAGAGCAGTCTCCTGAACCCCCATGCGAAAATCACAGAGAAAAATCACAAGGTTTACCACTACCCAGGACAGCAAGCTCACCTCAAAAGCCAGCAGCCACGCAGGGGAGAGCCCCAGTGGGAGCAAAGCAGGAATGGAAGACAAAAACTACATCCAAGGGTTGCTGGAGGCAATGACTCAAGAAATAAAGCGAGAAATGGATCAGAAATTGAAAGAGCACAAGGATGAACTATCAAAAGATATACAGGATATCAAACAAAAATTGGATGCAAAAATAGAAGCTGCACAAACCTCAGTAAGAAGTGAGATAAACGCCAAATTAGAGGTAATGCATACTGATATCACCTCATTGAGAGGTGAGATCAGTACTCTGAGAACCAACATTGAATCCATAAAGGGATCCATTTCCATCATGCAAACCACAATAGAAGCCACGGTCAACAGAGTGAATGAAATGGAAGGTAGAGTGTCAGATACAGAAGACAGAATACACCAACTGGACCAAAAAGTGACAGATATGGAAAAATCACTCAAATTAAACCAAAGGGAAATTCAAGAGCAAGCAGATAATGCTAAAAAATTTAACCTTCGCATAATCGGAGTGGACGAAGGTGAGGAATTCCAGAGCAAGGGAATGCAACACCTATTTAACAAGATAGTCAATGAAAATTTTCCCCACCTCAAAAACGACCATCTTAACTACATCACAAAAGCTTATCGAACACCCAACAAGCAAGATCCCAGGAGAAACACTTCTAGGCACATAATAGTAACAATGATGGATCTGAATAATAAGGAAACAATCCTGCATGCAGCAAAAATGAAGAAGGAGCTATACTACAACGGGAAAAAAATTAGAATCACTGCAGATCTCTCCACACAAACAATGAATGCAAGAAAAGCCTGGGAAAGCACCATACGAGCCCTGAGAGCCAATAACTGCCAACCCAGACTGATATACCCGGCAAAGCTAGCATTCACATTCGATGGAGAACTGAAAACTTTTAATAGCAAAGAAAAACTAAATGAATACATAAACATTAAGCCAGCATTACAAAGAATTCTAAGAGGGGGGACACAACCTGAAGAAAGCAACCAGGAACTGGGACCTGCCCCAAACAGGCATTACTCAAAGTCTAACTGAGCAAGCACAGGAGGAAAGGAAAGAAGAAAAACTTAGGAAAACGGAATGGCAGGGACAACAATGCATCTCTCTATACTTTCTCTTAATATAAATGGGCTGAATTCGCCAATTAAAAGAAAACGAACTGAGGACTGGATCAGAAAACAAGACCCATCCATCTGTTGCCTTCAGGAGACCCACCTCTCAGCCAAACATACAAACAAACTCAGAGTGAAGGGGTGGAAAAGGATCTACCAATCAAATTCCCCCAATAAGAAAGCAGGTGTAGCTATCCTGATATCTGACAAAATAAACTTTTCATTAAAATCAGTACAGAAAGACAAGGACGGACATTACATATTAATAAAGGGAACAATCCAAGAGGAGGATATAACCATCATCAACTTATATGCCCCAAATATCGGTGCACCCAGATATGTTAAACAAATGCTCTCAAACTTACAGAATAAAATAGATCCCAATACGATAATACTAGGAGACTTTAACACGCCACTCTCACCAAAGGACAGGTCTACCAACCAGAGGATTGGCAAAGAAGCTACCGAATTAAGTGAGGCCATACTTCAAGCGGAATTAACTGACATCTACCGAGTATTTCACCCTAAAACAACACAGTACACATTCTTCTCAGCAGCTCATGGAACTTTCTCCAAAATAGACCATATCATAGTTCATTCAAGGAACTTAAGCAAATACAAAGGGATCGACATAATCCCCTGTATCCTATCTGACCACAGTGGAATCAAGCTAGCTCTCAATAACAAAGCATACCGCAGAAATTTCTCTAATACATGGAAATTGAACAGCACACTCCTTAACAAGGCCTGGGTAACAGAAGAGATCAGAGAAGAAATAAAGCATTTCCTAGAACTCAATGAAAATGAAAACACCTCACAAAGAAACTTGTGGGACACAGCAAAAGCAGTCCTGAGGGGCAAATTTATTGCCCTCAGTGCCCACATCAAGAGAATGGAGACAGACCAAGTAAATAATCTCATGTTGCAACTAAAACAGCTAGAAAAACAAGAAAAAATGGGACCTAAAGCTACTAGACGAAGCCAGATAACCAAATTGAGAGCAGAGATTAACCAATTAGAAAATCAGAAAACCATAACCAAAATAAACCAAACAAAAAGCTGGTTCTTTGAAAAAATAAACAAAATTGATGGCCCGTTGGCAAGATTAATTAAAAAAAGAAGAGAGGAAACCCATATTAATAGGATTAGGGATGCCACGGGAAACATCACAACACGTACCCAAGATATCCAAACAATTCTAACAGACTACTTTCAAAAGCTATACTCTCTAAAGGAAGAAAATCTGGCGGAAATGGATGCATTTTTAGAGAAATACAAGTTACCCAAACTGAGCAAAGAAGAAGTTAACCAATTAAATAAGCCAATATCCTATAATGAGATACAGGAAGCTATCAAAAGTCTTCCAACAAAAAAAAGCCCAGGACCAGATGGATTCACAGCAGAATTCTATAAGACCTTTAAAGAAGAACTAATACCCATACTCCTCAAGCTCTTCAGAGAAACAGAGAAGGAGGGAGCTATCCCAAACTCATTCTACGAAGCCAATATCACACTCATCCCCAAACCAGGCAAAGACCCAACCAAAAAGGAGAATTACAGGCCAATCTCCTTGATGAACACAGATGCAAAGATCCTTAACAAGATTCTAGCTAACAGAATCCAGAAACACATAAAAAAAATAATACACTATGATCAGGTAGGCTTCATCCCAGAGACACAGGGATGGTTTAACATACGTAAGTCAATAAATGTAATCCAGCATATCAACAGAGCCAAGGTCAAGAATCACATGATTATCGCCACAGATGCAGAAAAGGCCTTTGATAAAATTCAGCATTCATTCATGCTAAAAGCTCTGGAGAAAATAGGAATAGAAGGAACATTTCTAAAAACAATAAAAGCCATTTATGACAGACCAATAGCCAATATTATACTTAATGGGGAAAAGCTACAACCAATCCTCCTAAAAACAGGAACAAGGCAAGGATGTCCACTGTCTCCACTCCTCTTCAACATAGTCCTAGAACCCTTAGCCAGGGCAATAAGGCAAGAAAAAGACATTAAAGGGATCCGCATAGGGAAAGAAGAAGTGAAACTATCCCTTTTTGCAGACGACATGATACTATACCTCCACGATCCCAAAAACTCCATCCCCAAACTTTTAGAAATCATAAGTCACTTCGGCAAAATAGCAGGATACAAAATAAACCCACAAAAATCAGTTGCCTTCCTATACACTGATAACGCACAGGAAGAGAGGGAAATAAAGGGAGCAACCCCATTCACAATAACCTCCCAAAAAATAAAATATTTAGGAATTAACCTAACCAAAGATGTAAAAGAACTATTTAATGAGAACTATAAAAAGTTAAAGAAAGAAATTGCAGAAGACACTAGGAAATGGAAAGACCTCCCATGCTCCTGGATAGGCCGACTTAATATAGTAAAGATGGTGATACTTCCAAAACTAATATACAAATTCAATGCAATTCCTATTAAAATCCCAATGACGTACATCACTGAAATACAGAAAACAGTCCAAAAATTTATATGGAACAACAAAAGACCTAGAATAGCCAAAACAATTCTAGGGGATAAAGACAATATGGGAGGGCTATCCATGCCGAACTTCAAACTCTACTACAGAGCTATAATCACAAAGACAGCATGGTACTGGCACAAAAACAGACCCGAAGACCAATGGAACAGAATAGAAGATCCAGATATAAATCCACAGGCCTACAGCCAGCTGATATTCGACAAAGGAGCCAAAGACATACAATGGAAGAAACACAGCCTCTTCAACCGCTGGTGCTGGGAAAACTGGGCAGCCACATGCAGAAAACTAAAAGTGGACCCCAGCCTATCACCATGCACCAACATCAACTCAAAATGGATTAAAGACCTTAACATTAAACCTGAATCTCTGAAACTACTGCAGGACAGAGTAGGAGAGACACTTGAACTAATAGGCACAGGAAGGAACTTCCTGAACAGAGTCCCAGGGTCACAACAAGTTGGAGAGAGACTCGACAAATGGGACTACCTTAAAATAAAAAGCTTCTGCACAGCTAAATCTATCGCAACTAAGCTAGAAAGACAACCAACTAATTGGGAAAAAATATTTACCAGCAATATATCAGACAAGGGGTTAACATCCTGTATATACAGGGAACTCAAGAAACTAATCCCTCCCAAACCTAACAAACCAATTACTAAATGGGCAAGGGAACTAAAGAGGGACTTCTCAAATGAAGAAATAAAAATGGCAAAGAAACACATGAGGAAATGTTCATCATCCCTGGTGGTGAAGGAAATGCAAATAAAGACAACCCTGAGATACCACCTTACCCCAGTCAGAATGTCCCACATCCACAAATCAGCCAACGACAAATGCTGGAGGGGATGTGGAGAAAGAGGAACCCTATTACACTGCTGGTGGGAATGTACACTTATACAACCACTTTGGAAAGCAGTCTGGAGGGTCCTTAGAAAGCTAAAGATTGACCTCCCTTATGACCCAGTCATACCACTTCTAGGCATCTACCCTGAACAACAGGAACCAATATACAAGGACACGTGCACCTCCATGTTTATTGCAGCACTGTTCGCAATAGCTAGGATATGGAAACAACCTAGGTGCCCCACCACAGATGAATGGATCCAAAAATTGTGGTATCTATACACAATGGAATATTATGCAGCCATTAGAAATGACAAAATAATGGCATTTGCAGGGAAATGGATGGAGCTAGAAGGAATCATGTTGAGCGAGGTAAGCCAAGAACGAAGAGACAAACGGTACATGGTCTCCCTCATAAGTGGATGCTAAATCCAAAAGGTTAGTGATACGACAAAACTAACAGGACTTAAGAAACAAAGAACTCCCGCTCATCTGGTTGAACCACTACTAAATATCCTCATGCTGCTGATCACAAATATGGTATATAACATGTGAACACTGTTATATATTACAGACTGTGGTAGACAATTTGCTCCAGGGAAGTTAGAATGAACTTGTGACTTTGAAATTATGTAATCATTTAATCACAATCAAAAAAAAAAAAAAAAAAAAAAGAACCTCGGGGAAGGGAGGGAGGGAGGGGATGGTAGGGGGAAAACAATGGAGGGGGTAACAATGTTCAAGAGGAAGTGTACTCATAACCTCACTCATGTAACTGTGACCCTCTGTATAGTAGCTTTACAATAAAAAAAAAAAAAAAAAAAAAGAACTCTAAAAAAAAAAAAAAAAAAAAAAAAATGAATATCAACTAGTAGAAATTCAATAAACTATTCTTCCTTTGTAACATAAAAAAAAAAAAAAAAAAAAAAAAAAAAAAATAAACGGTGCTGCAGTCTTGAGCTGCAGACCTCCCGACCCCAAAAAAAAAAAAAAAAAAAAAAAAAAAAAAGAATGTGGGGGGATATATATGCACATGTGGTATGGGCTCAGTACCTGGCAGTCAGCACTGTTACTTATCTATATATGTGCATCTATATACACAGATGGGCTGAAGGAATTCTGTTGTTGTTTGGTGGGAGTTGTTTTATTTTTAATTTTTTTCTGATTCTGAGGCTTGAACTCAGGGCCTGGGCACTGTCTCTGAGCAACTTTTACTCAAGGCTAACCCTCGCACCCTACTACTTGAGCCACCATTTCCAGCTTTTTCTGTGATTTAATGAAGGTAAGAGTCTCACAGACTTTCCTGCTTTGGCTGGTTTCAAATCACAATCCTCAGATCTCAGTCTCCTGAGTAGCTAGGATGACAGGCGTGAGCCACTGGCACCAGGCTTGTCTTCATCTCCCGTTTTTTTGCTTCCTGGGGATGGATGTCAGTGCCTCACACCTTCTAGGCAGGTGCTCTTCTATCTAAGCTATGCCTCCAGCCCTTTTGTCTGATATTCCGTTTTTGAGAATGAGATAGAGTCTTGTTAACTTTGACTCTAGCTCTAGATTCCTCTGCCGCTACGTCTCAAGCATTTGGAATTACAGGTACTCCCCCTCATGCAATAGGTATTTTTGTTGGTTTTTTCTTTGTTTGGCCTGTTTTTGTTCTGAACCTGAGGCTTGAACTCAAGGCCTGGGCACTGTCCCTCCGTTGTTTTTTGCTTAGGAATAGCACTCTACCACTTTGAGTCACAGCTCCACTTCTGGCTGTTTGGTGGTTAATTGGAGATAAAAGCATTTCATGGACTTTCTTGTCCGAGCTGACTTTGAACGGTGATCCTCAGATCTCAGCCTCTTGAGTAGCGAGGGTTTCAGGCCTGAGCACTGGCACCTGGCTACAATACGCATCTTTGGAGAGCTAGAAGAGGGAAAAAGTGCAATCCCAGAGTGCACCTCCAAAGTCTCACCACCTGGGGGAAGTAATGACCCACCTGCGCTCCCCTCCCTAGCCCAACCTGGAACTTCAGATGGAAAGAGAACCAAAGTTGGATTCACCGCTGCTGTAGAATAACTCCTGCCCACTCTAGATAAAAGCATGCACACGACTCCATTCCCACTACCTGCCACAGACTAGGGCTCAGCAAGCCCCTTTAATCCAGCCTAGACAGTGGCTCTACAGGCCGACTTTCCCAAGCCAGGGCCATGGGGCCCAGGCTGAGGGAGCGCCTGGTACCCTTGGTACCAATGGGGTGCAGGCTGGGTGCCCACAGATCTCGACTCAGGGTGGGCGCCACCGACAGCACGGGCTGCCTGTGCTCAGAGACTGGGTCAATCAGTCACGTGGCTGCCCGGAATCCAACACCCAAAGAAACAGCCACAAGAAAAAGACAGTTGCTGGCAGAGACAGAGTCCACAATAGAGACCTCGACCAGGACAAGGGAGTCCAGGGTTCTGTCCGGCAAATGTGTTTGCTCCCCGCACAGAGGCCTGCCTGGGCCAAAAAGATGTTCACCAACAGAGCAGACACAGCTCCCAGGGCCACCCTGAGGCCCAGCCCCGCCCTGAGGCCCTGCCTCCCTGCCTCCCTGCCCGCAGCCTCTTCCCCACCCCTGTCCAGCTGGATGGTTTCTTTTGCTCTCTTCTTTGAAATCCCAAGAGTACAGCCATCCCCGTCCCTCCCTCCACCATCCTTTCTTCCCGCAGGCCTCTACTGACCACTTCCCCAAGCTACAATGCGGCCAGCAGCAGCTCCAGGGCTAACTGGACGGAGCAGCCTGTGAGACGGAGCAGCTGAGGCCGACAGCCGGTGCTGGCCCAGTGAGCAAGGCCTCCGGGGGCTTCACCGCCCTCACCCAGGCCCTGCGGGGCTCCCAGCTCCCAGGGAGGACACGGGAGGTCACAGAAGGCTGGGCCCAGGTCTCTGGCTAGCGAGAGGCAGAATGGGGCTTTAACTGTATCGGCTTCTGACATCCGTGTTCTTTCTCTAAGCTTCCCAGCCCTCCTGAGCCCGGGCCACGAGCGATCGCTGTCAGCAGCTGGTGGCGTGTGGCCTGACCCATGGGGGGTCTCGGGCACTGCCAGGATCCAGGCAGTGATTCGGGGGCTCAAGGGCCCCCACCAAGCTGGCCCAGCCCAGTGGCCCCCCAGCTCCCTCCAGCCCAGGCCTAACCCCCCCAGGCCAGACCAGGCCAGGCCTGGCTACCTAAGGCTGAGGGCCGAGGAAGGGCCAACAGGCTGTTCTTCGCCGGCTGCTGGTGCTTGGGGGAGCCTTTGCCGTTGAAGACGGCTGGAGCTGCAGCTGCGGTCACCAAGGCTTGGTCACAGGCTGGTCCTGCAGGCAAAAAGCAGCAAGGAGCAGGTCAGTGCACCGCGGCTCTGAGCCAGGCGGAAGGAAACGGTTTCCATCTTTACAACCACCTCTGTATGCTTTGTGTGGGCCGGTCCTGCCAAGCCAGGGTCTCTCTCTCTCTCTCTCTTTCTCTCTCCCCCCCCCCCCAGTACTGAGGCTTGAACTCAGGGCCTGGCTTGTCCCTTGATACTCTACCACTTGAGCTCCACTTCTGGCTTTTTTGGTGGTTAGTTGGAAATAAGAGGGACTTTCCTGCCCAGGCTAGCTTGGAACTTCAGTCCTCGGATTTCAGCCTCTTGAGTAGCTAGGAGTGCAGGCGAGAGCCCTGCAACCACCTGACTCAGCCACTGTCTCAGGCAGGAGTGTTGGTCTGTCACATGCCTTACTGACACGCCTGTCCACGCACGCGTGTGCACGTGCGCGCACACACACACACACGTCCACTCGTATGCACACAAGCACACATGCACGAATGCATACACACATCTATGTGCACACACACACAAACACACACGCACATCCATGCAGATTCCTGCCTACCCACAAACACACACGAACACATGCGCACGCACCTTTGCCCACACGTCAGTGGGCACAGCCTGGTGAGCAAAGGACCAGGAAATACAAGTGGCCAAGGCTCCCCAGTGACTCCTCCCTCCCCGTGCACCCTCTAGAGTTCAAGTTTGTATCAAACCACAGCTAAGGAAACCTTGGGTTTCCCCCCTGAGTCTGGGCTGCTCACAGGGCCAGTTCCCCAGATAACTCTCAGGGTAGCCACAGGTTCGGGTACCCTGAGGCTGCCTGACTGTTTAAGTTGCCCAAGCCAAATGTAATGGCTTACATCTGCTATCCTAGCTACTTAGGAGGCAGAGATGAGGAAGATCTTGGTTGGAGGCCAGCCCTCACAAAAATGTCAGTGAGACCCCCATCTCAACCAGTAAGCCAGACAGTGGTGGTGTATGCTTCTCTTCACAGCTACATGGGAGGCTGCAGGTAAGATGACTGCAGACTGAAGGCAGCCTCTGGTCAAAAAAAAAATAGATTTTATCTGAAAAGTAAAGCAAAAAGCTGAAGGCATTGCTTAAGTAGTAGGGTGTGTTCCTAGAAGCACAAGGTCCTGAGTTCAGATCCCTAGGAAGGAAAAATAATAATAAACTGTCCAAGACAGTCAGGTATAACGGCCTGGGGGACTTGAGTCTGGAGTGACACCAATGCGTTTCTGTGGCTGCAGCAGGCCAGGGGTAGGAGGCAGGGAGCGGGGTCTGAAGCTGGCGGGCCGGTGTCTGAATTCCCGGCCCACTACCCACACGCTGCAGGAGCTGAGACACGTACTGCGCCTCGCCACGCCTCACCAAACAGGGCAGCTGGTGACCAGGACCCAGAGCCTCTGGGCAAGGTGCCAGGAAGACAGAGGAGCCGGTGCCCTGCGCAGGGCCGGGGAAAGAGCAGGCTCTGCAAGCATCCCATAGCACTCGTCACACGCAGTTCTGAAATCACCGGCAAGCTGGACAGACATGATCCAATCTCCCCCAGCATCATACATGGGCGAAGGGTGGTGGCTCAAGCCTGGGATCCTAGCGACTTAGGAGGCAGAGCTGGGGGGATCATGGTTCATGCATAGCCCAGGCATAAAACTTACAGAAAGTGCAACTCAACCAATGGCTGGGCACAGTGGTACCCCCGTCTGTCACCCCAGCTTTGGGGGACACAATGGCTGGGTGTGTGGTGCACACCTGTCATCTCCAACAACACAGGGAAATGGAAGCAGAGGAGAGGGCTCTCAGTCCAGGCTGGCCTCAAAAGCCATAACCAGCCGGCACCGATGGCTCATGCCTGTAATCCTAGCTCCTCAGGAGGCTGAGAGCTGTGGATCGCAGTTCAAAGCCAGCCTGGGCAGGAAAGTCCATGAGACTCTTAACTCCAAGGAACCACCAGAAAAAAGGAAGTGGCGCTGTGGCTCAAGTGTAGACCACTCACCTTGAGCTGGAGAGCTGAGGGACAGCGCCCAGGCCCAGAGTTCAAGCCCCACGACCAACAAAATAAATAAATAAATAAGAGTTAGAGCAGCCTCAGGTCACCCGGCAGAGGTGGCGGTGCCTGACTCTAGCTGAGACACTCGGAGGGCAGAAGCCTGGCACGCCTCAATCCACCACGGCAGAGGTACCCGGAGCATGGGGCAGAGGCCCGTGGCACCCACCACAAGAGGGCATCGAGAGCCCTACCCATGTGAGGGACGGGCCAGGCAGGCGCAGAACCTCCCCACGGCGTCTGGGCAGGAGGTGGACAAGACGGTCAGCCATCTTCCAGAGTCTTCCAGAAGGCTGGAGTCTCTGGATAACAGCTGCCCTGTTGGGCAGGTCTACTCTGCGTGGCAAGTATGTGATGCAGAAAGCGTACGGCACTGACTCTGCTCCCACCACTCCCGACCTGGGAGGCCCAGGCTCAGCCTCTTGAGCCTCAGTTTCCATCACTGGTCTTGTTAGGCTGCAGCGAGGTACTGGGTGGGGAGGGAGGGCGCAACACCAGCGCACAATGAGCGGCTCCAAGCTAGGCAGTCTTCTCTGCCCTCCTAGAAATCCAGTTCAAACACTGACTTAGCTCCCACTACCTACTGAGCTATAAAACCTGGGGGAGGAGGGGCGCTAGGGGTGAGGGTCACCCTTGAAAGGTCGCATTTCCTATCAGACAGAGGACAGGGAAGCCTTCCAAAGGAACAACACAAATTCCCAACGCCAAGTTCACAATGACCGCCCGTGAGGGGAAAGCTAATGCTGTCCGCCGGACCGGCCGTCCGTGGCCGCAGCCTGGGGCGCCTCTGCATCACCTCACCTGCCTGCGGCGCTCCCACGGGGAGGCCGGAGGTCGCCCCCAGCACAGGCTCGCTGGGCAAGGCAGCCGCGGCCCCCGCGCTCTCCAGAGGCGGGAAGAGGGAGCTGGAGCACGTGCTGGCCGAGTTCTGCCGACTTCGGAACTCTAGGAGGACAAGAAGCGCAAGGGAAAACAGTGAGTTTCAGACTAGAATTTGTTCTCCAGGAAAACAGAACACATGCACAGCTATAAAAGACACTGCATCACATATGCCCAGGGCAGGGGCACAAAGCTTTGCAGTGGCCCTGGGCCACCGGGTCAGAATTGAAAAGCAGCGTACACAGGTGTAGAACAAGAGAGATTATGAGCTGATACAGGTGGCTTACACCTGTAATCCTAGCTGCTCAGGAAGCAGACATCTGTGGATCACAGTTTGAAGCCAGCCAGGTAGAAAAATCCATGGGACTATCTCCAATTATCCAGCAAAAAGTTGGAAGCTATGGCTCAAGAGGTAGAGTGTTGGGGCTGGGAAGGTGGCTCAGTGGTAGAGCGCTTGCCTCGCATGCCTGAGGCCCTGGGTTCGATTCCTCAGCACCACATAAGCAAAAAGAAAAAAGCTGGAAGTGGTGTTGTGGCTCAAGAGGTAGAGTGCTAGCCTTGAGCTGAAGAGCTGAGGGACAGTGACCAGGCCCAGAGTTCAGGCCCCACGATTGGACCCAAAAAAAAAAAAGAGGTAGAGTGTCAGCCTTGAATTTTAAGCCAAGTAAGAGCTCAAGGCCCTGAGATCAAGTACAGACACTAATGTACAGAGTACATACACAATCTATACTCAGATACAGAGAGAGCGCAAGTGCTCATGCACACGCGCACGCGCACACACTAGATTATGCAAATGAGCTTGAAAATCCAAAGAGAAGGGTAACATGACCCAAAGTACAAATGTAACCAGTCCCCTCCTCCATCACTAAGCCGGTTACTTTCTCAGGGGCCAACAATGCAGATCTGGTCTTTCTGGTCAGAATTTGAAGTAGTTCCGAGCTGCAGGGGGCGGAGCCTGTTTCAGGCCAATCCTGAGTCAGGCACCTTTGGGACCTGTACTCTCCAGCCTGGGACATCCCACGCATGCACTACAGGGCCTTTCCTGACATCCTCACTTCCAATACCTAGGTTCTGGGAGCACACGCCGGCCACAATAATCAACTATCACCCCCGGGGACAAAACTGCTGCCCCAAATATCTGCTGCAAAGAATCACAGCACAGCGTGGCCTTCTGTGAACTCTTAAATGTCCCATCCACCTTGTCTGTCGCTAGAACAAACACAGTGAGCCATCACAGTCACGTGGGTCTGCCTTCCAGCTGCGATCTGTCATGGGACGGGAAGCGGGGCATCTCCCCAGCCTCTCACCATCCCACTGTGGCCCACGGAGGGAGGGTACTTCCCGCATCCGCCCTCCCCGGCCAGGGCCCAGCCTCTCACCTGAGCCTTTCCAGCAAATCAGAGGGCCTTTGGTCAGAGCCCCTTGGGCGTTGCGGACCAGGTAATACTTCAGGTGCTTCTGCTTCTTGGGCTGGGTGGTCAGTTTCAGGTTGATGTGGTTGGAGAATTCGGTGAAGTAGCAGAAGCCTTTCTTTCCACAGCCAACACAGTTCCCAGAAAAACCTGGAGGAGGAAGCAAAGTGTGAACCTCCCTGACCACCACCTCCTCCTCCTCCTCCTCCTCCTCCTCCTCCTCCTCCTCCTCCTTTGCTCCTCCTCCTCCTCCTCCTCCTCTTCCTCCTCCTCCTCCTCCTCCCCCCCCCTCCTCCTCCTCCTCTAATAAAACATCCAACATGGCAGAGACATGGAGAAAAAAGGAACCCTACAACACTGTTGGTAGGACTGTAAACTACAACAACCACTCTGGACAGCAGTCTCGAGGTTCCTCAAAAAACTAAACCTAGACCTTCCCTACATCCCAGCCATACCACCCCTTGGCCTCTACCCTGAATACCTTGAGCCAGAACACAATAAGGGCACCTGCACAGCCATGTTCATGCAGCATTATTCACCACAGCCAAGATACAGAAACAACCCAGATGCCCCACAATAGATGAATGGATCCAAAAAATGTGGTATCTATACCCCAGGGAATTTTACATAGCCATTAAAAAGAATAAAATAATGTCGTTTGCTGGAAAATGGATGGAACTAGAACAGATCCTGTTAAGTGAGGTAAACCAGGTTCAGAGATAAACCACACATGTTCTCTGTGATATGCAGAAGTCAGATGTAAAATACACGGGCATATGATAAATTATACAAGATTCCGGTCACTCACACACCATGAGACCAAAAGAAGAAACTCTTAGGAGAGAAACACAAAGGCACCATGCCTAAGTGTCTCTTCATATTTATATAAAATAACATATATATTGAAATGAACTCCAAGATATGAAAATAAGAGACCTCTCTTTTTCTTTTTTTCAGTTTTTAGTTTTTGGTGATTCTGTCTTCTTTACCTTATGGTGTATTCACATGTATATACATGCATATACATAGGGTGTATTCAAGTGCACAACTTCAGAAGGGGTGGGGAAAGGTAGAGAACTCGAGGGGAAAAGGGTGAAAATTACAGCAGTGGAACTCACTGGACACTGATGAAAGTGAACTATACAACTGGTGGGTGGAGGCGGGAGGGAGGGACTGGGAGAGAGGGAGGGAACAGAAGACAGGAATGAAAGGAAATGTACTCATTACCTGACGCATGCCATTGTCATCCCTCTGTACATCACCTCTATAATAACAATAAAGTAAATCAATAACTAAAACATACTTGAATCATATAAAAACCAGAAAAAATTAAAAATACCCAACATGCACTCTTCACCCTCACCCAGAGGATCTGGAGGTAGGAAAACGACGATGACGATACAGGGCAGCGAAGAGTCCTGGCACGCTAGACTGGCCCAGGAGGTTAAGACAGATGGGCCAGGAAGATTCAATCCTGGGAACGGGCCAGGCAAGCTGGGAAGATTTGACTTGCTCACTGGCATATTTAAAAGCCTATATGTCTGCCAGGAGCTGGTGGCTCATGTCTGTAATCCTGGCTATTCAGACGGCTGAGATCTGAAGATTGCAGCTCAAAGCCAACCTGGGCAGGAATGTCTGTGAGACTCTTATCTCCTAATTAGCCACCAAAAAAGCTAGAAGTAGAGTTGTGACTCGAGTGGTAGAACACCAGCCTTGAATGAAAAAGCTAAAGGTTAATGCCCAGTCCCTGAGTTCAAGCCCTAGTACAGCCACATAAACGAATACATGCATTCATGCATGCATGCATACATACTACATACATATATACCGCATACATACATACATACATACAACTCATACACAAAGTATACTTTAAAGAGTCAGAGCTATCCCACTCAGCTGCCCACAGGGATGGAATACCAGGACTGACTTCCCATACCCCTGTTTCCTTGGCCCTGCCTGGCTGGTGAGAATGTTAAAGCAAATAGATCGGTGAGTCAAGGCACGTGGGGAGAGGTCTGGAGAGTCCTGAAGGCCATCCTGCAGTCAGGTTGATCGCAGGAGTTGCTGAAAAGAATCGAGAGCTTCAAAAGGTACAACGGGGACCAAAAGTGCTCCGAGGCACTCGGCCGCCAGCAGTGCAGGGTCACGCAGGAGAGCGTGGCTGGTTTGGGAGTGGGGACGTGGCGGGAGAGTGTGGCTGGTTTGGGTCAGTGTCCTTCCTCCAGGCTGGACAGGACCTGCCAGGAGCTGACCCACCAGCTCTAGGCGAGTCGCCTGGAGCATGCTGACATCTACACACCCTTCTGCGAACTAGTCAGCGTGCCATGTGTATGTACATTAAAGGATGCTTCCATACCGCAAAGGCCCCGCACACTGCAGTGGCCATTAACGAAGAGCAACGTGATGCTTTCGGCTTCTCTGACAATGGAAGCTCATCGCTCTTGCAAGAAGCAGGATGTGTTTTCTTTTTGAAGCTTACAGATAATGGAGATAAATTACTAGTGAAGCAACACACACACACACACACACACACACACACACACCCCTAAAAGAAAACAAAATCCTGAAACCCCACACTTGGCTCATAACCTTTCCACTTCCTCAGACAAAACCCATCCGTGCACTCAGAGCCAGTAAAACAAGACCCCTGAAGGCACTGCTTCCTCCGTGATATTCTACAGCCTGGGTTTTATAGATCACTAAAAAGCACAGAATCCGGCCACTGCGGGGTCTCAGGGACCACCTTGTCCTATGCAGCCATGTGGGGGCGGGGAGAAGAGGGGGGAACTAATTGCAGGAAACCTAAACAGTGCTAGGTCTACAGGAGGAGGGCATAAAGTTATTTTCAAAGGAGAAAGCACCGGTTATTACCAGCCAGCCCTTGTTACCATTCCAGATGGCTTTTTGCAAGCAATTAACAAATCTCCTACTTCCTGGGCACTGGCCTGCCTAGGGAGGAGTGGGCAGGCATTTCGTCCTTAGAGAGCAGCGAGGAAGGCGCTGGAGCCTCCTAGGTTTACCTGATTTACTACCCTGGCAATTCCCTGTCAAACGGGTGGAATTCAAACAGAGCCCCCGGCCACACAGATCAAACACTCCCAGGACCCTTACCACCAGCACTGGTTAAGCAAGCCCAGCTCAAGATCCAATGACTCCACAGCTTCCTGCAGACAGTAAGTGTTCCAGGTGCCAGTGGCTCACACAGGTAATCTCAGCTACTCAGGAGGCTGAGAACTAGAATCGCAGTTCAAAGCCAGCTCAGAGAGAAAAGTCCGTGAGACTCTTATCTCCAGTTAAGCAGCAAAAAGCCAGAAGTGGGGCTGTGTCTCAGGTGGTAGAGTGCCAGTCTTGAGTGAAAAAGCCAAGTGAGAGTTCCAGGCCCTGAGTTCTAGCCCCAGTACTGGCATTAAAAATGTTTTTAAAAAGCTGGGCACCAGTACCTCATACCAGTAAACCTAGCCACTCAGGAGGCTGAGAGCTGAAGATTGAGGTTCAAAGCTAGCAGGAAAGTCTGTGAGACTCTTATCTCCACTATCCTACCAAAAAAGCTAAAAATGGAGCTGTGGCTCAAGTGGTAGAGCACCAGCCTTGAGCAAAAGAAGCTCAGGGTCAGTGTCCAGGCCCTGAGTTCAAGCCCCAGGACTAGCATGCACAAACAAAAGTAGACCAAAACAAAGTTTTTTTAAGCATTAGAACTGGCTTCTGTAAGTGCACACACCTGCCTACAGGCAGTGGTTAAAACTTCTTTTTCCCTCTGTTGACTTTAGGCTGTGCTGTTCCTCTGTGAGCAGTCACCTGCCTTACTCTGGAACTTACACACAGCTTTTTTTTTTTTTTTGGTGGGTTGTGGGGCTTGAACTCTGAGCCTGGGCTCTGTCCCTCAGCTCTTCAGTTCAAGGCTAGCGCTCTACCACTTGAGCCACAGTGCCACTTCCGGTTTTCTGGTGGTTAATTGGAGATAAGAGTCTCAAAGACTTTCCTGCCCAGGCTGGCAGGATCTCAGATCCTCAGATCCTCAGATCTCAGCCTCCTGAGTAGCTAGGATGACAGGCGTGTGCCACCAACACCCAGCCAGACATGGTATTTCTAACCCAGAAGTGAATCCCATAACTTGCTTCTACAGTGCCAAGTGTCCAGTGCCACTCCAAAGAGGACACCAGGCTAGCTGAGGGGCAGATACCACACAGGAAGGGGCTGCCAAAGGCCTGGGCTACACAGAGAAACCTCCTCTTCCCTGCCTGGTACACGTCAAAGCCAGAAGTCCATATGGAAACCTGTGGGCAGACAAGGGACTAGAACTCAGATCGCTGGGATCTCCCCTATGTTGTTGGACATCAGAGGAGCATGTGGAGTGGGTCCTGGCACACAGTGTCAAGCAGTGGCTAGGCTCGGGCAGTGGAGCGGTGACTGACAGACCGAAGGCTAGAAGGTCCTGTGGCCTGAAAGGAAAAGTAAGTCCCCAGCCTGGTCTTGACATCACACAGCCCAAGTAGAAAGGCGATTCAAAGGCATAAGTCAAGCTGGGCACCAGTGGCTCATGCTTGTAATCCCAGCTACTCAAGCAATGGAGACCTGAGGAATCATGGTTCAAAGCCAGCCTGGGGCAGGAAAGTCCGTGAGACTCTTATCTCTACTTAACTACCAAAGGGGCTGGAAATGGAGTTGTGACACAAGTGGTAGAGAACAAGTTCTTGAGCACAAAAGCTCAGGGACAGTGCTTGAGACAGGCTCTGAGTTCAAGCCCCAGGCTTGGTACCAAAAAACAAAAGGTAGAACTTAGAGCCTGGAGGACTTGAGTTTGCTTTCTGGCTCTGTCTTCTTCTCGAATGCCCTTGGTCAAGTTCATTAACCGTCAAGCCGTTTGCCGAGGTGGAACAATGAAGACCAGCTGCAGAGGTGAGCCACACACCAAAGGGAGGGCAGGGCAGTGGCTCAGGACACAACATCCCGTGGGCAGACACACACACTGGGCCTTCCCCGAGAGCCAGGTAGTGAGTGGCCTGTTCCTCACCCACATGAACAAGTAGGAAGGAAAGGTTGAGAACAAGTTAGGAGAAACCTCAGGCTAAGCAACAGCTCTTCTATGAGAAGGCAGTTTTTTGTGTTTTCAAATAGATCCCACAAGCTGGGAGCCCGTGGCTCACGCCTGTAATCCTAGGTACTCAGGAGGCTGAGATCTGAGGATCATGGTTCAAAGCCAGCCCTGGCAGGAAAGTCTGTGAGACCCTTATCTCCAATAAACCACTCAGAAAAACAGAAGTGGTGCTGTGGCTCAAGTGATAGAGTGCTAGCCTTGAGCTGAAGAGCTGAGGGACAGCGCCCAGGCCCAGAGTTCAAGCTCCATGACTGACAAAAAAGAAAAAAAAATAGATTCCACAGATAAGCAATACCTATATGCCTGTTTATTTAAGTTACAGATATAGATATTGATGTATGTATATGAACTCCAAGATAGGGAAACAATAAATCTCTCTCTTATTTTTGATGATCCTGTCTTCTTGTCTTTATGCACAGTGTATTCGAGTGTATCTTCTGGAGGGTAGGAAGGAGGGATCAGAACTTGTGGGAAAAAAGGAAAAAAGTGCAGCAGTGGAACTCACTGGACACTGATGAAAGTGAACTATTCAACTCGTGGGTGGAGGCGGGAGGGAGGGACTGGGAGAGAGGGAGGGAACAGAAGACAGGAATGAAAGGAAAGGTACTCATTGCCTGACCCCTGCCATTGTCATCCCTCGGTACATCACCTTTACAGTAACAATGAAACATCAATCACACAGATCCCCATTTCATCCTATTCCACCTGTCCAGTAGAAAGGCAAACAGACTGGCACGACCTTCCACGTGTCCTGGGCACCTCTGTGTGCCCCCCACCCCGTCCTGCCCCACCTGCAGGGAGCCCCAGAGAAGGGCAAAGGAGAACTCACCGAGCAGGGCGTTGTGGCCATTGTCGTCGGGCAGGAACCTCTTGTCGACCGCGCATACCAGGAGATGCTCGGGCAGGCTGGGGGCCTTGGCCCCCACCAGGAGGAAGCCCGTGGGGACATCTATGGGCTCACTGGAAATGGAGACAAGGCGCAGGTCCTTCCCGGCCTGGCAGAACCCTAGGAGGGATGGACAGAACGCACATAGTGCCTGGAACTTTCCAGAAGCAGGGACATCAGAGGAGAACGTGTTGTTCCAGGGTTGGGCAGGAACAGCCTTCCCCTCTAGGTTAGGGTTCTGAGACAGAGCTGACATCGTGGCACTCCGTAACACCCGTCACTCCAAGTATCTGTCGTCACTGAATACGACACGGATGGCGTCAGCAGCGCAGAGGAGGCAAACCCACAGGTGCGGAGGGCGACCGAACATCGTTGTCAGGCCTCTGGTTGCGCTGTGCACGGTGCTCTCCAGCTGTGCCAGGCTGCGCTGCTCTCCATGAACTTGGGGGAAGCAGCCCCTCAGCCCAGGGTGCTGCCACCTTCTGGAGAGCCGGGGGACGCGGCTGTGGCAGCCCGCGGGTAACAGCCAATTCTATGGCAGCCACAGGAACGGACCCCATGGCCCCGGGGGAGTTCGCCATCTTGGAATCACTTCATTGGTGGACATACAAGTTCCATCCCATCAGGCCACGGCTCTGACTCTCCTCCCCCGCCCCACCCCCCAGCAGCATCCCCAGAGGAGCTGAACCCCGCCCTGCCTCACTCAGGGCCAAGCCTAGGCCCCCAGGAATGGAGGGAGGGGAGCCCCCATACCCAACCTGACTCCTCCTCCAAGCCAAGACCTCTACTTAAACCATGGTGGCTCCCCAGGTATTTAGGGGAATGGCTGCCCGGGCTGTGCGGTCCCTCTCTAAGCCTTTGCCCCTGCCCTTTCCTTCATCTGGAAGTTTCCAGCTTCTCCCTAATGAGACTCTCCTGCTAACTCCTACTAGTTCTTCAAACCCAGAAGAAGAGCCACCTCCTCCAAGAGGCTTCGCCTCTGTTCCCATGTCCCCCGCTTGTCCCCCCCCCCCCCCCCCCACGTACCATGCTGGATGCAAAGCTTTCCCCATTCGACTGGGAGCTCGCATCTGCAGCAGTTCCAGCTCAAAGACTCCACCACAGTTAACCACTAATTAAATGTGCAACAAGCACCACCCACCCCACCCCGGGGTTGCTACAGGGACCCAGGATGTTTGGCTAAGGCTGTCCAGAGTAGCTGAGGGGCTGGAAGCTGGCTCCATGCCCTGTGGGGGGGGGGGTCTCACTTGGGGGGGGGGAGAGCTGGGGGGGGTCTCACACTGGGGGGGGGAGGGCTAGGGAGGGAGCACAGGGCAGGCAAACAATCCCAGTGGCACCTAAGTGCAGATTCTGGGCAGGGAGGCTGGGTGCGGCCAGCAAAGCCTTACCGTCTGTGGTACAGCATCCTTCAGGCGCAGGGAGCAGCTGGTAGGGATTTGGGGGGCTGCTGGTCTCCAGCCCTCCTTCCCCCTCTTCCTCTTCTTCCTCATTATCCACTCGGCTGCCACCTAGATGTAGGAGGGAGAGCGAAGGTATGTAAGGCAGCTGCCAGCCAGGTGCCCCTCCTCCAAACACCACCTGCCTTTTAGGAAGTACTCGGTCAGCCTTAGCTACCTGGGAACTCATCAGTTCTCACTCCAGAAGCTGGGTACCAGTGATTCATGCCTGTAATCCCAGCTACCCACGAGGGTGAGACTGGAGAAGGATCACAGTTCAAAGCCAGCCTGGGCAGCAAAGTCCATAAGGTTCTTATTTCCAACCAACTACCAAAAAAGAGGAAGTGCAGCTGTGGTTCAAGTGGTCAAGCACTAGACTTAAACAAAACGAAGCTCAAGGATAGTACCCAGGTCCTGAGTTCAAGCCCCAGGACCAGGGAAAAAACAAAGCCAGAAATGGAGGTGTGGCTCAAGTAGTAGAGTGCTAGTCTTGAGAAAAATGTTCAGGGACAGCACCCTGGCCCTGAGTCGAAGCCCCAGGATAGGCATGCACGCACACGCACACACACACACACACAACACAAAATGAGGCACCTGGCATTGGATGACTCTCCCAACGTCATGTTATAAACAGACTAAACTCAGAGTCTGGGCTCGTGACTTCAAATTCAAGTTGAGCCAGGCGCTGGTGGCTCACACCTGTAATCCTAACTACCCAGGAGGCTGAGATCTGAGGATCGAGGTTCAAAGCCAGCTGGGCAGGAACATCCGTGAGACTCTTATCTCCAATAAACCACTAGAAAACCAGAAGTGGCGCTGTGGCTCAGTAGTGCACTCGCCTTGAGCTGAAGAGTGCAGGGACAGCGCCCAGGCCCAGAGTTCAAGCCCCATGACCAACAAAAGAAAAAACAAATTCAAGTTGGCTTCTCTTCCATCTACCACAGCTGTTCATGCTGCAACACTAGACACTGAATGCACGTATAATGATTTGGTAAGCACGTGCCAGATGCCTGTGGCTTATGCCTATTATTCTAGATACTCAGAAGGCAGAGATCAAGGATCCTAGCTCCACGCCAGCCCAGGCAGGGAAGTCTGTGAGATTTTCATCTCCAACTAACCAGCAAAAGTAGAAAGTAGAGGTGTGGTTCCAATGATAGAGTGCCTGCTATGAGTGAAAAAAAACTAAGCAGCAGCACTCGGGCCCTGAGTTCAAGCCCCAGTATCGACACAAAAAAATAAAAAATATTTCCGAGGCAGGGCCCAGAGTATAATTTGCAGACCACTAAGAAAAGAAACTGAGGCTCAGAGAGATTCAATGATTGGGCCTCTGATTTAGCAGTGACGCCCGCACAGAACCTGGAAGTTCTCCCCCCGTGTCTGATGCCCATGCTGCTGTCTCTCCACTAAGCTCCACTGCTCTCGTTTTCCTTGTGCTACTGGGATTTGAACTTAAGACCTCAGGCTTGGTCAGCTTCCTTGCTCAGCTGGCACTCTACCACCTCAGCCATGCCTCTAGCCTGGATTTCTTTTTGCTAGTTATGTGGTGATGGAGTCTCACAGGCTTTTCTGCCTAGGCTGGCTTTGAATTGCAATCCTCCAGATCTCAGCTTCCTGAGTAGCTAGGATTACAGGCGTGAGCCACTAGTACCCACTTCACTGCTTATTTTAGAATAGAAAATATGAGTATTAGAAACTAACTCTCTTAATATCGTCTAAGGGCTGAGTGCCAGTCTATAACTCTAGCTACTCGGGAAGCTGAGATCTGAGAATCACAGCTTGAAGCCCATCTGGGCAGGAAAGTCTATATAACAGCAGAAAGCCAGAAATGGAGCTGTGGCTCAAGTGGTAGAGCACTAGCCTTGAGCAAAAGAACTCAAAGACAGCACTCAGAATTGGCACAAAAATAAACAAACAAAAAAAGATAGTTGAACGGAGTTTTAAACTACACATGATTATTTCTCTCTAAGGGAAGAATGTATATAGACATTACTAGAAATACAAATACATTGAAACAAATGTGTCGCACCCCTATTCAGGAAAATAGCCATTGCAGAACAGTCTAGAACAGGACTGTGCAAGTTGTGGCTTTAGGAGACGCTTTAAACCAAAGTTCTTTTTTTTTTTTTCTTTCTGTCAGTAGTTTGGCTTGAACTCAGGACTTGGGCGCTTCCCTGAACTCTTTCACTCAAAGCTAGTGCTCTACCACATTGAGCCACAGCACCACCTCTGGTTTTTCAATGGTTAATTGGAGGTAAGAGTCTTATATGGGGACTTTTCTGCCCAGGCTGGCTTTGAACCATGAATTACAGGAGTGAGCCCCCAGCACCAGGCTCAAAACAGTTCTTAAGAGGAATGGCATGAGGAACTGACCGGGGGAGCCCAGAATCACCATGTGAGCCCCGACTGCCTACAGCATCCTCCCTCATCTCCCCACAAAACACCTCCTGCAGGAACAGTGCTCTGCAAAGTCCTGCCGCTCTGAGGTAAGACCCCAGGGGAAGATCCCACTCGCCAGCAGAAGGCAGGGATTCCGTTTAGGTCTCTTTTAGGAGGGGGTGTGCTGGAGTTGGGGCTTGAATTCAGCACCTGGGCGCTGTCCTTGAACTTTTGTGCTCTACCACAAACCCCAGCGCCAGCTCAGGTCCCTGTGCCACAGGGGACCAGGAAGTCTGTGTGCGAGGCTGACCCTTGTCTCTGAACCAGTGCTTGTGAAGGGATGGGAGACCCCAGCAGCTTTAAGCTAAGTTCTTTCAGGCACAGCCTGCTACACCAAGGACACACGAACCGGCAGCACACTATTCTGCCAAGCCAAAAAGACCAGGAATTCAGGCTCAGCAAGAAATGGAGAGAACAGGCTCTTAAGCCTCAGCCTGTCAGAGGAAACACACAAAAAACCTCCAAATGCAGTGGGTAAGGAGGGAGGATTGAGGGTCAAAGGTCTCCAGCAGGCATTCCAGGGCCTTTGATGGAGGCCTTAGGCAGACACAAGATAAAGAGCTGCTTCCAGCCAGGGCAGACTAAACAGACGTGTTTACCCACAGCCGGCTGGCAGGATGAGAGCTTTTAAAGTGTCCTTAGACAAAACCAAGTGGGGATGGGGGAGCATATAATAAAACACAGGAACCCCCAAGCCCTGTGGCCCCACTGGCCAGGTCGGTTCACATGAATGTTTACAAGCCCTGTCTCTCCAATCCATCAGAACCCCATATGGCATGCTGAACAGGTGGAGTTTACTCAATAAACCTTCCTGTTTAATTAATACATAGGTATTCCGTAAAGCCAGAGCCTTATCCGCTTTCTTGGCCTTTCTCTCACAAAATCAATATGGTCTAAAGGGCTTTTCCCCGGGCTTTTTTCCCTGGAAGGAAGGAGTCGGTAAGGGCCCTAATCCAAAGAACAAAGCAATAAAGTTCTTAATTACCCCCACAAATGCAGAAAATGTTAACAGATCCTGGGGGTATTCAAGTCCCCGCATGGCATCCTGTTGGTATGCATGGGTGATTGCCAGGTCTGAAGAAACCAAGCATAAGATAAGAGGCCCCTAATGAAGAGACAGCCAGACAAAACAAGACTCAGCCTGTGCCGGCATGGGCGCATCCCAAGCGAGCACACGCAGAAGGCTGGGGCTAGTGCTGAGGGCTCAGGTTAGGGTGACATTTATCAGACACAAGGGTCTCATTGCTCCCGCCAACTGCACTCCCTCCCTGGGAACACAGGAATCTCAAAGGACAGCTCAGCACTGTCAGCGGGGCGGGGGGGAGAGGGGGAAGCACAGAGGGGGCTGCCTCCGGCCCTCCTACAGCTAAGCAAGTCCCCAGTAGCTAGCAAGCACCTTGGATGCTCAGGATTGAACCCAGGGAAGTGCTGTGCTGCCTGGGGTCTGGGATGTAGCTCAGTGGTGGAGAGCACTTGACTAGCATATAGAAGGTCCCGGGTTCCAGGACCAGTGGCTCATACCTATTATTCTAGATACTTAAGAGGCTGAGATCTGAGGATAACAGTTCAAAATCAGTCTGGGCAGGAAAGTCTGTGAGACTTTCCTCCAATTACACACCAAAAGCCAGAAGCAGAGCGGTGGCTCACGTGGTAGAATGGTAGCCTTGAGCAAAAAAAGCTCAGGGACAGTGCCCAGTCCCTGAGTTCAAGCACCAAGACTGGCAGACGAATGGAAGGAACGAATGAACAAACGAAGGAAGGAATGAAGGAACGAAGGAGAAGGAGGGAAGAGGAGAGAGAAAAAAGAGAAAGGGAAAGGGAAGGAGTAAAACTGTGCCTTCTGGGAAGCGCCACAGGCATCCTGAGAAAACGCAGCCTCCCTACTGGAGTGGGTCAGGGCTGTGTGCAGTTTTTAAGCAGACTGGGAATCCTCCTTGGCTTTCTCTCTCTCCAGTGGGCATGGGGCCCCAGAACAAGTCCCTGACTCTGTCCACTGCCACCCTAGTGAATGGAATCTGCAGACACCAGACTTCCACCTTCCCTAGCCACAGCATTGGATGCCTTAGGACGTGAGATTTGGCCGATGTTAAGGATCCATGCATTTGTAATAATTCACCCGGTCACTGTTATGAGTTGACTATTAGCCACAGAGCCTTTCCACATGCTGCGTTATTAATGATCATGTTGCGCAAACACCACAAAAGTCTTTCAGCTCATCTAGCAAACATTCTCTAGTGAAGTCCCTAGGCTGGGAGACCTGAGAACTCCCGAATGAATACCACAGATGCTTCAGCTTTCCTACTTCGTAGTTGGGAGTGCCAACTACTTTCTCTGAGACTCAGATCCCATTCTTTCAGGTCCCTTAGCTGTGCCATCTGCAGGGTAAATTTACTAAGAATGAGCTACAGCGACCCAGGAAGCCCTCCCCCACAGAAGGAGGGCACCAGCCCATGCCAGCTCAGGGCTCTTCCCCAGCTACCTGTCTCATTTTTCTCCAGCCTGGTGTCCCCATACCCTACCCACCTCTCTCCTTTCCCTCTCCCTGTCCCTCTCCTTCCCCCCCCCCCCCCCCCCGCACTCTTCCATGCACCCAACAGAGCACAGATCCAGAATACTATGTGATTTCTTTTTTAATCAGTTAATCTGCCCTAAGCCATAGCCCTTTTCATGTCCAAAGCTAAATGAAAGCCAGCTGCTGGTGGCTCACGCCTGTAACCCTAACTACTCAGGAGGCTGCAATCTTAAGATCACAGTTCGAAGCCAGCCTGAGCAGGAAAGCCTATATTTATCTCCAGTTATCCACCAAAAAGCCACAGGTGGGGCTGTGGCTCAAGTGTGCTAGCCTAAGTGAAAAAATCTCACCGACAGTGCCCACTCCCCCCCACCCCAGAACAAACACCAGGACTGCATACACACACACACACACACACACACACACACACACACACACACACACACACACACACACACACGCTGCACATAACTTTAAATCAAACATAGGAATTTACAGAAAGAACTGCCAAAAGAGTAGCTGTCTCATAAAACCTACATGGTTATTTTTTAACACAAACATTTTAATTTTTTTCCCTGAACAAGGTAGATCATGAAGTCATCTCTGTGCCTGAAAGTCACTTTTATTTATTCCTGATATATATTAAATTCATACAGGTTTATTCATGGTGTTAAAAGTTTCCAGAGTCCTTGGACCTGTCAGTCAGCACAAAGAGAAACGATCTACACTATTTTGCAAATATATATACATATATATATTTACATCAAGTGTAGATTAAAATTTCTTACCCATCAAAAAGCAAAAATGTCAAGCCTTCTATAAAAGTAGCAACTGTTTCAAAACAATCTAACTTAGCCTGTCCTTTTCTCCTGGGAAGCTAATCGGTAATGGTCTTCCTTACAACTTCATGGCTAAAATGCACTGTGTTTTTGGCTCAGTAAGAACTTTGGTGCAACTCTTTTCCTAATGATTCTTTTCCGCTCAGACTCACACATCTCTTCCCCGGGCAGCTTCCACCGCGAACGCGACCCCGCACACTGGACCAGGAACACAGGAGTCACCAAGCCTGCGTCTCCTACCTTCCAGGGAGTTCAGCTTCTGCTCGGCCTCCAAGTAGAGCTGGGAGAAGATGGGCCGGGGCACCAGGTTATTGGAGCGCAGGGATGCCTCAATGGAGTTGTGCAGAACCTCCTCGAACCGAGTGGTCTTCAGCTGTCCAGCGTATGAATTTCCCATCTTCAAAAACACAAAAAGCAAAACAACAACAAAAAAAGAAGGCTGGAGTCTTCTATCTACAGTGGCATTTCAGTTCTGATGAGGGGCTGCCACGGGAGGTAAGCCAGCCAGAAGCTAGGAGGAAGGAAGAAGGGGGGAACGCAGGGCAGGAGAGGGGAGCTGCCTGCCTGCCTGCCTGCTCCGCAATTGCAGGAAGTGATTTAGGTAACAGCTCTCTCTGATGTAGCACCACAGCGCCTGACACCTCTGAGAATATTCCCCCAGGAATTGCCCCTTAGCCATCCCACTTCTCCCAGAAATGTGATCCAGCCTCCCGAGTCCCCAGTCAGGTGACGTTTGCTTTTCCACGCCTCCCTCACCAAGTGACACCCTCAGACTGTTCAGCCTCCTGGGACAATCAGCCCAGATGTGAGGGTTACTGGAGTGGCCATCTTCACCGCACCCAACAGGAAGCCAGCAAGGCTGTCGCTGCCTTCCCCTAGCGAGAGTTCAATTATTAACACCCTTCCTTTAGGGGGTTGCTTATCGAAACACCATTAGACAATACAGAAAACACGGGAAATCTGGAGGTCACAGAAGAGGTTGGAATCACAAGAGAAAAATCACCAATATTTCCAACCCCAAGATGACTGCTCTGATTTTTTTTTCCATTACTTTTTTTCCCCCTGTGTCAGTACTGGAGTTTGAACTCAGGACCTGAGTGCTGTCCTTGAGCTGTTATTTTTCTGTTCAAGGCTGGCAGCTCCACACCCAGGTTTTTGCTGGAGATAAGAGTCTCACCAACATTTCTGCCGCGGCTGGCTTTGAACCATGACCCCAGAGCTCACCTTCCTGAGTAGTTAGGATTACAGACTTGAGCCACTGGGCACACACTTATTTGGCTACTGATACTTCTTTCTGTCATGACTTAACTGAGATATATACAATGTATACAACTCAGTGTTTATAATGTATCCACAGTGCTGTGCAAAGTGCACACAATTTGGCACTTCCTTCACCCCCAAAGAAACCCCATTGCTGTCGCTGTCCAAGCCCTCCAGTCCTGGGAGACAACTTGCTATTTCTATCACTGCAGCTTCTCCTTCTCCATCCATTTCATACGAACGGTTGCATTTGGTGTTCTGCAAGGGTCTTTTGTCAATCAGCACAATAAGTGACAGATTCCAAGATTCACCTGGCTGTAGCATAAACCACAACTGCATTCCACCAAGATTTTTGTTTGTTTTAGTTTATTTTTAAGTGACTTTACCCAAGGTGTTATCTTTTGATTTGGCTGGGGATCGAACCCAGAGCCTCAGTAGTAGAGCCACACTCTACTACTACTACTACTACAGCCCCCTTGCTACCCCACCACCGCAATATCTGATATATTTCTGTACACTCATTCCTCAGTGCTGGGGTGAGATGGAATGAGACTAAATTCACACACAGAGTTATAGCAGCATTATAATGCAACTTTTTCACTTGATGTAAGGATGTCATACAACCTCTTAGAAATGCTCTCAAAACAATTTAATGGTTATATAATATTCCACTGAGTCATGTCTCATTGAAGTATGCATTTTAATCATATACACAGTGACAATTCTATTTCTGGTCCTCCTCAAGAACGGGCATTTGAATGGCCATTACCTAATGGCAGCGGCTTCCAGGGAGAGACTATGGCGTTAATTTTAACTCCTTTCTACACATCCTGCTTTCTATTCCTCCTTGGCTTAATTTGTTGTACTTCTTACAGCCCTTGAAAAATGATTCTGTGCCAGAGGCTGGTGGCTCATGTCTATAATCCTAGCGACTCAGGAGACTGAGATTTGAGAACTGCAGTTTGGAGCCAGCCAGGGCAAATTCTTGAAACTCTTATCTCTAACTAAGCTGCAAAGAGCAGGAAGTTGAGAAGAGGCTAAGGGGTAGAATGTCACCTAGAATGCCAACTGCAAGCAGAAAAAGCCAAGGAGAGCCCAACATCCTGAGTTGAAACCCCAGTACTAACACATATTAAAAAGACAAAAAGGTTATGTTATCACTACCTCTTCTTTCCTAATTACTTCTTCAACAATGGCATTTAAGGCCCTTCCTCCTTGGGCAGTTCTTTTGCTACGGCACCTGGCACCTACGTTTAGTAGAAAGCATTTTCCTTTGTGTTTTCCTAGACAGTTCAGATCTCTTTTTGTTCTCTTTTCAATACAGTGGTTACAGCAAAATGTTTCATTCCTAAACTGTCAAGACTAGGGAACATCTTATATTACTTCTTTTATTTTCATTGCATTGTAAGCAAAACTGCATTCTTAAACTCCAACTTTTAAGCTTACTGAGGGTTTCTTCTTCACTGATGCTGGTGGGGTGTTTGGGACACATTTTGCGGACGAGAAAAATAGGAACTCTTTGCGAGTTGCAAGGAGATGGGTCAGATTATTTGACTTCCTATCTTCCTGTGCACTTCTTGCTTACTATATTGTTAATGTGTCGTGTCTGGATGTATCATTAACATGCAGTGTCCTGCTGTATTGTTAACATGTAGTGCATGGCTGTATCCTTGACATATGGTGGTGTCTGGCTGCACCGCTAACATGTAGTGTCTGGCTATCTTGTTAATGTGTAGCGTCTGTCTGTACTACTAATGGGTATTGTCTAACTGTATCACTAACATGTAATGTCTGACTGTATTGCTAATGTGTAACATCTGGCTATATTGTGAACCTGTAATGTCTGACTGTATTGCTAACATGTAGTATCTGGCTGTATTGCTAACATGTGGTATCTGATTCAGGTGCTGCAACATCGCCCTGGGACATGAGCCGGCCCCGCCTTCAGTGACAAGTGCACACACTGGTGAGGAAACAGCTTCGCCTCCCGGAAAACAACACCGCCACATCCTGATTCCAACACTGCCAAGCAAGCCCCTCTCCCTGCGCCGTGGGTGGCAGTCTTAAGCCATCCTGGCGCCCTGGACAGTGCCAGCTGCCCTCCTGCAGGGGACACACTGCACCGTGGCTTTTCTTTCTCTATTGTAGGGAGCCCAGCTTCCCTCTTCTGCTGGAAGTCAAAGAAAACCATTAACCACTTCCAGCCTGAGGCAGTCATTGCTGCCCACAGGACCCAGGGGCAGCTCTGCTGGCGGCCAGGAAATGAGCTGGGGAGGGCACTTCGGGAATTAGCCCAACAAAGACACCAGGCTGCTGCTCAGAGGGTCAGCTGCCGTGAGACTCGGACCTCTGTACAGGACAGGGCTGTGTCTGCAGGTTCTCCTGGCCTGAGGCATACTCACACATTCATCAAGGGCTAGCAGACACACTGAGGGACCCTCAATTGGAGTGGGCCACCTACCACTGCCACCCACTAACACCCATCACAAGCACCCTGAGTTCTGTAGTATCGAGCCTGTTGATCCTAGCTACTCAGAGGCTGAGATCTGAGGGTCAGGGGTCGAAGCCAGGCAACAGGAAGGTCCATGAGACACTTATATCCAATTAACCAGCAAAAAGCCAGAAGTGGAGCTGTGGCTCAAGTGACGAAGTGCCAGCTTTAAGAAAAGCTAAGGAGTAGCATCCAGCCCTGAGTTCAAGCCCCGGCACTGGCTCCAATAAAGCAAAAGCAAAAGAAAAGAGAAAGGAGCATGAGGCACACAGGAAGGAGTAGATATCCACCCACCAACACAGCCCTGCAGACCCACCCTACCCATGGCCCGGCCAGCCCAGCTGATAGCAGGCAAATGAGCACCCGGGGCCCAGGGGCCTCCAGTCCCCGCATGGTGATGCCCAGAGGTGGACAGGCAGGACAGGAGAAGGGGGTGTGCAAAGTTCTGGCATTTCTTCTACTTCACACTTGTGGTAGCCATGAGCTGGGCATGATGCTGCCTGCTCTATTGGTTGCAAATTACTTGTAGAGGTACCGAGTCAGAAGGAACTTTTGTTTTTGTTGATTTGTTTTGTGATTGTTGTTGTGCCTAACTTGGGGCTTGAGCTCAGAGCTTGGGCGCTGTCCCTTTGCTTTGTTACTCAAGGCTGGTGCTGGACCACTTGAGCCACAGCTCTACTTCTGGCTTTTTGGTGATTCATTGAAGATAAGAGTCTCACAGACTTTTCTGCTTGGGCTAGCTTTGAATAATGATCCTCAGACGTTAGCTTGCTGAGTAGCTGGGAATACAGGTATGAGCCACAGGTGTCTGGCCCTGAAGGAATCATTGTTGAAAGAAAAGAATCAGAAGGAAGGACAGGGGGAAGGGAAAGACATGAATCAAAAGACAACAGCAAAGACATTTGCACGTCCAAATATGGAAGCGCATCTTACCAGCCTAAACTGTACCCGATTATAACACCCCAACAGGCACACAGGCAAAGGAGAATGAAGAAAGGAGAATGGAGGAGGGTCTAAATGCTGTCAATCAAGTTGTGTGTGAACTTCCCACAAGCCACTGTGGAACTCTGCCTGGCCCCAGCAGACAGGACCTTTGAGGTCTCTGTCTTCTTTCCTTTCCTCCACTTGGTCTTTCCTAACAAAAGCCACACCTGCCTGGAAGCCATCTGGCTCTCTAACTATTCACTTGACCGATGGGGAACAAAGCACCCAGAGAAGCGAGGTCAGGGTCAAACAACTCCTAAACACCCAAGGCCTAAACAGGAGACAGGAGGCCTCCCAAGCTGACTTCTCCCCCAGCCGCAGCTCTGCTGACCCACCTGGGTGCTTTGGTGGTTCAAGGCTGTAGTCAGCCTCCAGGATTCCCCGACACGGGTACCCAGTGCCTGCCTCCCAAGACCAGGACCCCTGCCCACTCCCCAGACTGGACACTCTCCAGCCATGGGATCTGAGGCCCTGCCTGGAAGAACAGAGGTAGCGTCAGACCATGGCCCTGAACTAACACATAGATGTCTACTCCAAGCCAAGGGGTTTCTTCTCTGGGCCTCAGTCTTTTTGGCTGTAGAAAAGACTCTTAGGGGGCTGGGAAGTTGGCTCAGTGGTAGAGCGCTTGCCTTGCAGGCCTGAGGCCCTGGGTTCGATTCCTC